CCGCTCATCAGAGAGCAGCAGAGAAGAGCAGCCTCGCCAGACACCGCAGTCCTGTCGCGGCCTTTTGCCCGGCACTTACGTGTTTACGTTACTTCCTGATTAGTTTCCTAAAGTTGACATTTAAGTGTATTTACATTTAAATGGCTCCTACTCTTAGAAGCGATCGACACATGGAGAACAATCCCCCCGTGACGAACCCTACGTCACCACTGACGCGGCTACCCTCCTTATAACGGCATCTCGTCCGATGATCTAGACACGCCACAGAAGAAGGCGACGCTGTCAGAATGGTCCATAATGATGTGCCACATTGTGAACGGAATTGAAGATTAACTCCACGTACCGATACCAAGTATCCGTGACGAAGCTCACGCGATTGAACTGTTCAACACGGGGTACGATATGCTAAAGCTAAAGCCAATCAAGCGTAAACGTAGGGTAGATCAACTGAAGCTTACCACTGTGCTGAAATTGGTCCGTGAAGGGGAAGCTCCGCGCGGTCGGGTCCTTCCGTTCAGGACGCGAAAGCGCTCGAAGCAGTAAACGCCTTAGTTCACTGATAAAAGATCACACGCTTTACTTTCATTATTTCGACCAATTAAATGCCTTCTTTGAGTCGTCGGCATCTGGACTTACGTTTTTCATGTCAATTCAATCCTATTGAATATCTGTTCGGCTACGTGAAAAAGATGTCCCAGAGACAATACGTGGAGTCTAGTGACAATAACTTATTGCCGTACATTTTTGATACTTTCCAGCGTTCTGCAAACTTCGACATGGCTCGTCTTTTTAGCGTTGTGGCTGGATGGTGGAGGGCATCTTCAATTCTGTAGGTCTGTAGTGGGATAGGGGCATGTAGCCTCATTCAGCCACTGCAGTGGGCGGCAGTGCTGATCTTCGGATTGGCAGTGGCAGAGTTGCTACTGCCAACCATCGAGTGATGAATAAAGCTCAGTATTGCCGGCCCGAGCTGGCAATATATACAGGGTATGTATTGTCAAGTATATATAGTATGTATACATAGAGTACAGACAAAGAGTCAGTTAGTCAGTCTAGAATTTGCTTAGTGGAGAGCAATACACTAGGCAGAAGCTTTAGGGAGTGCCAGCCCCCCCCCCCAGTTGTGTGCTACTTCCACGATTTACTACAAGGTCCGCTCTCTCCAGCGAACGGTATGGCTCCAAATGTGCCAGAGCTCGACGGATTTGGACTCAGTTGAAAACTTGTGTGAAGATGTTCTAGGTTTTTGGTACGCTTAGCTAGCTGACTAGCAGAAAATTTAGTTGTCAAGAAAACACCTTCTGCTCTCTTGTAAAACGTTCTTTTTATTTATGTCTATTAGCTCTGTGTATCCAATAGTGCTTCGGTCTGCAGCTCGCTCACTAACAACATAATGTGTTTTAGTGGCAGTTCTTCTCTGCTCCACGAATCAGTCTTATAGACGTTCGGCGGACTCTGCCCCAACAGCTAAGATCGCAATTGCTCCAGCGGTGGGTATAATATACCCACCACTGGACCCTACTATGGTGTAATGATCACATCTGTAGCCCTACTATAAAGTGCTTACTGAAATAGTTCATGCTGGAGCAAGAGCTTGTAGCTCCGATTTCTCTACGGCATCCTTTGTTAATCTGAATAAATATCGTTGGTAAGTACCGCTCGGGAAAGATTGATCTACGCAAGGATGTAGAGAATCTCATTGTTAAAATGCGTAAGGAGACCTACACTTCTGGGGACGACAAGTGCGCGTGGCTCAAGTGCTTAAACACTTTAGCGTGGGTCGTGATAACGCTGTCAACGTCTTTCGTGATAAATCTACGGGGCTTACAGCGTGCATTACATTCCAGACGGCCCACATGCGACGGATGGTGCGTAAGTTTCCGGAGGCTGTCCGCGTCGATGCGACCTATGGAACCAACATCGATCGGTACGTCGTATGAACTGGTGTTGTATTTACCAATACATTGGTGTTGCGGTCACCAACACATCGGTATCGTAGAAGTAATTGTGAATGATTACCAACTAAAACTAATACACCTTCTGATCGTTCTACAGTTATCAATTGTTCAGTTTCATGATTACGAACAGGTTCGGCTGTGGAGCTTTTGCGCAGCATTCTCTAGTGGACGGAGAGAGCAGGTTGGACATGGAGTGCGCAGTAAGATCTTTCAAGCAGAACAACGCAGAGTGGAAGAATGTGAAGGTTATCGTCATTGACAAGGATTGCACGGAACTGGCGCTGCTGCGCGATGAATTTCCTTGTGCGACTATCATCCTCTGCCACTTTTATGTTACTGACTATCTCCAGCGAGAAGTAGCAAGAAATACTATGGGTTCTCAAGTTTTGAGAAGATGCACGTGAAGAATACCCTGACGTTGATGGTTCCGGTGGAGAATGAGAGTCGTTTCGATGATTACCTGTCGGCATTGAGGAAACTGTGTGCGAGTAAACCCACGTTTCTGGATTATTTTGAGGAGAATTGGTTAAACTGCAAGGAACTGTGGTGTACGTTTAAGTGCGAAAACATTCCGCATCTAGACAACAACACAAACAATCGTCTCGAAGCCAGTTGGGGTGCTGCAAAGGACTTTTACATCGTCATATGCCTATGGATGAGTGTATCGGCCATTTTCTATTTCTACAACAGTCTGCAGAAGACGTGTATAATGCTAAGGTCAAGCGCGTCGGTTTTCGATACAATCAAAATTACAATGACGAGATGACCGCCCTGGCTAAGTGCGCTACTTATTACGCATGTAATTTGGTCGAGGAGCAGTATCACGTTAGCGGAGGATTGTCGTACGTTGTTTCAAGTGAGGGAAATACCTTTACTCTCTATAGTTCTACAGCCTCGGGTGCGAAATATGCAGACAGCTTGTATGAGAACTCCTGCAGTTGCTCCTTTTACCAGACCGTGTTACTTCTTTGCCGTCACATCCTGTATTTGCGGCGGCAACATTCAGAATTTCGATCTAATATTCCGTGTGAGGCGATTCCGCTGCGATGGTTGCTTGCGGATGACGGAGAAGACTCAAGTGTTCCTGATACGTCGCAGAAGTTCTACGTCGAGGATGTTGAAGCTCCATCAAGTCGTGTCCTTGGTCATAATCAGAATTATCGCTCGGGGTTTGCAGTGTGCCAGAGGATAGCCGAAGTTATAGCAGACAAAGGGACACGAAGCTTTCACGTTTGGCTTAACCATTTGGAAGACCTGGAGAAGATCGCCCGTCACAATAATATGCCGCCATCCTACACGGACGCAAGTATTTGTGGAGAACTCGCAAGTTCGGAGGACATTGGTAACTACGTTGGTAGCAGTGTCACCCATTCTTGCGATACTGGTAACAGTGACACCAATTCGTGTGATACTGGTGATGATACTGGTAACAGTGTCACCAATTCGTGTGATACTGGTGATGATACTGGTGATGGTGTCACCAATTCGTGTGATACTGGTGATGATACTGGTGATGGTGTCACCAATTCGACCAAGCATGTAAGTTAACTATCCGCCGGTCTTCGGCGTGGTATCAAGACGACGGGCACAATTGTGGAGTTTTTATTGTGAAGTGGTTTGAGACCTATATCAATGTCGCTCACAACACAAAGTGGACGAAGACCTGGTGCAGCTGACTCCTGAATTTACTTCTGCTAAAGACCTGGACGATTGCAGATACAAAATGTTGAGTCAGTTTATATAGATGTTACAAGCTAGTTAGCTAATATGAGACCCACAATTGCAATCGTACGTGCACGACAAATGTAGACTTCTCTTAAGATCTAAGTGATCTTCTAATGACTCTGAAAAATGAATGCGCAGGTAGCTTAATCCTCGGACAGCGGTATGTGGTACACACAATGCTTCACCAAGTTTTAGACATTTTTTTTCAGAAATAATGTTTTTGCATTACCCTAGCGATATTCCTTGACTGCGTAGGGAGAGCCTTTAATAAATTATTATTAATAAAACATGAATAAATACAGTATAGCGTTCACTATCCAATAGCAAAGTTTCCTGTAGCCGTTTCTATGAGTGCCTTCGTCAAGACCAAGCTCCTTCCAAGTGGCCACTCCATCCCCGCCGTCGCATTGGGCGTATACCAAAGTGCCCCTGGACCCGAGACATATGACGCCGTGATCTCCGCTCTCAAGCTCGGATACCGCCACATCGATACGGCCACCGTCTATCGTAACGAATCGGACGTGGGTAAAGCAATCCGAGACTCGGGAATCCCTCGTGATGAACTTTTCGTAACCAGCAAAATTGTCGCCCCTAGCAACCGATGAAGCTACGACGAGGTAGTCGAAGGGGTCCGTTTGAGCAATCGCAAGCTTGGACTCAATTATATCGACCTGTATTTACTGCACGCACCTTTTGACAGTACCACACGTGCTGAAGCCTGGAAGGCTCTTGAGGATATGCAGAGTGAAGGTATTGTGCGCGACATTGGTGTGTCCAACTTCGGCGAGCTGCATCTGCAGAAATTGGCAGAGACATGGCGTGTGAAGGCTGCTGTGAACCAGGTGGAGCTGCATCCGTGGCTGGCTCGAGCCGATACCGTCAAGTACTGCGAGGAGCATGGAATCATCATGGAGGCGTACTCTCCCTTGGCTCGTGCTCAGAAGATGCACGACCGTACACTGAAGCAGGTTGCACGTGAGCTGGGTGCTACATCGGCCCAAGTCTTGATCGCGTGGAGTCTGGCGAAGGGCTTTGTGACTCTGCCCAAATCAGTGACCGAATCCAGAATTAAGGAGAATCTGGAGGCTGCCAAACTGGACATCACGAGTGAGCAGATGGACAAATTGAACCGCTTGGACGGCTACTTCGTGACTGCGTGGGACCCAATCAAGGACCACGCGGTGTAAAGAAGCCCGGCCTTATTAAGCCCAGTCTGAAGTTCGCATCAAATGCGACAACAAACTGACAAAAAATACTTCCTCGATGTTATTTAATGTGATCGTCATTTGGCTTGGTATTCAATATGTCAAGTCTAAGTTACGAATAGAGTGGTGGGAGGTTAAAAGACGCATGGCCGGGGACAACTTCCGTATTGGTTCCAAGACGATGTGCCTGAATGAACCCAGTGGATCCGGAGCCCTCGAGCGAACTAAAGGTGATTTCCCCTCCAAAGTAGCGTGCGAATAGCCTTGCCATCGGCAGTCCGTAGCCACCTCCGCTAAAGTGTTGCCTGTAGGCTGCATTAGAGTCGATAGAAGGGAAAGGAGGGCTCGTGGTGTAGTCATAGTGCCACAGCTTATGCCAGCGACTGCGTGGGATCCCTCCACCCTCGTCAGTCACCTTGATGGTCAGATCCTCACTGCCCACGCAAATTACGATTTCCACTGGCGGCAATTCTCCTCCAAGCTTGTATTTACTAACGTCTGGAAATATCTTGACACCAGAAACGTCTTTAACCTATATGGCCACGAGCAATTAGCCTACTGTAGTAAGCACCACATTGATCAATAATAACCGCCTACCGAGGGAAGGAAAAACCCCAAGGACGGGCTGTCTGGATTCATGACTTGCTTGAAATGGTTGAGTTCGCCCGGAGCTTTATGAACCCGCTTCTTATGGTACTCCACTGTTGCACGCATGGCATTCTTCACAAGCTCGAAAACCTACACAACAACATCGTCGTCAGTACCATAGTTTAAAATATAATTTATTGTGTTGCTTACCATGTGATGCAGGTGCGACCGCACATACATCAAGGGCGTGCCAGCACTCGCCGTCGCGTGAATCTCCACTGGTGGAGCCTCACCGCAATACTGAATGCACAGGTGTGTGGCTCGATCACATGCCTCACGCACGATTTCCTCCACGTTTATAAGATGAACACGTCCTCCTGGGTGCTCGAGCGATTCCACGTGCTGGCCAATGAGCATACGAATGCCGATACGTCCCAGAAAGAACTTGTCCAGTCGGTCCTTGATGTCTTCCTGCACGCTCTCAATTTGCAGCGCACTATGTCCGAGATCCGTCGCCTTGAGCTGTTGAAGACCATAGCAGATCAGCGGCACCAAGTTCGAGCCGCGTGCCTTAGCTTGACGCAACGTCTCTGTGAACTGTCGGTCCTCCGCCTGCCAGCAAACTCAAAGCAAGTCAGAAAACTCACCACCCTTATACCCCCCCCCGGATTGTCTTCGTACAACGGTGCTTGGTGGTTTAGTCGCGTTGATCCATTGCAGTTCTCGTCGGTAGACGTCGATGGCTTGACGGATAGACGCTGTGTCGCAAAGACCCAATGGTAACTCCGAGAGCTCCACAATCGCTCTGTATATCCCCAAACAGCACGACAGAGCAAGGTTAGAGTCACCAAGTTCTCTTCATCAGAGCGAAAGCAGCGCTAAGCATAGCAATAATTGTGGTTTTGGTTAAATGGTCATGGGTTTCTCACCGAGCGAAACGCGACTGCAGCTCCTTGTGCAAGAACTTAGCCGACACAATGTGCAGTTTGGCCCCTCCATCCGCAAACGATCGCATCTGTTGCAGAGACAGAGGCGTGGGCTCCGTGTCGGCAATCTCGCGCACTTGATCCATAGGAATGGGTGTCTCGTTACTGCACAAAGCACAGGAGATGTCAGGAGCCATTGCGAAAGAGGGATGCAATCACAGAAAAACGTACAGATCGAAGGAAGAGCGGTGGGTCTGGATGCAGCGCATGTGGTGTGATCGGCCTAACGCCGCTGCCAGGGACGCGGATCTTCGGCCTCGCTGCAACATGGTTCCGCAGTCAATTGGCTCTCTTTTGCAAAGTTGTATTAATAATATTAATTTAATATTCCCACTTTGAAAGACGTTGCGCAAGCACTTCAGCTTCACACGACGCGCTGATTGGTCAAGACAGCGCCACAAGAATGTGCTCCACACAAGTTCAATACAGACAGAGCCAGGGCGATGGGGACCATTCTATTTTCGTTCTGTTAAGGAATTAGTACTGTACATGTAATTCAATGGTAGAATTTCTACACAGGGATTGACCCTGGCACAAGCTACTGTAGACTACGGTGGGAACCTAGCTTAAATGTTGCTGCCTTCGACTGTTTTCGTGCTCACCGAAAATGAAATCGCTCCCCTCCAGCATCTAATCTAGTGGTTGGATGAGTGATCGCGTGCCAGTACAGTACCGGTATTATTAAAGTACACGTACATTGTCAATTTGACGTTGCATTGCCAGCGAATCGTTGGTCGTGACGTCGATTCGTCGCTCATGTACATGTAGCTTCAACGTTCTGGTGGTCGGTATAACAGTACCAGCCGAAAAGCAAGCTTCGTTAAAAATTAATGTCAATGCACTCGCACTGTGACCTAAGATACTGTACATGCATGCACTGCATCGATAATAGAGCTGTGGGATGGGTGTTTATTTTGTCTGGAGATGTAGTGTATACTTCAAATAGTAATATTTATTATTTATATATTAAATATTATAAAACATCGATTTTGATACTAAACTGTAGTAATAGTAAAGCGTTTTTAAAAAGAGAATGGAAAATCCTATTTTAGAAATTTGTCATGGATTACGTCTAGCTACGTGAGCACTGTTAATAATGGTGCTCATCACTTGACGATACTTCGAAGTATATGTTTCGATATTTACGAGCAGTGTGCGGTGCAGGTGATAATTACTATTGATAACATTTGTTATCGTTTCGTTTCACCCGGAATACAGTGATGGCATTTTTACAGCGGAACAGCGGAGTAACGTTGTAACCTTGTGTAATTATCTTTCATACGGCAAAATTTCACGATCGTATACGCAGCGACGGTGAATAAATTGTTAGCTGCAGAATGCTGTCATGTTTTTTATTTCAGTCTAGGAGGGATCCGATTTTCATCGCTTTCCACAGTCTTTAGGGGTCACACGAACAAAAACATTAATGAGAGCTTATGCAATGACTGTCATCTCGATCCGAAAAGGGACGAGGAGAGGCTTGTTCTTCCAAATACGAAGTGAGGGAACGCGTCAGAGGGAGAGTATATACCGATAAGTCTGCGGTATACCGATACTTAAAACTGATTGTCGCTTTTGTATCATTGTGCTTTGCAGACAAGGTCGAGCGGCCGTTATTCCACTGGAATAAAGTACTACACCTTTGCCAATCCAAACTGGTGGTAGTGTAAACCAAAACGGAGTGAAGTAACCGAAGTAACATCTAAATTTGAGGAATAAATTTACAAAATTAGTTTTTAGAGCAATGTAGATTTAGTGTAGTGCAAACTGGCAAGAACGCGAGTGACACATCCAGCAATACGAACTACCGGCGCGCTGCGGACTGGGGTACACACAAAGATGTAAGGGGGCGTGAAAGCTGCGTATGGGCGCCAGAACACGAGAGTGTGGATGCACACAGTGACCTCTCAGCTTGTACAGCCTGCATAATCATCGATAGAGGGACCAAGACGGCCAGCAACCCAATTAGACAGAGTACATCAAGGATGAGAGCTTTGGCCTGCGCTTGCAGACCGTGGGGAATGGAAGGAGAAAGGGTTGCAGCTCTGAGTTTCCTTCTCAAAAACGGCGCTTGGCGATTGACGTGCCATCAAGCGCTCGTGTTGGGGCTGCTTGCCTGGACGGTCAGCGTTAAGAAGAGTTCTACACTTCTAACGGCGTCCGGTGCGGGGCGCTCGTGGCTATAGCCAATGCACTAATGTAATGTACGTGGTGCATGTGCAGTACTTTAAGTACTGTAGAAGACAAGATACTGTTATCGAGGCGACCATCGAACGATATATTCATCATTTTGCTTTACAATATTGGTCTATATTAATTTTGGGGATTTCTAAATTTAAAAAAAAATCTAAATAAGTGACACTCCGTTTTGGTTTACACTACCACCAGTTTGGATTGGCAAAGGGGTAGAATATCGATCGTCCGTCATTTATTCAGATCTTATCCAGGTACTCGTAACCCGGGTATTCCAACCCTGGCGTTACTACAGAAACTACATTTCTCTACTGTAAAGAGACTTGCACGGCGCTTTCTTTCCCCCGAAAAACATATTTATGCTCGCTTCTGGATTCGCAAGGCCATACTGTAGTGTACTCGAGATAAATGCGAGTAGCAACGTAAGTTGACTAGGAGAAAGTTAAGGTATTCTACATGTACATAATTCGATAGAGTGGTTATAATATTTGTAATGATATTATACGAAAATGTATTCCTGAAAATGATTCTACAGTAGAGAACCCGTGTTTGAGTTGGGCCACTTGCTTGCCGTGTCTTGCTGGCATTAACGGCGAGTATGTGCCCAACTCAAGACTTCTGCCGGTCTGTTATTTTGTATTGTTGTTAGACAGTTCGTTAGTGTTATGCATGCTCATTCAATGTGTCACAAATAGTTCTTATAAGTCGACACAACAGAGCTCGCACATTAAAAAGCTATGACTGACAACTCAATATGCACGTACGAGACGTCTAAGAGACCAAATACGCTATTTGATACCTATAAATAAACACATAAAGCTGATAAGTTGCTCTTCATAGCGGCAAAGTGCGCCGATGACAGCGCGGCGTACTGGCACTGCCCGCCACTGAGCTCTTTAGGCTATGGAGGACAAGCGTCCACAAGCTACTGTGATAACCAAATTGGCTATCACGATCGCTTGTGGACACGTACATGCATGATGCTTAGCTAGTGTGGTAGAAGGGATAATGGTAGGCAAATATGAGCTTGGAAGTCGCCACAGACGGTCAGATAGGCTCTGCTGCGAGCAAATGCTGCCGACACTTTAATAACTTAGTAATATTTGGTCTAGAAAACATAGATAGTTGCTGTCCGCACTCAACACTATCAAATGCGTCGACTGTGTAAAAGTACGTTTTGCTCTCAAGTTGCATGCAATTCTGGTTTGACACTTGTCTGACGTCTTAGCGATTTTTGCCATACAATCAAACAGAGGGGAAAAACAGCATAAATCTTACTAATGAAAAATGGACAATATGCCGGTAGGAAAATCAACACAGTTATCAATATGTTCGAACTGCGAATATATTCGACTCAACCATAGCCCGATTTTTAATATAAAAGCCACGCCACTCATAGAACTACTACGCCTTCAATCTTCATAGATCCTTGTTCTACTTGGCCATCGTGACCAAGAGTCCATCTTGTTGGTAGTACAGGTGCGTAGCATAGTCACCGATCGATGCGCCGAGGCTGCCGTTAACACGCATCAGCAAACCGCCTGTCAGCGAATAAATTATTGTCGCGATGGCCTCTGGGGTGAGGAAGCTCTGAACTTGAGCGCTCATGCACTGACCCACTGACGCACGCGGACACAACGACACACGGTCACTGCAGCGCGAGCCTTGGCAGCACGAGAAGCAGCCATTGGTGTTCGCAGGAATAAAGATCGGCTGAAACACGGGAGGAGCGAATCGAGCGAGGGACTTGTCGAAGTATTTCTTGCACGTCAGTTTACCGTCATCGCCTACCAGCAACCAGAGAGTAATAATTGTTAGTGATAGTAGACAATACATGAGTAGCTATTGCACGGACCTGAGACCTGGTCTTCACAGGGATACAGCTCCAGATCCACCCCTGTGACAGTGATACTCTCACTGAACGGGTTCCGTAGCTCGAGCGAAGTCGGAATCTTCGTCAAGTGGAAAAGTGACGGAATGTACAAGAGCGACGAGGTGACAAGCGTCGGCGTCGCTGGGAACAGCTCGCTCAGAGTAGGCAGCATCGAAGGGATCGAGAGAACCTTCATCGCCGGCTGAAGAAGATCCAACGAGGTACTCTCCGCAGACCCCTTGATTGCAATCTGTAGTCACCAACACCACGCATTACATTCGTTACGTTAGTACCCGCATAAACGCAATGCAGGTAAAGATTCCCAGAGCTGGCGATGGTACCTCCTGGGCGGCCCCGCGCGTGAAGTAGCCGGACACAAAGTTCGACAGAAATCTCTCGGCGGTGGCGAGGTCACTCGGCTTGGGGTGATACTCGAAACTTCCACGAAGAACAGTAGGTTTGCCGCAGCAATTGAGACTAAAATCGGATATCTTGGCCGAACCCATTCGTGCTCCATCGGAGAACACATCTAGCACGAGTGAGCCCAACTTTGTCTGCACAATAGACGGGTTCTGCAATGAAAACTCCATCGTCATTATCATTGACGACGGTGAGCCTCGCTGAATGTCGACGGTGAGGACCTTAACCGGTGGGTGGCGGAAGGAATCCATCGCGGGGATAAGCGGTTCGCCTTTAACTGGAATGTTGCTGAGCGCAAGCACCCCCATTCTCGTCTCCACATCCGGGAACGCTCCTTCATCAGCGTCAATATCGCTAGCCAGTCGCATCATAATGCTCCCATTCTTCGTTAGCAAATCGTTGATAAAACCAGACATCCCGATGACGTCTTCATGAGTGTTAAAGCCAATCGGGTAGAAGTGACTCATATTCAGACGAAAGGCTCCATCATCCGTCTGGTTGAACTCGCAGGTTTCTCGGTCAGACACCAACGATCCGAGACGATCGCCGTGTTCATTCCCCAGAGCAAGCGCCACAGATAGATTCGAGATCTTCAGAGGCATCTTGATAGAAGTCGGCATCTTCACCTTGGCCTTCATTTCGGTGCGAACCCTCATTCGTGTATTTGTCACCGGGCCTCTCTCGCCTGGTGGGGCCTCGTCCAGCATGACATCGAGCTGGCTCATTTTGATATCCTTAATCATCTGGAAGCCCTTAATAACACCAGGGAAGCTCGTCTCGATTGTCAACCCTACCAAAGCCTCTTGCAACCACACACAATGACCATGTTGCGTGCCTGTGATCTTCACAACCACTTGAGAGTCTCTACCCTCCAGGTAACGAGAGAAAAATCCCGCCACGGCAGCACTCACTTGCCCTGTTGCATCTACAGAAGGCTTTAGCTGGCCATTTAGTTCCAGATTGTTCATACCAGGGCCAAGGTTCATAATGCCACCAAGTGATCCAAATTTCTCTCGAGGCGCGTCCAAACTTAAATCCATCGTGAGTGCTCCAATGGATACGGTAAACACAGAAGGGTTACGGATCTCTATCTGCGTCTGGATCGGCTCTTCATGTTTCGTCGCGCTGCCAGTCCCTGGCAAGGCAAAATTCTTCACCGTCACATCGTGAAAGTTGTTCATCCCAGTCAGCAACGTGGTGCTGCGAAGAAGCAGCCCTGAGAGCTTCAGCGTTCCTACAAGAAAAAAAAGACAAGCAAAAGAGCAGTGTCAATAACGTAAAGTATGCGTCATCAGGACGCCCGTAAAATCGTACCAAGAGCCCCATGACACACCACATCCATACTCCCAGCAAGAGTTAACGGGATCTTCTCCTTGACAACAGACGCACGAACAAATCTGCCAAATGCCTTTCCCCTTTCCGCAAGGTCGAGCTCCGTTAAGCATTCAACCGAAATATTGCCTCGATCCACCAGCTTTCCGTCAATGATATCAACAGACACAGTCGAAAGCGTTCCGAGAGCTAGATCCGCGCCCTTCAGACTAACATTCATGCGCACATCCGTGATAGTCAATGCCGAATTGGGTCCCAACGGACTCGTTGCTTCCACTAGGACAGCGGTGTCAAGTCGTACCATATCGTTTTCCTTGCCTTCTTCCGGAGAGTGCAGCGCAATGCCACGGAAGAACATATTCCCCACCAACGGGTCTTTCTGAGGTGGCAACGAGCTTTCAATCGTCAGATTCTTCATCGCCTCATTATACAGCTCCACCGATGTCGCCTGAGACTCGCACGTCACTACTGTCAACTCTGCAGAGACGTTACTCAAATACTTGGTAATCAATCCGCTAATCGCTTCCGAGTTGGTGCCCAGCATTTCACCTTGCAGATCCAGCAAATTATACCCCTTACTCGTATCCGTCGGTCCATGCAGCGATGCACAGTACGGATGTGACGGCTGTCCGTCTGCCACTGGTAACCCCGTCTCCTCCGACGTCGTCAAGTGTGCCACTAGAGTCTCGTGCCCTAATCTCGGGTAGTGAGCATTCAGACACAGCGCTCCCACCGGTCTGATCGTCGTGATCGACGGGTTACGAATGCACGTCTTGATGGTCGCCACAACTTGTTCTTGGGTCGAATGCTGCATGTCCACTTGAGCGATCTGCATGTCCCGAAGTCCGTCCATTCCTTTGAATGCCATCGTTTTACTCAATGGAATGTCCGAAGCACTTAACTTGATCAGACCCCCCAATAGTCGAACGTGGATGTTCAACTTGCTGGAGATTTCGTACTGCACATTGGAGCGTCTCATCATATCCCCTGCGAATTGATCCCATGCTTTCTTGTTCTGAATTTTCAGCGTCGAATTGGGGAATACTTGGTTGTTGGTGCCATGGGTTATCGACATGGAAGGAGCTTGGAAGGTGCCGACTTCGAGGCCGCCATATTTTATACTGAACGTGGCGGGGTCCACTGTGGCTGGATATGGAGACGCCGCCATGAGACTCAAACTGAGGTTCAGTGCAACAGAGGACGACTGCGGTCGACTCAGATCCATTTTCTCGATGTGCATGACCGTGTCCTTGATGGCCTTGGTGGCGACGCGAGAGATCTGACTGGACACGACGAAGTACGAGAGACCGCACAATAGCAGCACCACGCCCGTGACGGTGACAAGGCGACGCCGGTACCACGGCTTGACCGGTTTTCTTGGCTTGTAGTTGCCATCGTGCAGCTCGAGTAGCGGCTGCTGTGCCGCCAGGCGCTCGTCCAGGTCCAGCTCGTCTTCCTCCAGCTTTGACATCAACGGTGTTCTTTCTTCAACTGATTAAAAAAATATTGGAGCTTCTAAAAATTAATGAATATAGAAAATGTCGCGAATTTATTTAAATTTCACTGAAGTTCTCTAATTTCAAATTAAAATACCTCATCGCAATGCCATTAAATCCCTCATCTTACTGACTTCATCATTTGTCAAAATGAAGGCAACAATCGAAAGTGATGACGCTAAGGAAGATAAGGTGGAGGCGCCTAGCGACGGCCCGGGCTACCCTGTGGGGACCACACTGGTGGCACGCTGGATGGGCAAGACGGAGCGACCATGTGTCGTGATCGAGCGCAGTACGAAGAGCTATTGTGGGCTATTTTGTGTAAATGCCAGAAGTTGGTACTCACATTTTTCAATTCTCTTACTTACCTGATGCAGCGGCGCTGAGCAACGATCGGTTCAAATACTACGTGCACTGGCATGATGTACGTTCATTGCAGGGTTATCTGGTACAGAATTGGTGTCAACTTATGACAATGTTCTTGACTTGCTGCAGTTCAATCGCCGTATGGACGAATGGATCAACGAGCACGAGATCGTGCGCCGAGGCACCGACCAAGAGACGCTCGAGCTGCAGGAGAAAGACGCCAAAGAGAAGGAGAAGGAGCAGCGCGCCAAGAGCCGCAGCAAGAGCAACGCAGCCGGTCCTGGAGACAAGAAGCAAGGAGAACCCGCAGCTTCAAGTCCAGATCCCTCCTCTCGTACTCGAGGACAGAAGCGGAAGACGCCAGATGATCAGGATTTCACCCCTCAAGAAGAAGAACATGACGAACACGAAGGCATGGACGCCGCCAGCATTCGAGAGCACGAGGAGGTCACTAAAGTCAAGGTACGTTCAGTGCTGGAGCTGCTGGAGATGTTGAAGCTGTTTAACCGAAGACGCTTGTTGCTGCAGAATGTGAGGTTCGTGGAGATGGGACGCTTTCGCATGGCAGCTTGGTACTTCTCTCCGTTCCCGAAGGAGTATTATCCTGATGGGTCGATCGATTGTGTGCGTGCTGTAAATTTGATGTGCTGAAGAGCTGCGTTGCGTCTACTAACTCTCCGTTTGTTTGGCGTTTCTAAACTGACGCTGCAGCTGCACTTCTGCGAGTTCTGCATGGCATTTTTCCGCTTCAAACGAGAGCTCAAATTGCACCAAGAGCGTCGAGTGTGCAACCGCGTAAGTCGGAGTTCGTATGTGGCAGTCTCTTTATTTACCTCCTTATGGGTTGACACAATAGCACCCGCCAGGCAACGAAATCTACCGACACGAACATCTGAGCGTTTTCGAGGTGGATGGCGCGATTTCCAAAGTTTACTGCCAGAATCTCTGCTACTTCGCCAAGTAAGTTTTGTCGTGAGGAGCGATAGGGAGGTTTAACACGCTAAAGGCTCTTTTCTACTATCTTGTAGATTGTTTCTGGACCACAAGACGCTTTACTACGACGTGGACCCGTTCCTGTTTTACATTATTTGTGAAATCGACTCGCGCGGTTTCCACCCCGTGGGTTATTTCTCCAAGGAAAAGTACTCCGAGCTGGGGTACAACCTGGCTTGTATCCTTACGTTCCCATGCCATCAACGCAAAGGTTACGGCCACTTTATCATCCAGTTCTCCTACGAACTGAGCAAGAAAGAAGAGAAGGTGGGATCGCCGGAAAAGCCTCTGTCGGATCTTGGACTCGTGAGTTATCGCAGCTACTGGACGCGCGAACTCTTGCGTATTCTACAGGATTATCCGGAAAAGGAAGTATCGATCATGGAGCTTACTCGGGTACGTAGCGAAAGTGCCATGTTTTTAATAAGGTTGTTGCTTATTTCTAAAAACTTGCTGTGTGTCAGATGACATCTATCAAGAACGAGGACATTATCGCGACGCTGCAGCACCTCAACATGATCAAGTACCTAGGCGGACAGTACGTGTACGTGGTTCCAAGACAGATCGTGGACGCGCACCTGACAAAGCTGACGAAGAAGGGTCCACAGGTCGTTCCGGAGAAGCTGCACTGGGCTCCGCTGCACCTGGACATCAAACGCGACAAGTGGTCGCTAAAAGCAATGACAGCAGACAAGGAGGATTAGAAATAAAGACCCGGGTCTACTGGTTTCTATCTTTTTCTTAGGTACTATAACTACGTGTTGATGTTTTCTTGTTATTTGTTTGCTACCTTCTGGTATGCCAATTGGAATTCTTGCTTCTGCTCCGAAGTCATCTCGCTCTGCACATTCTGGAGGACGTCGCTGGTATACAATGACTCGGAGCACCGTAAGTGATACCATTCCGTGATCATGAAGCCTTCAACGTGGATGAACATGAATCCGAGCTGCCACTCGCCCTTAGCGATGCTTCTGGAGCAGACTTGGCACGTGGTGGTGGCGATGGGGGTAACGCGAGCTACGGGGTCGTCACTGCGGAGCCAGGAGCTACTAGATCGCGGGCTCGTACCAGGCGGCGGGACTTGCGGAAGTTCGTCCATTCTGTCGATAATTTGACCTTTGGTTCGAGTTGGCTAGATTGATGGTGGGATCGCGTGTCTTGACTGCAGTGGGAGGTTGGTACCTGGTGCTGTTTGATATGAAACGAGCCAAGCAGACAAGACTTGGAGTTCAGCGCTAAGCTGTTAACAGTTAGAAGGAGCTTGAGTGCTTGTCCTTTGTGCGAGAGGAGGCGAATCCAAAAGTGCAGATGGGACTGAAGAGCTGTCGACGTAAAAACCAGTACGACCGGACACTCGCGGTGGATGGCTGCGTCACTGCAGTACACTGTGATATTCGTACATCTTTCCAGGTGTACTTGATTTACAGGGCTCATTGACCACGTTCAGTCTCACTGCGACTCTCAAATCGATGGCTGCTTTTCTAGGAATGTGGCTCAGTTTCGTCGCTGTTGACTGAGAAAACAACGTCGATTCCTATAATACACAGCTTGATTACTGTGTCTTGCTGTCACTTTAGCGCTCATAAACTCGGTACTCTTGGCAAACGAAAATTCAAGCGGAGATATCAATTCTGGATCTCCACCACAGAACCTGGTTTTTTTACAACAGCGTGGTGGTACAAAATCTGGGACAGCTATGCAACGGTCTTTTTGATCTTTTCGGCATAAAATCGAATTTCGGTTCAAAATGTTTTTTTGCGGTTTTTTGTGGTTTTTTTGTCAACGTTGCCATTTCACCATGGTCCTTCGGAACTCGTCGCAAGTGGACTAAATGACTGGCTAACCAAGCTTGGTTGTGCCTTCGGTTCTTGCCTTTCGCGCTGGGCATTTCCAATTCTTCAATCAATGGGTCGGGTACGCAAAGAAGGTGTGTGGTCTCATTTCAAGGATCATCCCAAGGGGAAGTATAAGACTCGGCGAGTGAAGTGTAATCACTGCACTACGACCTTGTCTGCGATGGTGAAACATATGCAGCGCCATATCATCAACTGCGAGAAGATATCGCGTGGGTGGGGGCGCATGCTACTTGAAGACAACGTTTTGGTGGAGGATTTAGAGCGTCAGTCAGAAGGAGCCCAAGCTTTGCGATCTATGGCTCAGCAACTGCAGGCAAAGGTGTATCCACACTATAGCAAGGACGAGCGCGATGCACTGGATCGATCATTTGCAAGGGCGATGCACGAAAGGGGAGCAGAGTTCGGTATGTTTGATCATACTGCTTGGAAAAACTTTTTCGATTTGCTTCACCTCCCATGGTCGCCTCCATCTTCCTCCGAGCTATCTACGACACTCCTTTCAAGTTGCTATAACGACGTCATGCTGGATGTGGCGCGAGCGTTGCGCGAGTCCCCCGCAGTTACGCTTGGTGTGGACGGCGCGACTAATGTTCTATCGAGGAGTTTGTCCAATGTCATTGCACATGATCCAAGACCATGGTTTGTCGAGTACTTGCGCGCCGATCTGAAGAAAGAGAGCGAGCCCGAGGTGACTAAGAAGGTAGAAATATCTATCACTCGCATGCACACTTATCTCGACCGTCCAGTTGTGTTCGCTTTCGTATCGGATAGTTGCAACTTGATGAGGGCTGTTCGCAAATCGTTGCAAGATAACAATTCTGTTGCCTTTGCTTACGGATGTGGAGCCCATGCGCTCAACAATTTCTGTGAGGGCATCGTGAAGAAACCCGGGGTAAAAGCTTTTGTTCGCAACGCTGTCTACCTGAGCAAGATTGTGAAAAATACTGGCTTACTCAACAAAACAATTTCGAGTCTGTGCTTCGATTTTCTTCAGCGGCAGTACACAATGGTGTTGTACTCTGCATCGCGTTGTAGCAGTGTAAACTATATGTTCCAGCGTCTTGCAAAAGTCAAGAGACCGATGACCGCGGTTGTGACCGCTGTGATGAACGAAAAGGTGGAGCGCAACATTGACCCCTCGTACCAGCTTCCAAGCGAGTTTACAAGTATAGCCATGGATCCGCAGTTCTGGGGTAACGTATCGTGGCACATCAAAGTGTTCGATCCCATTTGTAAATGCATCGGCGTCATGGAGAGCAACTCAGCCACAATGTCCACTGCGTACGCTTGTTTTGTGTATGTATTCATCCATGCACGGGAAACTTTCCCTGGCGACGCCCTGCTCACGAAGTTGATCCACAGATGGAATCGCATTCAGAGCCCAGTTCACGCATCGGCATTCTACTGCGACCCGTTTTATCATCCTTTTCGTTTGGCTGTCGCAAAGCTGTACGGACAAGATCCTATTGAGCTTGGCAAAGGGGATATCTGTGCTCAATGCCGTTTTGCAATTGAACTAGTATGCCGTTAAGACCAAGACCAGAAGCGTCGAGCTCTTGATGACTTCCTCCGGTTTTGCACCACCGAAGCTGAGATTGCTTCTGAGTGGAGCAGCATTACCCAGTTCCCCCCGCAAAAGATCTGGACGCAAGGACGAAGCAAATTTCCTGTTCTGGCGGAATTGTTAGTGAAGGTCTACACGTCTCCAGCATCGACGGCTGGTGTAGAGCGTCAGCATAAGGTGGGGAAGCGTATCCACTCTTCTGCGAGAAACCGTCTTGGAGCGGGGTTGGTCGAGGAGCAGGCTGCCGTAGCTCACAACGCTGCCGTCGCGACGATGGAGGCACCTCTACAACGACAACGTTTTGAGCAGCACATGGTCTCGGACTTTGTGATGAACGCGGGTCTACAAAGTGGAGGTGGGGATGCACGTATTGACAGTGGAGAAGCTCGTGAACCAGCCGACGAGGTCGAAACAGCAGACGCCGAAGAAGGTATTGCCGAAGTTCTAACTGAAGCGGAGTTGATGGAACAAGAAATCTTAGAGGCTGCTTTGTCTTTAGTGTCAACTCCTTTGGACATCGACGACAACATTCTCTTCCCCAACGTAGACGACGATTAACCCCTTGGTTACCAACGTCGTAGCTTACGACGTAGTGAAAACCTTAAGTCGTAAGTTACGAGCTAACTGTCAAGATAAACAGGAAATGGCTCAGATGCGACGATCACATACTTTAATCAAGTCTGTTTCTCTGCAAAGAAAATATAAGCTTGGAAAGGTAGTGGGCGACAGGGGAGAAAAAGGCTGTAGGTGGATTCACTGTCCCACTATCTTGGGACCGTACGTTTGGTGGACGGTGGATGTCCTCCACCAGTACAGAATTTGCGGACTCAAGCAAAGATGCCGGTCAGAACAAGCAAGCGGACAAAAGCTCAAGCAGAGGCGCTCTCAGCAATCGACGTGCGAGATGTGGATTTTGGTCATCTATGGCGTCAGCTCGTGCGTGTCGGATGGACGTCAAAGAGGCCAACGCGGCTGTCCAATTTGCACTCGTACTACCCACCGAACGCTGCAAAGGAGCTACACATCGAGGGCGTGAACATGTTTGTCGGTAAGTCTGATGTGGTTAGTGTGTCTAATACGTGCTTTGTGCTGTGTATGCGAAGGAGAACATGCGGTAGTAAAGTATGCGTTTGAACAGGGCATCATTGGCGCTGAAGAGGGAGGTGCAGGCGACGACAGAGACGACGAGAGTGAAGAAGGTGAGCCAGAAGTTCCTGCAGAGTGTGAGAGGGTAACACCGTCTCAGATTAACACGAGTGTTGCTCTCTCAGCGAACACCGTTGAAGCATTGTTTGGATCCGAGAGCGAGGACAGCGAGACACCTGCAGAACTCCCGCTATGCGCCACAAGTCCGCACATAGAGGATGAGAGCTCAAGGGCGTCACAGATAGACACAAGTATTGCGCTTTCAGCAAACACCATAGTCGAGATATTTTGTGGAGCTATGAGCGGTGATGAACCAGATGTAGCGCTGTCACTATGCGCCGGTCAAAATGGTGCTGTTGACGAGCCTGTGACGCCAACAAACTCGAGACGAAACGATGAGCGAACGAACTCGAGAGAAGATCGTGGCTTGCTACAAGAGGACGTGAACATCATGAAGGACGAGGACAATGCAGACGAGTATGAGAGCATGGACTCGGAGTCGGATAGCTTTGGATCAGATGATGATAGTGATATTGTTCAAAGGCAAATTGGTGACGACGTGTCATCTGACGAAGAAGAGGCGCCTCTTATGGATGCAGCATTTATTGATTGCTTGGGGGGTTCTCTATCTATCGAAGACATGAACCAGATTACACTACGTTCGATGGCGTGGACTCCTGCATCCTCCGAGTATGAAACCGACAATAGCGCGTTCAAAGGTATGAAGGATCAAGCGGCTAGGCCTGTGGAAGCACTTCGTGCTAAAATGGATTCTCCATTGGAATTGCTATTCTTTTTTATGCCGGTGAACCTGTGGACATTCATCACGAGCGAGACAAACAGATACAAAAGGTCACACCTCGAGGAAAAGGCGCGCCAAGAACGTGCACGTCTCGTTCGTGAAGGACGCAGCGTACCAGGTCAAACGCTACGGGATGTTCGCCGCCGCATACGAGTCGAACCTGATTACGTACCGCGCGAGATTCTTTGTGTCATGGGTCTACTTGTAGCTCATATGCTCAGCCCTACCCGTCCGTTTTCAGATCACTGGGCTATGACAGATGATGGCGCGCTTTCGGCGGGACGGTTTGGCAATTTAATTTCTTGAAATCGCTGTACTTCTATCCTACGAGATCTACATTTCTGCAACAATGACACAGCTGACAAGAGAAACAAGTTGTGGAAACTGCGAGCTGTTGTTGACGTACTTCAAATGGCATTCCTAGCTGCGTGGATAGTGGCTGCAATCATCTCTTTCGACGAAGGTGTACTTCCTCAAACGTCCAAGCGTAACAGTACCCGTATGTTTATGCCGGACAAGCCGCACCGTTATGGCACCAAGATGTTCATGACGTGCGACGCAGTGTCTGCTTACTGCCACAGGTGCGCATTTTTTTATAAGTGTTGCAAAGTCGTAAGTTTCGACTTGATGGTCTGACATTTGCATTATGTTGTCACTTACGACTTTAGATTCGAGATATATGTAGGGAAGCGTCAAAACCATGAAAGTGCAAGTCAGGCGTTTGACCACAAGACAGGAGCAGCCGCTGTAATTCGAAATTTGAAGGCTGTGTTGGATGAGAACGACCCCGGATTTCGTGTCATTGTTGTCGACAGATTCTACACCTCCGTTGCTCTCGCCATTCAACTACTTTCGATGTCGGTCTACATGATTGGAACAATCATGACGTCAAAGCTGGTATTCGACAAGCACGTCGTTGAGCGAAGGAAAACACGACCAACCACAGTAGAGCGCGGGTCATTCACGTACTCAAGGTCGGTTGCGGTGCCCACCATGGTTGCATGCCACTGGTGGGACCGCAAGCCGGTGCACTACCTGGCCACTGGGGTGTCAATGGCCGAAGATACCATCAAGAGAAACCTGAAGACGGTGGGGCAGTCGACGTTCAGCTGTCCCAAACTGGTGACCGATTACCAGCGCTGGATGGGCGGAGTTGATGTGCATGATCAACTCCGCCTTCAAACGTTCTCCGTCCAGACTTCTTTCAGGTTCCGAAAGTACTATAAGGGTCTATTTTTAGGTCTGTTTGACCTAGCGCTTGTAAACGCGTACATCACACACAAGGAGGCCTGTCGCCTCGACGGCGTCGCCCCAATGAAGCGCGTGGACTGGTACAAGTTGCTGCACAAGCAGCTCACGCAGCTCACGGACGAAGACTTCAAAACAGCAGCGCCATCACCGTCTCCAAGCGCGCCAAAGCGCCGCCGCAACGCTTCCTACGTACACAAGCAGCTTGATGATTGGGTGATTGTATCGGGCGTTCAGAAGCGGCGCCAGCGCTCTTGCAAGGTGTGCTCCCTCTATCGAGGTGAGCAGAAGAAAAGCTACCAGACTACTTACTACTGTGAAGACTGCTCGCAGGGTGATGCAAAAAAGCTTCCTCTGTCCCAAGGCGCGCAGAGGCACGGATACAACGTGTTTTCAAGTGTGGCACGACGACTTCGAATGTGGCGCGTCAATTCCGAGTCACCTAGGTAAGCGTGTCGTTCTGCGCCGTGCCCCCAAGGCCGCCGGAGTGCGAAAGAAGACACGTCGAGAAATCTTGTCTGAGGAGAAAGAAGAGAGCTAGTGAGCCTCCCGTACGGTCTTTAGCAATGCTACTAATGCATTTTGTTGAGTTTCATATGATTGCTGTGCTGTGTAGCTCCGGTTATAATTGTGTTTGTGGATTGTGATCCCGATCACATGATCGGCTAAGCTGTATCTGTGTACTTGTTAGTCAGCGATGCTGAAGTACGTCGTCAGTGTTACGACGTAAAAATCGGAAACCTCTGTATAACTTATAGTCCCATCTTAATGATCAGCCTGGAGAGGGTAACAACGAGTATTACCCAAAAAAAACATGACGGCAAAAATAAGCAAAAAAATCGGTTTAATATATGTTCTTTTTATGTATAAAAAAACAACCTATCTACATATAGTCCCGGACAGCACTACTAACTGCAAGTACGAAGAAACTTACATGTTGGGTTGATGCATGTTCTAATTGGTTTCTTCAATCTACTATTTTGCTCTGTTCTGTGGGCGTCTACTATTGTGCTTATAAAAACAAAATGTGTCTTCTTGACTGGCGCGACGATACTCGGACAACACTCGACATCGAATAACATCTTTGAGTCATGTTGCCTTCTGGCAAGCCAACTGGAACTTCTTCTTCTGCGCCGGAGTCATCTCACTCTGTACGGTCTGCAGAACATCACTCAGGCCACTGCCCTGCAGCGACTTGGAGCATTGCAGGTGATACCATTCCATGAGCATGAAGCCTTCGACGTGGATAAACATGAGTCCAAGTTGCCACTCGCCCTTGGCGATGCACTTGGAGCAGACTTGGCATGTGGTGGTGGCGATGGGGGCAATGCGAGCGACTGCCTGGTCGCAACGGCTCCACGAGTTGCTGGAGCGCGGACTGGTGCCCGGAGGCGGCACCTGTGGTAGTTGATCCATTTGAGTCGCCATCGGTTGCTACGTGGAGAAGGTCGCTTGGTGTGTTACGCGCAGTCGAGACGAGACTGCAGAGGAAGTTTCGTGTGTGGTGTTGGGTTGACCGATGCAGACAAGACTTTTGGTGGAGTTCAGTTGAGTCTGCGTGAGAGATGGCGAGTCCAAAAGTGCAGATGGGGGGAGGGGGGGGCAACGGCAAAGGCACGGAGAGTGGTGGAGTGGTGGGCGCTTTCGTGCCGGTGGCCGTAACTGTGGCAAGCACTGAAGTCGCGAACGAAACTGGTCGGTCTTTGCAGAAACCGAGGCTTGATTCACTGCGTTGTGTTGTGGTGCAGCGTGTGTCTTTCCAGCGACTTCCGGAGCACTAGCTGCTGATTTTGCAGCGAAGTTGTGGAGGCTAGGACCTGTGACGATGGCAGTGAAATGCGTTGTGTTGCTGGTCGAGCGGAGGCTTGGAGCTTTGGAGCTTCAGCAGCGCCTCGCTTTGTGTGACCCGGAGTCGCAGCCGTTTTTTTCGTAGGCGTGGCAAGTCGTCCAATTGCACAAGCTCAGATATAATACAACACCACAACATTACCGACTTAGCCAAATCTCCAGGTAATAATACTGTAAAAATACATACTTCAAGTATTATGTTACCGGTACGTACATTGCAGAGTAAAGTTAGGAGTGGACCCGATTACATGACGGGGCTCGCAGACCTCGATAACCGCGTAATGGTCCGAGACAAACGCACACGCAAGCGAGTTCGATCGCTGTCGCTGTAATTACGCTTGATTTATCTGTAACTTTTCAGCTAGTGTTCGTGCCACGACGGCGCCATGAATCGTGGCGCCGCACAAATTCCTCGAAGCCGGTCGGAGCAGCCAGCTGGGCGTCGGCTGTCCTGGTTGCACCGCGCCGGAGCCCGCTCTTGCTCCAGGGGCTGGGCTTTGGTCCGATGCACGGACTCGGCCGTCAAGTTGACGGTCGTGCGAGCGGCACTTTCGGGTGGCAAAATTTTCTACGTTTGCAAGCGCCGAGCGCCGAGCGCCGTGACCCGGTCCGATCTCTAAATTTGATCCCATGATGAGCCAATACTTTTTTCGGCGGGCTCCTCCTCGAGGGCTTTTAGGCGGAGCGCCAGCCCTGGAGGCTGCAGACAATGCAGGTGTACCATCGCGGAGATGGGGTGGCTTCGCCGCGGTTGTCCTGCCGTCGCCGCTTTTGGGAGGCGCCCAAGCGGATTCATTTGTTGATTGTCTGCAATGTCAAGAGAACACCTTCACTTTGCTCCACGGAGAGCTGCGATGGCCCACCCATCGCATTCTTTCGTGTTTTCTGAGGTGAAGCGCTCCCTACATCATGTCGGTGTTTGTTTCTTGTACGATTCAAGTTTCGTTTTCCCGATCGGATATAATTGTAGCCTTGTCTGCCGCATTGGTGTCATGCAGAGACACGCCTAGTGGAGACGAACCCTGTTGCAATGTTGCCGGCGGACCGAAGTAACGCAAGCGCAGTTTGATTGCCTGTGAACTTTCTCCGCGGTGCCAACCCACCCTGCCTATCGAAGTTCTTCCATCCTGCGTAAAAATCTTGAAATTTGTAAATTTTGACAACGATTCGGGAACTTAAAAAGCCTTTCAAAATTTGCCCGTGATTTGCCCCCCCCCGATCCGGACCGGATTCCGACTCGGAATCCGAGGGGGGTCTATGATGGCGCGATGCTGGTTGTATTACTATTTTAGAAGCGGCAGTACATTTGTACGGCGATCGTTCGTGTTGGTGTCCATAATGCCATGTGGTTCATGCGTTGGTCATTATGGTTCGAATGAGTGGCACTTATGAGATGACCAGCGGATACGGAGATCTGGATCGCAATGTGTATCGTTGGTTAAGTGGCTACAGAGACCTCCTGGCGCTCTCAGAAAGCAGATGCCGAAGAACTGGTAGTGTTGAAGAAGACAAGAGCGACAAAGCCTACGACAAAAGCCTGCTATTCATAATGCGATGGCAACGCTTCGCGAAGCTCGCCCGCTGACTATAACACAGTGTAGTCGAGGGCATGACCATGGAAGAGAAGGCGCAATGTGCATCGAAGTAGGAGGCAAAAGGTGACAGAGGATGATAGCCCAATACTTACATGTAAAGTACCTGTGTTTTTAGCTTCAACTACAGCTAGGTGGAAAGCGTGTGGCGAAGTGAGAAGGAGTTCGTTCATCGAAACGCAGAGGAGTTGCCATGGAGCAACATCGAGCTACATCTATTAATAACAGCTTTCATCCACAAAGAAATGCCGATTTCACAGTCAGTCCGATTTGTGAGTGGTGACGCACTGGTGAGCCTTTCGTGATGCTTCTTACTTCAGTACAAATTTTGTAGAGCGCAATGGTAAGAAATGGTAATTTGTTTTTCTTTATCAATCTTCACCGCACAAAGGCACCTCCCTCCACCAACCTGCAATCCCTCCGACCCGCGAGCACCTTGAGTTCGTGCAGTGTGGCCGGGTTGAGTACCAAAAGGCTACATAATGTTACTCTCCCTCGAGTTTGCTTACATGAAGTCGTCCGTGCTGCTGCCGTCTTCCTGTGTATCCAAATGCACCGCTCGGAAGCGCTCATTGCTGTCACGAATTTCGTCCTCGCTGTCGTCATATTCCACCGTCTCGGCGTCCGCGTCCACGTCCACAGTCTCTACGACCATCTCAGGCGAAGGAGCGGTCGGGGCACTCGAGCCATCATCGAAGCCGCCTCGAGCCATAAAGCCATCCACAGAATCGGTCGCGTCGGCAGCGTCGCCTTCCCCATCTAGTGCCGCCACCGTCGAGCTGTGGAGACGCACAGTTGGCACAGGCGCTTTGGCCTTCTCGTTTTTCACCCACACCTTCCAACCATCTACCGGTGGAGATTCGTCGTCAATGTGCGACTGGACAAAGTAAAAGTCTTCGTCCGACATCGTTCCGAGCAGGTTCTTGTTAGGAGAATACGAAATGTACCAGCGCCGAGCTTTACTGGGCATGCAGCAGCGGAACAGTGTGTACTCGATGTCGCTCTTCACACAAGCGTACGTCAAGCAGTTGTCGTGGACGTGAGACGTGCTCACGTACACGCCGTTGACAGCAGCGTATCCAGCGCCTTCTACAACGTATCGTCGTTGCTCCTCCTGGTAGGATATCCCCAGCGCCTCACCCAACCTCCACAGCATTTCGAGTTTTGCAGGCTCGCGTCTCAATTGGGAAAGACGGCCACCCAGACTAGGCTGCAATGACTCGATACGCAGCCATTCATAGAGCCACTCCCACTTGTTGCGATGATCTGCTAGCCACGAATTGACTGCCGGTACGCGCGCACGCAGCTCCAACACCAGAACCAACTGTCGGTATACAAACAGAGGGACATGTGCCGTATTCACGTAGCGTGAACGCAGATTCTCTCGGCTGCGCGCGGAGCTAAGTAAGCCGTAATCGCTGTGAACCAGTGCAAGCTCCACGAGTTCCTTCTGGTAATCGCACTCATAACCCAGCACTCGCTGCACTGCTAGTGCACAGGCGTCCACCACAGGTTGTCCCTTCCATCCCGTTTCGGTGCTCTGAAGGCAGTGCAGAAGAGCACGCAACAACCGCGTGGATGTCTCGTGGTCTCCCAAACTCAACCGCAGCAAAAGTTCGCACGTCGTTTCTGCCTCTTCCTCAAGAGCCGAGTCGAAGAATACGTCATTCAGCAGCGCACCACGGCTCAGAGGGCTCAGCCCCTCGAGAATCTGAGCTCCCGTGGGCACGTCTCCGCTCGATAACGAGTGTCGCTGGAGGTCCTCACTGAAACCGAAAGCACGGAGATCTTGTAGCACTGACTTTGTCGACGACGCTGCCATATCCGTATAATACAGCATAAATCCATCCAGCTCTACACGTGATGCAGTTACTTCCGACTCGTCCTTTGCCGTATCGTCGACTGGTGTATCGTCGACTGGTGTGCCGTACTTGGTTAGCATATGCCGAGCCTGCTGCTCCACTGCAGGACTGGTAGTAGCACTGCTCAGTGACACCGAGAAGAACTTTTTTAGCTCTTCGAGACCCAAGCCAAGGTTGCCACTCGCGCCTCCCGGTGTCTGGTAGTCTTCGAAAATCTCAGTTAGTGCCTGCTCAGCCTTCTCCGATAGAACCGTGCGGTGGGGATACTGTGTGCTATTCTCCGTAAGCAGTGGCTCCGTTGTACGCCTTGGAAGACCTAAAATTGCAGTAACAGCCTCCAGTAAATACTGGTAGTCTGGTGACGCATACCGTGAAGCCGTCGGTTGCAATGTCGAGGAAGGAAAAGCATCTTTTAGCGCGCTCGGGCCACGATCGCATAGGAAAAAGTTGATCAAGCGGGCGATCATCTCGAGCTGTTGCAGCTGAGTCCTCGCCGTGGCACTGATCTCTGCGCAGTTACGCAAGAGCATGAAACACTCTTCCAAGTGGGACTGCTGCATGATGGAGGTCTGATCCAAGAAAGAAGCGATGGTCTCCAGGAACGCACGGATGACAGTCGTGTCAGCTGCTGCTGCTGCTTCAGAACGCGCTTCATTCACGGTCGCTTGCTCTTCCTTCCGATGCACTTCGTACGCTGTAAGTGCTCGCGAAACCAAGTGTACAAATGACTGCCGAGCAATCGAATCGGGGCACTCGAACAGCAATCCACGCAACCAGAAAACGCGCTTTGACGTCGATAGAGCCGAGAAGAAGCGTACACAGATAGTTTTTGACCGCGTGAACTTAGACGCCAGCAGCGTGATCCACCTCGCGATCCCATGCTTTTCCCGTGAATGGAGCAATACACTTAGAACGAACTCGACGCCAATGTCCGTCAGCGTCACCTGAATTTCTTCATCTGCTGCCAGTGCTGGAACTGCTAGTGCCACCGGTGCAGCTGGAGGGGCTGTCACGACGTTTGTCCCTGGCGATGGCGATATGGCCATAGGTATATCGTCCTCCGCTGCTGCGACCAGAGAGTCTTTAATGTACTGGGACTGTACCATCTCACGTAGGAACTCATGGAATTCCACATCAAACAGATACGAGTTTTGCAGGAAAACCTCGTTGGACTTCCACACTTCAGCTTCATATTCGCAGCGTTCTTCATCCGGAGCAGCAGTAACAACTTGTACAGAGGCTTCAGATTCGGTGGCAGGTGCTACCTCAGGCTCGACGGGGATAACTTTTTCATAAAATAGCATGAGCGCGTTGCTGAAGACTTCCATCTCCATAGAATTGTTCGAGCCGTGCCACGAGCGTCGTTGCACTCCTCCAAAGCACTCGGCTTCAATGTTGGCTGGATCAAATGGAGTCACATCCTCGTCGTCATACTTGAACCACTTCTCAGACATGTGGTCGTAAATGAAGGAGTAGTAGTGGCCACCTTGAGCGACTCCAGAGTGCACCAGAATACCCTTCAGCCGATATTCGTAGTTAGGGTCCGACTTGGTGCTGCTTCTGTCATCGCCTTCGCTCTTACCTCCACTCCGAGGAGAAGCAAGTTTGATGCTCGAGATGGGTGACGACGCTGAGGATGAAGCTGGGATTGCAGGCGTATCGCCATTCACGTCGGCCATAAACTCGTCCGAGTCGCTCGAGTCATCAGACGCCATGTCTTCGTCCGCCGATGTTTCTCCACGGTCTTGCTGCAAGTTCGAGCGAGCTTCCTGCTCTTCGATGCCCGCCTTGGTGTAAGGTTTCATGCTCAGACGCATAGGGAACGAGCACCGGTTGTTCAGCTTAACTGTCTCGAACGTCGTATAGTCCAGATCGAAACGCTTTAAGTGAAGAATCAGCAGGTTGGGAAGCGAGCCGAAGCAGGTTCGTCGCACAGCTGCCTTCTTGGTAGCACACAACTCGCACTCCACCTTGTTGTCGCCATCCATGAGTTCTCCTTCAACGAACGCGGAGAGCGATTCCTCGATGCTTTCCTTCCCACGGATCTGCAGCTCCAACCGAATAAATGGCTCTTCACGTTCGTATCGATGTCCACAATCCTTCGGAAGCTTTTGCGAGATAAGCTTCCCGCCCATCACGTCCTGGAGACATCTCGTGCCTTGTGGTGTCGTTTTCAGACCCGTTTCTAGGCGATCCAGTAGCTTATCACAAAACTCGGTCGCATCATTCTGCTGGTACACCGAGAACTCGAGATTCAGACAAGTGCACGAGTCAACAAACGCCTTCGGGTTGAAGTACCGCATTTCACTGTCGCGCAAGTAACAGAACGTGCGCTGAAGTTGACGAAGAACTTCCAACGTCGCGTCAGTGCCCGTCAACTCCGGCTGCAAAATCACATAGCGCCCATTCTCATTTCCTGGTCTTCCTTCCGCCAACACAAAGGTCGCCTCGCCTCCATTTTCGTACCGCATCGTATGTTGACCACTCAGATCGTCGTATCCCACAACGTTTGCTTCGTAGACTCGGCCACCCAAACACTCCAACGCCACACGACAGCCAATCAAGCGTTCTGGGTACTTTTCTGCCTCTGCTTTCGTAGGTTCTTGAGGAGTTGGGCGAGGTGCCACCTTGGCGCCAAGCAAACCTTGGCGCAACGTCGGGTGCATGAACAGCTGCTGTAAGAATGAGTTCATGTAGCACGAACAGCCTTGGTTTTTTAACCCGACGTGCTCGCCGTTCCCACGCGTTTCGATGTTGTTCTCTTGCCCCCACTTGAACCGCAGCGCGTCACTCTGTGTGAAGAGCTTGGTTAAGCGACCGTGCAAGTCATGCAGGATTCTAGCATCTGAAGATATTGCGCTCGCGAGCAGCTTGAACGCAGGACGTCGCGTCTCCAGTGACACACACAGCGGACAGCGACGGCGATCTTCAGATGGTAGCGTGAATAAACACTCCTCGTAAACGACGTCTACGATGTCTCGAGCGATTCCGGCGCGCACATCCGCATGTACCACTAACACCTCACGCAAAAACTCCAAGAAGCCAATCAGCACTTCGCCCGAACGCTCGTTGCAGGCAAGGAACTTGCTGGAGAACCCACGACGCAACTTTGTTACTACTGCCAGGGCCAACTTTTGGCAATATGAAGACGACTTGCCACCCTCAAGACGTGCCAACAAGCAAAGCATGCGCGTGTACTGGTCACACGGCGCCGTCACACTTTCAATACGACCGACCGATTGGATGCATTCCTCAAAGACCACCTCGGCTGCTGCGTCAGACGCCTTGCAAACAGACTCCAATGATGAGAGCCACTGGTCCCGCACTTGCTCCGATTCAAACTTGGTAAAAATATTAACAATGATAGCGCGTGGCTCCAGCGCCTTGATGTACTTCGCTGCTGCATCATTCGCAATGGACACAATCGACTCCACGGTCTTCACGGCATCAATCAAGATACGATACGCAGTCTTCTTTGCAGGGATTTTCTCCTCCACGCGCGTGTATTCCGACACAACGAGCTCTGCGATTTTCAGCACCAACTGATCATACCGACTTTGCTCCACAATTATTTTTGACCTCGGAGTCTCCACATTCTCGCCCGATCCAGTCTGTGGATCGCTCCCAGCAAGTACTTCGACTGGAGCGTCCCCGTTTGCAGTAGCCGAGTACAGTCCATTATCATGGCCCGAGTCGAACAGACAGAACTTCAGGATACGCAGAGCCACCGCAGCACCTTCATTGAAGGAACTCTCATGGAAATTTGCGTTGATAAAATACGAAAGCACTTCGTGGAATCCTCCTCCAGAAATGAAGCGTTGCAGGTACGTGTGGGCGAATGGAATCTTGGCGGCATCTGAAGGCAGCAGCAGCGCGTCCATAATTTGAAGCGTGTAAATAGCCTGGTGGGACGATATTCCTTTTACCAAAGATGACCAATCAGGCTTGCTCGCTCCGTTGGCTGTGTCGTCTAAGGGGCTCATATTAACATCTCCGTCACTCGTCTCAGTCGCGCCAATGTTGGAAACACGGTTCAGAAGCTCCTCGCTAGTAGGGATTTGCTTCAAAAAGGCCCACAGCAACTCGTGGACAGCATGGCCCTCCACAATGTCGAGTACACGAAACATAATCCCAAAGTACGAGGCATCGCGTGCAATCACTAGACCAGGGTGACGCTTTGGCGAGAAGGATGAAGAAGAAGAAGACGATTCCTTGCCTGAAGTCATCACTTGATCCTGATCCATCACACTGGAGCTAGAGCGCTGCACCACCGAATTGAACATCAGCACGCGTAACTCACTGGACTCCGTGATCTGCAAGTCCGCCAATGTCTTTTGATCACCTGTAATTGCTGACCCCGACGACAAAATTTTCGTCTGTAGCATTGGATGGCCCACCAGCTTTTCAATTCGCTTGCGGAAGTGCAGCAACGTCTGGTTCGAGTATGCTGCTGCCTGCATCGTCCGGACTGCATTGTCGTGGCTTGAGGCTGCAGTCGTCATACCCGTCCCGCTGGTGTTGGACGAAGGGATCCGCTGCGCAATAATCTTAATGGTAAAGTAGGCACCGCGACCGCTTAGACCATGTGAAACAAAATTCTGCTTCTTGCGAGCACTAGACACCAGTCCTGCCAAAAGACTTGAGCACTGCTGCACTTGCTTCAGTGAGTCCGGTGTGCTGTCCTCCACTGTAGACAGCTGTTTAAACACACGCGCCAAGAAATCCTTCACGGCCTCATCTGATTCGCTGTCATCGTTGTGAGTGGGCTCGTCGGACGATCGCTCATAAACCCGAAGCAGCTCACGTGTAGCCATCTCGGCGACTTCTAGAGGAGCTTCAAACGCGATTCGCCACAGAGCATCCATTCCCAGCAGATTCAGCGAGCCACATTCCGACGCCTCTTCGGCGTGTTGCATCAACTTGCGTTGGGCGTTGAGACCCACAAAGTAGGTGTTAAAGCACTTGTAGCCCATGCATCCCAGCGTGCGGAAATTCGTTTGCTTACACAGAAGCTCGTTGAAGACGTAGAAGCATACATCCAAGTTAAAGGCCGAGCTTATCGACCCACCGACAGTGCTCGTACCAGGTGCTGTCCCGCTCTTCATGCTCGTCTGGTTGAAAAATATCAAACAATATTCGCGCTCGGCCGGTGACGACGAGAGAACGTGCCACAAGCGTTCAATCTGTGGAATCGAGAGCTCCAACTTTGGCGACTTGACGTGAATGTAGTGGATTAATTCTAAGCGATGACCAATGGCCGTGCGGTAACTTGGAGACTGTTTATCTGTGCTCCGTGCCACAAAAGTCGCCAGCTCATCAAATAGCAAACTCACTAACCCGTGCTCGGAATTGAGCGTTTCCACCACAAGAGCCTGATCAGCTCGATACGAGTCGATCAGGAACTTAAGCAACTCCAATGATTTCGAAGCCGTTGCGTCCTTAGCAGATAATTCTGCTGAATTCGTCAAGGCAACAGAGCTGCTGCTGCTGCTGCTTAACGCTGGAGGAATCAAGGTAGATGACGGAGATGTAGCGGCATCTGGCGCCGAGCTTGTTAACGAGCAAGACTTTTTGATTCCCTCGAGGCACTCGTTTAGGAACGCCTTTCGGAGCGGCTCGCCATACTCGCTTCGCAGCCCTTCTTGGAAGAAATCCCGCAAACTCCTGCTTAGTCGAATGTTAGCGATACTGCAGTGCATCTGAATCGACCACAGCAGTTGCAAGATCGCCGTCGTGACGTTCACGTTGCGATCCATGAGAAAGCTGGGCGAGTTCGTTGCCAGTCGCTGTAAAAACGATATCAGCTCGGGGAACGGCTCGTTCTTCTCCAGGCTTCGCAATAACGAGGCATGGATACTTTCCACCAGATGCAGTAGCAGCTCATTTGTCAAAAATGGCACCGTGGCGATTAGTAAGTTGTGGATTTCGTGCACGAGCGTCTGGTCTTTCTGGATACACGACTGCCAAATCACGTCAATGGAGTGCGTATCCAGCTTATTGGAATCCGCCAAAAACTTCACCAGCAACGCACTGCGTGACACAATCTCACGATGGATTCGGTCACCAAAAATCTCCTCCAGAATCTTCTTCTCCACCACCCAAGCACTCAATTTGTAGTCCAGTCGGCTGCGATCCTCATCGTCGTTCTCCTGAACACTCTCCGCAACTAGCTCAGGAGCCGGAGCCTCTCCCTTTCCCGTGGGAATCCAGTTGTGCGTGGGTGGCAGGTATTCTTCGTACTGCGACTGGTGCTGATAATAGTCAATATCTTGATCTGATCCGGGCTGCATCTTGTCAGCCTCCGAGATAAACCACCACTTCAAGCCACTCTTCATCGTGCAGCAGAAGAGCGTAAACACTTGGCCCGTTTCTTGCTGTCGGAAGACGTACGTTGCCGACGTGGAGTTGGCCTTCAACGTGTACACACCGTTAACGGCAGCGGTGCCAGCGTTGCGCACAAAGTATCGTGGAGGGAACGCTCGCGACGCTCGGGCACAATTCACGATCTGATTGATTTGTTCCAAGCCAAAGAGTCGCAGAGGCAGCGACGTGGACTCCACGTATCTCTCGGTGATGTCGAGCCACAACGCGTTGGTAGCCTCGGACGACACAATCCCCGCATCCACCAGCCTCCGAATGATGCCAATCACGGCTCCCACAGCGTCGCTCGACTCTTTCTTCAGCACGAAATCCGAGATCTTCGTAAAGTACGTCATAATCAGCACCGAGATCTTGGTGCAGATGGTTTCCGGGACAGATGTTCGGAACTCCAGCAGTGCTTGCAGCAAGATACGAATGTCCTCGCTGTCCATCGCGGCTTCTAGCTCGTCGCCTTCACGGTGGTTCTGCATTAGCAGCTCCAACGTGCTCAGCAGTAAGTGGAACCCTTTCATCTCGCAGAACGCTTCGATGCACTGCGCTCGCACTTCGGGCGACCCGGGCACCTTGTTCCAGTAGCTGCCAATCATCGCCGAGGTGCGCAAGTCCTTGTAAAAAGTCTTTTTCTTGCTGAAGATCATGGTCAGCACCGGTAGCGTCTGGAAATACTTGCCTGCCTTCATCTGCGCGATCACCAGCGGTACTGCGAGTGACAGGCACTGCGTCACACACGACTTTTCAAAGGATCCGATCTTGCTGGCACTGCAGTAGCCAGCACAATAATAAGGTTAGAAAAGAAGAGCAACCACAGCAGGACAGCTCAAATGGGCAGCACGTACTGCTGGTCCAGCATGATGCTGACGATCTTCTGGAAGGCGTCGTCCAGAAAAGCCTGGCTCTCGGGGCGATCGATGTGCTGGTAGGCCGAGTTAAGCACCTTGACGGCATTCTGCCATCCCACTGTAGACTTGTGGCGCAGATCTTCCTGCACCACGTGGAAGAGCTCAAGCTCCTCTTCCTCCATGTCTGTTGCGAGGCCGCTTGTGCTCTCCTGGCTCTTTTTACGTCGCTTCTGGCTGTCCTTGTCCTGGGCGGGCGCACGGTCCATGGAACGCACGTGCAGCTTCTTCTCCTGCCCGCCGCTGCTAGTCGAGGGGCTTTGGCTGGCGCTCGGTGGGCCGGGTATCGTGCAGGCGGTCGCGAGGCTGCGGTCGCCCAGCCCCGAACTGCTACTGCTGCTGTCGCTGTTTAAGTTGCTGCAGCCACCACTCGAGTTGCTTCTGCTGCTGCTGTCGCTACTACTCCGACTACGGGCGATTAAGTTGCGACAAGCCTTGGACTTCTTCCTGCTACTGCTGCTGCTGCGTCCGACGCCTTTCCTCTTCCGCCGCCGTTGGCTGTCGTCTCCTGCCGTCCTTCCTCTAGGGGAGCTCTCCCTTTCCCCCTGGTGCTGTCCTCTCGTAGCAACGCGTTCACGCGTCGGGAAGAGGGCGGAGGGCGGGGTGGCTGGGGGCTTTCCTTCTTCGAGCAAGATTTTTGCGCGGGGTTAATACCGCCACACCCAAATTGAAGAAGTTTGAGTACCGGTTTTGTGTTAGATGGGCTCCGTTGCGCACCCTTTAAAACCTTTTAATGACATTTTATCAGCATTTTACACTTGACTTACTTCCGTGATGAGGGAGGCCGGTGTGCAATCCCTGGGCTGCACACGAGCACCAGCGTTAGTAAAAATAATCTTAGCGTTAGCAGTCATTTTGCCACTTTCACCGGTTCTGCATCGATATCATAGAATCTGGTCCTGATTTGATCACTACGTGTCGAGATGGATCGCCTTGAAGTGCGAGCATTACTGGGCTCGGGTATCTCTGAGCGCGCCGCGCCTGCCCCTGTGGATCTGGGTATCTACGTAGATGATTCTCTTGGCGAGGAGACTTTTCTCAAGACGCTTGAAGAGACGCTGCAGCAGCACGTGGCGTCTTTAGGTGAGAAATTCCTGGTGCTGAGCGCTGCGCAGGTGGACCGCTTGGCATTCCGCTTAAATGACGCCCTCGTGCCCAAGCGCGACGCCGATACACACGTCATACAGGCATGGACGATTCAGCCACAGCTTCAACTCAAGGTCAAGGCCAGCGCCCACATCCAAGTGCTCAAACTGTCCACGATCCTGCGGGAGGTGCAGAGACTGCGACTGCATCAATCACAGACGGAGGAGGCTCACGCGAACGCCATTGAGGTGGAGATTTTTCCATCTTTACGAGTCATTGAAGTACTCAACACGGAGACCAGAGGCCTTCAGAACGTCCACTACTTTGCTCACCAGCTGAGGGAGCTTCATATTGAGCATACCGAGGTGGCGACACTGAGGCAGCTGCTGGCGCCCAAGGGGGAGGAGCAGAAGCCGTGGCGGAAACTACTGAAGTTGCAGATGAATTGTTGTGAGCTGCGGGTGCTGGACGAGTCGGTAAACTTGCTGCGAGCCGTGAAAACGCTGGACTTGGGCTGGAACAAGATCCAGAAGGTGGAAACCGACGTGACCACACGGTCGCTGCAAGTACTGAATTTGTGTCACAACCAGCTATACCAGGTGCCTCTTATACAGTCGCTACGGTCTCTGAGGGAGCTGGATCTGGCAGTCAACCAGATATCGTCGCTGAAAGGACTAGAGACGCTCACGGCGCTGGAACGACTGGATGTCTCGCACAACTTGATCCATGATATCACGGAACTAGAGCTGTTGACGAGTCTACCACGACTCACATATCTCAAGATGGAGTTCAACCCGATTGCTCGGCGGCCAGACTACCGACGAGAGGTGCTGTTCTACGTGGGCGAGCCGATCGAGTTGGACGGGAAGCGTTGGAGCGACGCCGAGCTGGGCAGCATGAAAAATCGGCGTATGTTGATGATGCTGGACGACGAGAAAGAGCGCAATGGCGTTGAGAGTGCCATCTGGGGACAGTCTATGGAAGTTCCTGTGTACCCAAGAGTTCGTGTCCAAAGTGGCATTGTTGTGAAGGCTCCGAAACTTGTGCTGGGATACCCGCTACTGTCTCGATCTCAATTTTCTCCTGCTCACTTTGTCGAAATACAAAACCCACCGTCCACAATACCGATGAAGGGAAATAACACGAAAACTGCAGTCGGCAATGGTACAGAGAGTGGAGATAGCTCATCGACGCCTCCCGTCAACAGTCGAGGCTCACAGGGTTCTCGGCCGCCGATTTTAACGGTGGACGACTACTTTAGATCACAGCGCGATGTGATCGTAACAAGGGAGACAAAGGCCAGCGACGACCACGCTACAAGCAGCGGTGCGTCATTCGAGTGAACGTTTACTATGCTTTTATGCTGACTGGCTGTACTGTTATCAGAGGAGGAAGCCAGTGATGACTCCAGCACAGGATCGACTCGAAAGCGCAGTCGTAAATATACGGCAAGTGACTTCATGCGCGACTTTGAGGAGGAAGAGCTACTTGTGCGGGAAGGCAACGACGTAGATAGTGTGGATGCACTTGTCGCACGCTCCACCTCTCAGACGCAGATATCAAGTCCCCAGGTGCAGCTCTGTTTGCCATGCTCTGCTGTGTTTACACGCGTAAACTTATTGGAATGTTCGGTCTAGAAACCTGGACGAAGCATCACTGTGCGAGTACTGTTGAGTGCAAAAGAAGCTGCTGAGCTTGACCTCCACTTTGGAATCGATGGCGTCCCAGCAAACGTAGAAGTTAAGGTAAGCTTACGTGGTACTTTAATGTGGCGCATTTGTTTCTGCTAATATATCCCTGTTCATGACCCCATACACTATCTGCAGTCTCGGGAATTGATCGAAAGATTTACAGTCAGCGATGACAAAGAACCGATTACCATTACGCGATGGCTTCCAGATGTCGTCGCCGTTGGCACTTCAATGCATCCCAATCGTGCCAAGATTCTCACAATGAAAATGCGACCACGAGGATCATCCGGTGTGGCAGATGCTGCGTATCAATTCGATGCGATTGCGTCGTTGGAGACTCTGTTAGCGCCTTTGGTTGCCCGTCTGTATCAACAGTACAAGGGCCGTATAGTAATCTGCACCTGCGCAAATTGTGGAGCCCTTTCGCTGCTCTCTCCCAAGTACCCGGCTCGGACAGAAGCTGACGACGCGTTGATGGTGTACTCGTGCTTGCTATGCTCGAGCTGCAACGTACGCGAAGCTTCATTCAAGAAGTTGGTTGCGCTTTGTGCTGGCGAAGGGGTCACCATTCCAAGCAGCATTCCGCTGGCGCCGCCACCGTGGGAGACAATTACTGAAGGATTTTACATCGAGGAGCCAGTCGCTAGCGATCCGAGCTCCATGCATGAGTGCGTCATGGTTTCGTGTAATGGTATCCGTGAATTTGCAGCGCCTACCGCTGAGGTAGGTAGGAATGATGAAGCGCACAGCGATGAGCTGAACGATGCCATTGTGCATGCTATGACAGCGACAATGCGATGAAAGGTAGGCACACAAGAAGTTTACTAAATGTGATTTCCACGAGACTTTTCCCACCTGCCGGCTAAGAAACCTTGTCACTTACTCTGACCTATGTGCCTTGATGGACTCCTGGCTGCGGCTGGGTGAAAACGGTGCAAGCAACAGAAGCAGCAGAAACTCTGTGACCAACAAGACTACTCCGTCAAAAATGAACTTGGGGGCGAAGATGGCCCAAACCATCAGATGTCGTCGCTGCAGCGCGACAAATAGCGTCGACACCAACGTGTTGAGCGAAAAGTAGGCTGAGAATGCCAGGAGCATCTTCGGCTGCGGTTGATGCTGCTTCAAGTTTAGCCAAGATAGTGCCAGCACAGATAAGGCCAAGCAACCGAAAGTGTTGAGACCAAGCAAGGCTCCTGCGATGTAGAAGTTGAAGGTGTCGAACCCAACAAAACCCGCGGCGTTCTGCAAACTCGTGAATGTGTTGGCGTGTCCAGTTGTGAAGAACGCTTGATAGGAGCATGACGCCCACAGCAATACCCATGGTGTGACGTCTCCAGAGGCAGGTCTACAGCACTCGACAATAAATGAGAAGCTTAGGCTCTGTATCACGAGACAGAGCACTGACAGCGGTGCTGTTGGTCCCAGCACTAGCATAAACGCTGGGAGGAGCTGCCAGAGCAAGAGGAGATGTTCGCTTGTCATCTGCCGCGTGAGTGCGTTGCCATGTTTGAGCCTTGGCTGTCGAACTACACGCACGAGGAGGCAAAGCAGCGTTGCCAGGAAGATCAGGTAGACGAAGCGAGGCAGCCACAGCCTCCAAAAGGTCACTTGTATAGGCGAGAGAGCCCAAAATGTTGCGCACAAGAAGTAGCTCACCATCGACGAGAGGAAAATGAGTCGGCCCATTAGGGACAACTGTTGTCCGGTGTATTTCGCCAATTGTACAGAAGATGCAACAGCGATTAGTGCTATCGCAGCCAACGGCGCAAAAGTTCGCCCCAAGGTCGCAGTTGTCTTGATAATATTGGGTGGCTCCAATGCGCTGCTCAGTCGCGTTGCCAAGATGAAAGCCAGCGCAGCACCCGTGGCAATGTTTCGACTGTCAACTAAGCGCTGTGCGCATGTGAGCAAGAAGAATCCGGTCGTCGCTGACAAGAATTGCATCACGTTGCTCTCAGCTACAATGTAGCTATTGGAGAGCAGAGCTAGCGCGTGAAGTACCACAATAACGGCAGCAACCACTCCCGCCGCGGAAATGGAAGACCGTGTCGATCCTGTGGAATCTTTGCTTTTTCTTGGGAACAGAAGGTGCCAAGTCATGGTAATCAGGACGGTGCAAGAAGCTGCTACGAGTCCTCGCGAAAGTGGAGCAGCGGGGAGGAGTGGCAGATTGACGCTCGCTGGGCAAATGAAGAGCAAGCCGCCCACAATCGTAACAACAACTAGCGGAGGGCTCCACGAATCGCCTTGCACTGAACCAGCACTAGCAACTCGAGTGGAGATAGCGCCAATGAGGAAGACCCACACAAGAAGCGCCATCCCCCAGCCCATGCTGCACAAGTCAAACTGTGTCCAAATGGACCGTCCCAATGACAGCGCCTCGCGCAGGTAGCTCTGCTGTTGCTTCGCTAAATCTTCGTGAAGACGCAGGAGCAGAGGAAGATCTGCCTTCGAGTAAGGGGTTACTTCACCTCCTTGCACCTGTTCAAGTTGGTCTTCGACACGCTGGATATCCATAAAGATTCTTTCGAGTTGATCATACGCTCGCTCAGGCAGCTTTGATGCGGACGAGTACCTGAAGAGATAACGCCGCACCTGGTCAAGATTTAGCCGCAGAGCCCGATTCATTGTCTGGAATGCGGCTAACGCACTGCTTTCATCTTTCCCAGATGATGTCGGAGGCACGAAAAACAGCGACGGAATTATACTTCCTAGGTTACCGAATGGAATGGGCAAACCGCTCAGCAGAGCCAACGTGGGAACGAGGTCCACTTGCGGCACTTCTCGAGAGCTGTCAAGTATCCTCTCAGCATATTTCTTCAGCTCTCTCGCGTCTTCATTGTCGTTTTCCCTTCCAGTAGCAACAAGTGCCGCCTTGCTGTACAGGAACAGTGCAGCCCCAGTCTCTTCGTCGCTAGCACCGCCATGGTTACCATCAGCCGACATGCCGTGATCACCCAGCACGGCCAGCAGCACGTCGTCTCCATCGGGCATTTCTCGCAGCGTTTCCAGCAGCTTTTTCAGAACGCCATTCATCTCGTCCAGTTTCTCAGCCATGAAGACAGAGCTGGGTCCATGTGTATGTCCCACGTGATCCACTCCTAAGAAGTGTGCGATCAACAAGTCCCAGTCGGGCTTCTGCAGCTCAGGGAACAAATGCGCCGTCACTCCACGATCCACCGAGTGCAAATCCTTCACATTGAACGAGTCGAAGGCGAATTTCCTCGTAAACTCTCGAGAGTACAGCGATTCCCAGGTGTCGTCTCCCATGAACACCACCCCTCGTTGCTGAGCACGCAGTTGACGCAGCAAATTGTCCTCCACAATCTGACTGCTAGCTGCCATGTTGTCCTTAATATCCAGGAAAGTCGGCAACGATCCGGTCGTCAAGCCCTTGAGACGTTGCATGGTCATCGTCGGTGGGTCAGCCACGAACTTTAACAGCAGCGCGTGTTCCGGTTCGCTGGTCAACGTTTCATTGAGAACCGGTAGGCGGTCGCTATAGAACGGGGACTGTTGGGCGCTTGAACCGGTGGCCGCAAAGTCGAAACGTAGCGCGTCAATCACCACGAAAACAACGCGACGGAAGCGTCTGGGCATCCAACAGCCTTCGGGGGTACCGTCGTCGGAGCTAGAAAGGTCGTCATTGCCACCACGGAGATGCGTTGGAGCGGCGTTGGTATCTGATGGAGACGCGTGGCAACTGCTGAGGTCCGACACTTCAAAGCGAGTGAGGAAGAAGCCTGTGGTGAACAAATAGAGCGCTGCAGCGTGCAGTGCAAGGAGCGCTGCCAGCACACGAAGTCCCATGACTCGAATAGTGAAGCTTAGTTTTTGTCCAATCGCAATGGCACTGACGTACATTGAGTCTGACACTTCCCGTAGACGAGCATGAGTACATTTAAGCCTCGCTCGGCGCAGTACAAATCAAAGTGTAGTTGTTGTTTCGTGTCAATATGAAGCTACAGTATGTAATCATGCAGTTGGTTGGGACTGGGAGCTTGCACTGTTTTAGGCGTCTGCCCAGCCCTCGGCGTTGTGCAGTCGCACATCGGCGTCCATGTTAGGCGAGTTCTGAATTGCGTACAGCAGCTTTGTACGCAGCACTTCCTTGCTCGTGTAGGCTGGGAGCCGCAGCGCGAAGAAACACGTCTGAGCGTGGGGCAGGTACAAGTCAGGCTGACTAGAAGCGCCAGGATCTTGCGCAGTCTGCAGCTTGAAGTTCATGGGGAAGTCCTTGGCGCTGTTGGGCATGCGGCTGCGAGCCCAGACGAAGCGCAAGAAGGACGTTCTCTCTTCGCTTGTCATCTCACGCAGCACCTCCCAGAAGTGTTGCACGTGCTGCATCGCCTCGTCGGCTCCTTCACTGTACTCCGTGCATTGGTGAAGCAGGTCCACGTCCACTTCGCGACGTCCACAGATCAACACTTCCAGTTCTCGCGGAGTAAACAAAGGTGCCAGCTCCATCGGAAGCACAGACGCCAATCCGTCCTTCAGCGCGGCAAGCTGTTGGCTGCTCTCTGTCAGTCGAGTCTTCTCTACGAGCTGTACATACAGCTCTCGGTTTGCCAAGGTCACTGCCATCTTTTCACCTTGTGGGACCAAGGGGACCTCAACGCCGTCGCTCAATGTCGTCGACAGCGTCAAGTAACCAAGCACTTCTTCTGCCTCCTGAGCTGCTGTCTCCGTCGTTTCAGTGCGGAGCTCTTCAACGCGGGTCAGACTGTTAGCCACCGCCACATCGACGCTTTCGAGGTGCGCGCGGCTGACTTCAAGTCCTGATAATGGTCTCCACACGAGGGAAGGCAAGTCCAGTCCCATTTGCAGGCCATGACGCACTGCTGTGCCAATCAGTTTCCCCAAAAAACGATGCAGATCCAGCGCCATGGGTCCGTTTGCCAGCAACGCGGTCCCGCACGACGGGTTCAACAAGAATTTATCCTGGTTGATACCTGTAGCGCTGCGGCGGTTCGGACACGGGATCAGCAATGGCAGCAGACCTTGCTCTCCCTTCGCTAGCTCCACGTTGTCCATCTGGAGTTCGTCCACAATCTGCTCAAAGACGGCGCGATATGGTCCACCGTAGTCGTTCACACCCTCGCCCAAGAACTTGACCTTGAATGCACGACGCTGGCCGCCGTGGCCCTTGCCGCAGTAAGCACGACGGAAGAAGCTATCGCTCCACGCGCGCATTTCGCGGTAGAGCTGACCGAAGACCGAACGACGCAGACGATCACCCGGTTGAGATAACAAACTCAACCTGGACGCTTGCGCTTGAATGCGGTTAATGCGAATAACACGGATCTCGCGAGGGTCCTCGTACTCGTCCGACGGAAGTGGTGTACTGGTGGTTGTCGCTCGTAGCACGTCGTCCCAGTAAGCACGCTTCGTGTTCGTGAAGACTAAACGTCGTAGCGAACGCAACTTCAGGCTCGTCGACAGGAACTCAGTTGAGCTCTTGGAAGAAACACCGATGCTGTCGACAACTTCAATCGGCTGAGAGCTGCTTCCATCGTCAGGCTGAACCGCAATGATCGGAAGCACGCGAAGGATTTTGCTGTTCAGAATCCGTAGAACCGCTGTACGAGCACGCAACTCGGGGCCAGAAATATTTTTCAGGGCTGGCGACGTGAAGTAGTCGTCCGTGACTAGCGAGCGTGTCCGAGAGCGTCCACGTACCGCATCTGTGCTGCTCTCAGTTTCCTCCATCTCCTCCGGAGTTACGACGTCCGTAATTTTGAGATTGGTCACATCCAGCCCGATGGCTGCACAATACGCGTTTAGCCTTTCCACCAACTGCATGTCGGACGTGGTAGAATGCGCTCGTGTGGCCAGCTCAACGAAAGCATTGAAGTCAGTCTTGGCTCGCTCTTCCAGTGCCGAGCGGGGTTTAAACGGACTGTGCTCGGGTGCGTTTTCGTAGTCCGACATATCCATTGCGCTGTTCTCAATCAGTGTCATATCCTTGCCACCACGACGAATCAGAAGAAGCTCGGGCAGCTCGCTTGGCGACCAATACCAGGCCCAAGCACGTCCTTCGTCTGCGCCTTCATTTCCCTGCGTTTCAGTACGGTACCACAGGAATCCACGGTACACACCTAGAATAACAGCCTCTTCTGGCTGGTTTAACTCCTGTCCACACTTTGAGCACATGCGAACGCGATCACCAGCCAAAAACGGAGCACCCAAGCCCGCAGCATTGCTGACCTGGATGCAAGCAGCAGGGGACGTGTCAAAGTCCACAGAAATCCCGCGCGGTCGCACATGACACCGTTGCCAGTGGTTGTCGCTCCATCGCTTCCACTCCGACCAACTCTCACGCAGTAATGTTTCCGGCAGCTTCACCCGCGTGTCGACAGTCGGAGGAGTTAAGGGTATCATCGCCTCCGTCCCGTCAGTATAGAGCGATCTAGCACTGGCAGCAGCTTTTCCCTTTTGGATCGAAACATACCATGAATGCAGAGACTTGCTGACATCTACAGCGTCCGATAGGATCTGGCGCGGAGACACTCCAGGCATTGAGACCCACTTCTGGTTAAGCGTGACACGATCGCCACCCTTGCGCATACCGATGCATGGATACAAAGTACGTGAATTGCGCTCACCCTTGATGTTCTCGAACGCGACACCCAAGTCCGACACGATATGCTCGCCAAACTTAATCCCGTCCATAAAAAACGACAGCTTGCCTTGCTCCATGTCGAGTCGAACACCGATGGTGTCACTCGCGTTGAAGTGGTCGCCATAGATCCGCTCCGTACTGTTGTGATACGTTGCACGGAAGTTTACAAAGCCCCATCCGTGCCACCTATTCAAACGACTCGACAGCGCGGCCTGGGAACCCGGCGGGCCGGCCTTCTCACACACGCCAATAAACACACTGCCAAACTCAGCTTGCTCTACGTGGACCTCCCAGTAGTGAACACCGGTGGTAAACCCCACCGTTCCTAGTGCAAGGTTCCGCGATTCGCCACTGTGACACGTGACTGACAGTCCATCAGACGAGATGCAAAGCGTTGAGAAGTGATTGTAGTGGTCCATCGTGAACAGATACTTTGTCGAAATTTGAAGCTCACCGCGAATTTCAACAAGTTCTCCATCTTTTACGCCAGTGTGAGAGTACTCCCCATGGAGCGTTTCAACCTTCGAGGCATCGTTCGTTGATATTCCTTCTTGCGTCTTAAATGGGCGAAGCATGTACTTTGTCCCTGGTTGCCATTTCTCACTTCCAAAGCGAAGCATCCAGCCCATGTCGGGATTGCCGCGAGTTAGCTGCAATTCTTGGACGCAAAGTGAGCCGTCAGCATATCTCATACCAACAACGCGAACAGCAGCACCGTAGTCAGGCCACTCCATCATGCCAGCAACCTTCACACCCTCAGTAGTTAGCGCACTCAAATCGTTTTCGTCAACACAGAGATAAAGCAGCACACCGAGGTGCAGTTCAGATCCAAACGATCCCTCGTCCTCCTGTTTCGCTTTTGGAGTAGGGACTTGGTGCGTGATGTTCCCGTCCTCATCCACTTCAACGTGAATGAGATCGAAGTTGCCGTCTGCACCCCAGCGGTACGTGTACAAGGAATCATTTGGCCAGCGCACGGACATCCCTTCGCCATCCACACCACTCCACGGTGACACACCCTCAACAACGCCCACACTACCTTCGCCTCCGTCTTGGTCGCGCCACTTCCAGTTGGGTCCACGGATCACCTTGCATCCGACCTTCAGCTCCGTTTGGTTGGTTTCCTCTTGCTTTTGGCGAAGCCTGAACTGGGTCAGTGTGCCACTCCATAGCTGCGTGTGGGCATCAGCTAGCACTCCGACGTCATTGCCGTGCTTCCAGCCTCTCGGTTCCTCTCCCATAATGCCACGCTTTGCGGCTTCCAACACGTCGATTTCCTGTGTGTTCAGCATAGCCGTGTCGAAGACGGGGTCCTCCTCTGGTAGGCGGAACTCGAACGTGGTATCAACATTCTCCTGAAGCAGCTCAGGCATAGGCAGCTTCGTCCTCCGCCCTAGTCCCTTGATGTCCAGTTGGTCTCCAGACCCCGCATCAATAGCAGCAGCGGCTGCCATCACATCACTATCTTCAGTTACCATGTTCGCAATAGCGGACAGCGTGATGGCCGGAGCCTCCTCAGAGTCACTATTATCGACCTCCATGTTGGTAACACCGCTATTCCTTGCAGAACTGGCATCATCCTGGGCGTCTTGGTTCGCAGCATCGCTGTCAATGGTCGGTGTATTCGCTTCGCCTAGACTTGACGATGAGTCTCTGTCAATCCCTGATTCCACAGCTGCTGCTCGCTCTGCAGCAAGTTTCTCCTGCTTCAACGCTTCTTCGGCAGCCTGCTGCGCTAGCTTCGCCTCCAAAAGCTTCTTTGCGGCCATCACCTCCTCGTATTCCTTCTGGTCGATCGGCTCGAGGTCCCCCTCGATTCGCTTGCAGGCCTGTAACTGCAGAGACGAGCTGCTTTCAAACAGTTTATCGGTAGACTGTCCCACAGCACTCATTACCAAGCCAGTAGCAGAAACGAGTTCCACGAGGCTTTGAACATACTTGGAGCACACAGGAGCGTTTGGATACTCGCGCAAAATTCGTTCTTGTGAGAGATCGACAAGGCGCTGCAACGGAAGCACCTCCAGCGCCAATTTCAGTCGCATCTTGGTTTCATCGTCAATGGCCGCCACGTCACTTGCATCTGTGATCTCGGACGTCTTCGGCAGAATGTCTTGAAGAATGCCCGCAAGAATGGTTGCACCTCGCTCCTTGACGCACATGCTAGGGGATTTCAGCGACGACGTCCAAGCTCGCAGCAATTGCTGCCGAATTCGATCATGAGCAGGCGAGGAGAGCCGTTCCTTGTGTTTCTCCAACGATTCTAGCAGCAAACCGCTGATCCACTCCGCCAGGAACAGGTTGGGGTGACTCAGCACTTCCTTATCGGACCACGTCTGTCCTGCTTCGGCTGTGACCTGCAGGAGCATTGCAGTGATAGCAGCCTCCGATGAATTCCACGGGATGCGAGCGTACTGGCGTTGAGAAGCTCTCTTAACCTCCGACGAAATACACGACAGAGTCGTATCCACCAGCGGGTTGTGGTCATACGCTCCAGACGTAATTGTCGAAAGAGCGTTGTTCAGCGCCGACTGCACAACCCCAGAGAGTAATCCTAGTGCGAATCGGCCAGTGGCACCACAATCGAGAAGATGAAGAGCGTCGTCGTCTGGGAGAGTAAGAGACGTGCTGGGCAGTGCATTGGACACGTGGAGAGCACTCAAACTCGCAATGAGTTTGACAAAGTCGATAAACCTTGCCGCGTCCTCACTCGCGGTGGTAGCACCTCCACCAGACAAGCACGCTGCAACGGAGAACGGGCCCACTTCTGACTTGGGCCACTTGGCTAGCAATGTCAACAAAGCCCGTCTTGCTTGCAAAATTGCAAGTGACCGCGTGACCACCAGCAGTTCCACATACACGCGATTATCAGGGAGAGCCTTGATCTCAGCCAACGCGTCCGCCTTTGTCATGCCGGAGCCAGAGGTAAACCCACTACTGCGACTGTGGCCAGAGCTCCGTAGCATGGATGGATGCATGTCTCGAGCGAAGTATCTCGTATCACTCGAGTAATTTTCCTCACCCGTACTCTCTTCCAAACAATCTTCTCGGGATCCAATCACTTCAAAGCCCTTAGGTACCAGACTAAGGTCGTGAGTATCACTCAAGACGTTCAAAATCGGCTGAAAACCTGGCGGGGGAGGGTACTTGAACGGCGTTCCACCAAGATTGAACTGCAACCGCTCTCTTCGATTAAAACTTGCGCATGGGTACACACCGCGGGCAAAGTCAACAGCCCGGAAAGCGACACCCATGTTGGCCGATCGCATCTTGCCATTCAGGCTAAAGATGATGGTACCAGCGTCTGCGTCGATACCGCAGCCCACAACATCGCCTTGTTTCCATTTCGACCCCCATGGCGACGACCGACCATGCCATCGCTGTTGTCTCCACCCGTCGTACGCCCACGAGTGTGCGCCATCTCCAACTCCATCCCCACGATCAGCTGCGCCGCAGAATGCTACATCTGCCCAGCCAATTTGAATGCAGCCGTTGGTGTGAAGGACAGCTTCATAGTACCATCGCCCGCTCGAGACTAGACAATCCGGCGCACCAACGCTAGCGAAGCCACCACCAACGAGGCCTTCCACCATTAAGTCGTGCTCACCGACGCAGGCCTGGCCACTCACAGCTCGAAGCGGGTTTGGCATGAGCACACTATCTTCACCTTCTGGAATGGTGGTAGTTGGAACAGTTGCGTCTGCGCCATCCCCACCTGCCGCGCGTAGCTTGGCTTCCTCATCACGTCGATCTTCAGCTTCCAAGGCCTCGCCGTTTGATAGAATCCACGTCAGCGCCGCGTCCACGTTATTCCGGTTAGCTGCTAGAGCCTTTTTGCACCAGTTGAAAGGGAATCCCATCTCAGACAACTGCTCCAGTAGCGGGCTGATAGCTTCAAAGTCGTCTTTTCGCGCAGATTTCGAGCTGCCATCTCCACCAGACCGACCGGACCGATACTCTGCAACAAGACGCTCCATGTCACTACTGTGTTCGAAACAGAAATTAATTGCTGCTTCAACATTCTGCGAGCAGCGAGCCAAGGCAACATCACACCACTCTTTCGGGAAACCCATCTCCATCATCTGCTGAACCATCGGTCCCGGAGAGCTGTCAGCTTCGCCCGTATCGCTCGTTTTATTCTTTCCTTTACTGGCGTTTGCAGGTAGCGATGGTGTTGCGTGAGCACTTCTAATTGCGTTCCAACGGGACCACAGCATCAGCCAGCTTTCCTCCAGCGAGGAGATATCTCCGACTCCTGCAGTTGTAGGAGTCTCAGAAATTGCTACCATAAGCAGGTCCTTGAGGCCACTAGGACCGACGCCACGGATAAACGTCGCAGCGCAATAGTCGTTCTTCAGCAATGTTGCAGCAGCACGAAGGCCGTGCTGGCAAAGCAGCATTCGATAGAGTCGTGACTCCTTTTCCATTTCTGCCAGAACATCTGTAGGCTCCGTGGGTGACGCCGATTCAGCTCCACTTTCCTCGTGACGAGAAGATCCATTGGCTTCCGAGTCGGATTCATCGGCACCAGCACCACTGGGCATTTCGCTGTCCATCGCCGATGGTGACGAGGAACCATCATTGGACATGTCATCGTCGTCTTCGCTTTCTCCATCGTTCCCACCTTCCTCGTCAGCCCCGTTGAGAGCGTCGATGATACTCACGTCCATGAGGCTCTTCTTGACTTCTGCCAGAAAGTATGGGAAGCGCGCAACAAGTAGCGATTGCAAGACTTCGTCGGAAAAAGCGTTGTTGGGCAGCTCAACTTCTGGAACTGCAAACAAATCGTCAATAGGCACACGAACTGGGCGAGTCTATGATTAAACAACATACACGAATAGTAAGTGCATCGTTCCTCCCATCAAATATGTTCTCCAACACTTACCGGAATGGAGCGCGTTGGGGGTAGAGACTGCTGCTGGTTGCTGGTCTCATCTGCGCGGTTTCCGCGCAGCAGTACTTCTGCTGCTGACTTCTCCGCCTCATAGGCAACAACCACACCTCGAGCACCTCGGAACGCTATCTCTTGCAAGGATGAGCCGGACCGAGGCATGATTTTGACTGTGCCACCGACGTGGATGCCTTCAATCTGTCCATCGAGAATGCACAGAGCAGACAAGGCTCGCACGTAATTCGTGGTCTGTATCGTCCAGCTTTCGAGCGACGGCGTCTCTTTGGACATGTCTTCCATCTCCACATCAGAGTCGGCAGTTTCTGCTATTGCTCCCGTTTGCTCTGTGACACAAACGAGCGGAATTGAGGCGAGTGCATCGGAAATCGCGCGGTTCAAATACTCAGCCCACTTGTCCGATTCGTACAACGAACGCAGAAGCAGTACAACTTCAGCAGCGAGGCCCCCGCCGTTAAAACCAGACGATGACACCTGACCAGGAGCTTCAGCATTACCAGAAACACTGGAATTTGCAAGCCGTTGCAGCATCACGTTAGCGACACTTGGAGGGTTATTCATCCCCACAATTCCCACAAAGAAGTTAATCAATGTGGATGCATGGTCCGGCTCATCGTCAGCATCATACTCGTCGTCACTGTCCATGTCAAAGCTTTCGACTTCGTCATAGCGCACTTTAATAGAGGACGGGTCGAGCGATGGCAGTAGTCGACGAAGCAATTTTAGGATCCGTCGCTGTATTTGGGGCGAGTTCACATCAACCAGAGCAAGTAGCAGTCGAAGCCACCGCGACGAAGAAAGATGCGACCTGCACACAGGCGAGCCGCTCACCGAATATAGGAGCGAACAGATCTGATAGCAATACTCTTGAGCATCATCCATGCCACCTCCAAAGACTGCTTCCGATCCAGATGTGCTTGGATCACCAGATTGCGTTGGGTCAGTAACAAACGCAGTCGACGAAGCATTAACAGCCATATTCCCTCGATTCTGCCGCATCTCTTCCAAAGAGTTCTTCAGCTCTGTATACAGCATGTGGAACACAGACTTGCCGAGTGTTTCAGGGCCTGAGGGCTTGCGCAACAGTGGAATGGAACCTAAGCTGAGACCCGGAGTCGATGGGAGATCGGACGCGTTTAAAAGCCCATCAGCAGTATCGCTGGCATGAGCAACTTGTGCGGCTAGCAGATGCACCACCTTCAGTGCTGCTTGGACAATCTTCTTCTTGTTCTCCGCAATCAACGCCGCGTCATCAGGGGAATTACGGGATGGGTCAGCTAAGGTTTCTGTTAAAGCCATATCGCTAGACCCACGGGCCTCGTCCAACACAGTCTGCAACACTCTGAAAATGCCAACGCGTGACAAAAACGAATGATCATCCGGCTGAATGATGATTCCCCAAGCGAGCAAGATAACCAGCTGCAGGTCAGCGTCGTGGGCCCAAGTAGCTTTGGACAGCGACGCACTCAGGTATCCATACAACGACTCGAAGGAATCCCGCAGGTCACTTTTCAAATGCTTCCCGCAGCCACCAAGTCCACTCAGGTAGTAGGTAGACTCCGTGGTATTGGCTTGGGATAAGACCGACGGAGCTGGGACAACACTAGCACCGAAGTCTCCAAAGTCCTTGCTCAAAGATCCACCACGACCACCGTGCGCTTTAAAGTCGGCGAGAGAAGGGGACAGCCACTGCAGTGCACTTGATAACGCGAATGAAGACTGGATGACTTCGTGACGGTCTGCAGTTAAAACTCCGCGATGGTTGTTACCCGAGTCGCCCACGAAATTTCTAAAGGATAGCATGCCAATTGTTCGCAGGAATGCTGCGGTGCAATTTCCTAGCATCCTTGACTGAAGCGTCGATACCCGAACAGGAGCTTCCACAAAACGCGCAACTTGTACCAGTACATCGCTGTAAATACGCTCGGCGCATTCGTACACTGCTGACTTGGACGCTATCCTTTGGGCACCGTTATCCACTGTTGTCAACGCAAACACAGCCTCCGCAGCCGCCAAAGCCTTTGCGCTGGGTTCAATCTCGAGCAAAAATTGAGCTTTCCTGATTACCAGTCCAGCAACAACAGTGTACGAGGATCCCATCGAATTCTTTGCCCGGATAGCCCACTCGATGACTCTTTGAGCAGCTCTCCAAATGTGCATCAAGTTGTCATGTGGTCGAATATCACTCTCGGTGAAGTTGCTCGGCGAGTCGTCGATATGCTTTTTGATGAAGTTCAAGAAACCGCTATGCCATATCATGGCAGCGCAAACGGTACGTCGAGTAACCTTCATAGGCTCCCCTCCAAGTCGCACGAATGGTGACTCTCCAACATGTTTCGACACCCACTGATCCAGCATGGCAGCCTCACCGCGATTTTCGATAAGATCCTTCAAGAAGGGGCTGCTCACACGAGCGCCAGCGACAGGCGTACTATCTGCATTAGGAAGAGGTACCGAAAGCATTTTGGGAAGGACGAACTGCATCCAGGTCTTAGTAGCTTCGGTGAGAACAGGTAATGAACCGGTAGCCGCGGCTGACCCGACACCAGTAATCTCCGAACATCGACCGAGCACACTCTTCAAGTGCGTCTGCACGTAGTCCAGAGGCAATCCACCCTCAAGCAAGCTGCTGCTCACCCACTCATCGTAGTCATCAAGCGAGCACTCAGACGATGAAAAATTGGATAAATCGCCGTCATCGCTTTCGCCTTCGTCCTTCTTGACGGTTTCAATCATGCTGAGGACGCTCGTATCCACGTTATCAACAAGTACATCATCGTTCTCCAAACTGGTCAGCGCATGGCCAAAGTAGCCCAGCAAATTCGCAATTACCATTTCCAGGATGACGAGCTGGTTGCTCACCCACTGACGTTCATCTGTATCCTTGGAATCGCGCGAGACTTTGTTTCCCACAATACAACCGCTTGTATGGCTTTTGGTGTCTTCATAACTACCTGTGAATACGGTACCATCGGCACGGAGACGTCCCTCGACCAGGCAGGTGCCTCCTTGGCGCCAGATTTCTACGAATGAAACCTTTGTTCCTCGAGCGATACCGTTCAGCGTCACCGTGGTAAACGAGCCACTGCTGCGACCATGCATCGATCCATCTTTTCCTTGAGAAAGAGTGAGATGGTATTGCTGAGCCGGAATATTACCAGCAGCCATACTCTTTAATTCCCATTCTCCAGCTACGCTGAGCACAAGGTTACCAGGAGAAACGCAGTCATCACCTTCATTGGAAGTCGCCAGCGCGCGAAGAGCTTGATTCACACGCTCAATGCTTTGCATAGTACGAATACACCATGGCACGAAGGTCATAGCCAGTGTCGAAGACAGCCCGTGGTAGTTCCGGATAAGACTCAGAGAACTGATGAGCGGAGTCACCACTGAAAACAGCAGTGGGTGTGAAGACACCAACCGCTCGTAATCACGCGCACGCTCGACCTTTTGTCTAGGAGTAAGAGACAATTGCTGATCTGAGATGTTCAAATCATTCAGCGCGGGGCTCGACAAGAACGAGCAACACGACTCCAATAACGCTCCTGCGTGATGCAAGAACGGTTTGAGAACAGCAGGAATTGCCACACCCTTCTGTTCGACTGCTTCACCGTTCGAAGATGCCGCAAATGCTGTATCCACTGCCGGTTGAACGGGCAGAATAGTCACTTGATCGTCTCGTTGGTACAGACCAATGGCAGGATATAAGGTACCGTGCTGCGTCAAGCCATCGAAAGCAATACCCCAATCACTATCTCCGACACCAAACGATAGCGCACCGCTATCCGTATTTAACCGGACCCGCACAACACTGCCCGTAGTAAAACCGTCTCCATAGTCGCCACGGACTTTGCTTCGGGCATGCCAGAGCGCTCGAGTACCAATGAGCCCCCAACCTTGCCGATCACCACCAACGTAGGTTGCCACGGATGCATCTCTGGTACACACACCAAGGAAAATGTGGCCTTTCTCGCAACGATCGAGACGAACACCCCACTCATGAATACCGGTGTTAGGAGGACAACCGGTTGTAGCCATCACCATTCCCCACTGCTTTGCTGTGTATTGCTTAGCAGTTCGGTTCCCGTCTGAAAGTGTCATCGTTTCAGCGCATCTCGAAGAATCGAACTCCAAAGCGGGAGGCTCGTCACCACGGGATCCACCGATTCGCTGGATCATTAAGTCTTGAAGTGATCGGAGCAGGACAACTCGGGCATTCAGCGTCGGTGGTCGCATCAAATTCTCTTTTTCGAGTAGCGGTAGCAATGGAGCGTGCACCAAGTCGTAGCTGTCTTTAAACGAGAAGCGATGCCACCCGGAAGACAAAATGCTCTCGCGTAGCAGATCAACAAGACTGGGCAGGCGATTAATACATTCCAAAGCTTCCTCCTTTTGCTTGCGCCCCATATCCCACATTTCATCGTATGCGTTTGCCAACGTTTCAGCATTCAGTGCATCGTCGCTTGGACAGCCACCGGGACTTTCCATGAGTGTATCCAGAAGACCAGGAGGGCCATGCCCCGAAATATAGTCGTAAAGGCATCGTGCACTTAGAGACCCAGAGTCAAGCGAAGCACGAATGACGGCAGGGCTCCACTTTGCTTTGATTTTCCCTGTCTTTGACGCGGCATTCTGAAGCGCTCCGTCATCTATTGGTTTCACGCTAGAGTCAGTTCCACTCTGAGTCTTCTGCTCACGTTCGATCTTGCTCTCATGTTCAATAACATCTACACAGGTGGGCACAAACTGTTGCGCCATATCGGGCAGCGCCAATCGAGCGCATAGGAGATCCAGCTGGTGAAACTTCCAGGCAACATTTTGTTCACCAGATCGGGCAAGTTTAAGACACTCGGTCAGCTTTGACGCCAGTATCATGTGTCGCTCTTTCTGTCCGTCATAGAAGATAGCAAAAGCGCGTATCCACGCCGCCGTTGCTTGTTCACGAATCCGACGGTAATAGTATGCTGCGGCATTCTGTACATCAACTGGAGAGCACGATGCCGGACCTGAAAAAATTATAGCGCCGACGACATCCTTGCCTGTGTCAACTTGAGGGAGACTCTCGACGGCGACATAATGAAGCACTAGCGACTTCAAACTCTCCAACAGCGGGTTGCCACCTTCACTTTTGCCGTCATTTTGTTGGGGGCTTATCTTGGGAATCTGTCCTAGACCAACAGAAGCCGGGGCAATCCCCACCACTTCGACATGGAAAAAGTTGACTTCTAGCACGCGAAACAGCGAAAGCATCGAGCACGACGTGAATAAACGCCACTTGGCATCCCAGCTGGGGTCCTCTGCCCACCGAGAATGAGGAGCGGTGGAAGTGTGCAAGTCCTTCAATAAGGAATTCAGGAGCATGAAGGTCAGTGGGTGCGGCTGAACTGGAGATTTGTTAGGGAGAACACCCTGCTGGCACGACTTCAGGTACTCCATGCATACTTTAGCCATCTGGACAATCAAAGCCATCACAACAGTAACCCCATCGACTGCAGCCATGGAATCACTAGGAAGCGTGAATGGACCCAGTTCCAGCAATTCCTCAGCAGAAAACTTGGGCGGCCGAGTTTTCACGACGGGAGCCTCGTTTTGCTCCGTTGCCGCTCCTTCAAGCTTGCTCTCGCTCTTCGGGGTCGATGGCTTATCGTCCGAGCCATTTTGATCGCGCAAATTTACTTCGGGAGAAAGTGACAACGCGATTGCACGGGCCATCAGCGCATCTTCATCCACGCCTTCACCACCAAGGCTGTCTTCGCCGTCGCCTCGGTCATCATCATCGTCGTCTTCATCATCGTCTCCATCATCTCCATCGTCGCCGAATCGACTCAACCGAGCACGGAGTTTGGCAATCGACCCCCTGTCCGAGTCCAAATCCATTTCGGCGGAGGTCGCAGTCTCCAGCACAACGCTTTGCAAATCCGTCTCAAAGCTGCTGTCCGCCCTGTCAAGAGCACTCGAGTCCGCCACGGTCTGATCCGCTTTCGTCGGCGTTGTGACTTGTTTCGTACCTGCACCAGGGGCCTTTTTAGGCTTATATTCGGGGGCTTTCTCTCCACGCAAAACTCGTAGATGCGACGCGAGCGGGAACGTTGGCAGAGCCGCTTCGCTCGATTTACTTTGATGGTCCAAGAAAGTCAAGAGGAGCTTCGCCGCAAGCATCAGTGCCTGTAGCGATCCGTCGGCAATGCTCTTGGCGACAAATCGACTAATGTTGGTCTTCATGTCTTCTTCCGACAAAGGATCGGCCGTCAAATCGGGCGTAAGCATGCCAGCCCCGATGTTGGTTTGTGACGGCTGTTTGTCCTTGCGATCTCTGTCCTTCCGTTTCTTTTTCTTCTTCTTGTCCTTCTTCGGATCCACGCCGGTGATAAGCGGATGGCACAGAATGGCACCGTACAGTGCCGGGTCCTGCTCCCGGATCGGACCCAGCATGACGTTGTACACCCTGTTGTCCAGTTTTTCCTTGAGCAGCCTAGCATGCAGCTTGGCTAGTCGTCTTTCTGGGTCCTGGGCATCGTCTACATGTAGACTATCGTTTTCGGCTTCCCAGTCGTCCTTGTCTTCGTCACGTTCGCTCTCCGCGTCCTTGTCCTTGTCCTTGTCCTTGGCCTCGTGGAAGTCACGCCCACCACCAAGTGCAAACTCAATGTCCGATTTCGCCTCCATGAAGAATCGCGTGAGTTCCTCGACGCGCTGGCGACGCGCGGCGTCAGCGCTCAGCAGGTCGTCCTGCTTGCTGCTGCTCTGCTTCTGCTGTGCATCGGCACGCTCAGGCGCACGCTCGAGCTTGACGGGCTCAGCGCGTCCACTGGAGGCGAAGAACTGCAGTGACTCCACCGTCATGACGTTATTGCGGTCGCTGCAGAGCGCAGCCAGCTCGGCCATGAGGCGCGCGTAGCGGCCGTCCAGCGAGTCCTTCTCCTGCGACTCCTGCAGTTCGTGGAGGACGCTAGCTTGCCGCAGCAGCCGCGTCTGCTTGCTGCGTGTGGCGCTGCTGCTCATGAGCTTCTCGTTCCCTTACTTAGATCCAGTGAAAGGAGTGATGGTCTCTTCTTGCAGCGATATGGAAATTGTCGGATTGTCTTCTTCCCCCATTACGATCTTTTTGGGCGAACGAAGAGCTGCACTAAGTACGAATCGCACTTAGACTGGATTGAAAAGCGACGATATGGAGGAGAGTGTGGACCATGCCGGGGATGAGGAGAGCGTTTGGAGCAACTTTGACAAGAGCGTAGCTTACATGAAGGAGGTGGCGTCAATATACGAGTCAGCGTTCGGTTACAATGCGGACAGTTCGTCCTCTACAAGCAAGAAGACTGTCACGAAGGCGCATCTGGACGAGGCACACAACCAGGCGCAGCAGGCCCTCGAGCTCCTGGCGTCAAATCTGCTAAACGCGTCCATGACGATCGTCAACTCGATTGAGAAACAGGTGAGAGACAGGAAGGAGGTAGTGTGGACGTTGAAGTGCTAGTGATGACTGTGTCTCGCTACAGGAGAGCGAGGCGGATCGACTGAAGCACAAGGTGTCGGCCATCAGGCAGACCATCCGCGATCATCAGGCAGTGCTGGATCAGAGCGCTATCAGCAAATTCTACTCGTCGCACAAGGCTAGCCTGGTAAGAACGGCAATGCCATCGTCGCCAGCTTCAAATGACAGCAAGCAACAGCAGCGTACGTTTTTTTCCCTCAGTGTATGTATCTGGGTGTAGACTAACACGATGCATTTGCATCATGTTAACATTAATGCAGATCAACTAAAACTTGCCCTCGCCCCGGATCAGCGCATGCAATAAATCATCTTTTTAGCACTACTGCTACATGTTTCCCATACTCATGATACCGACCCTGGTATATTCGTCTGACGGACGAGATCTTGTGAAATATGTTTTGGACTTGCAGCTTTAACACTTTTGGCGTCCATGGCATTAGACGTTCGTCTTGTAGTAGCGGCTGGAGCGGACTGACGTCGAATTTCCCGTTTTGCAGGAGTCATCGTTCGCTTCAGCTCCGGCAGTTTGATTGATCCATCATCTGGAGTCTCATTAGACTCATCCTTGCTGTTTGTGTTGGAGACTAGCGTGCGTCTTGATCGATGAGCAAACGGTCGGAAGCCTGAACCTCTCCCGTACCAATTTGATGCGGGCTTAGTTTGAAGTTGGCTGCCGAGATCTTCCTCCATCGAAGTGAGCAGCTTGGAACTAGTTTTCCTGGATATCAACGTCACTTCTTTAACGTGATCCCAGTTCAGCGCTGCTACGTTGATCGACCCGCGCTTCTCGGCCGCACGAGACCAGAAACGTTTTCCTAACACTTTCCGCTGAATCTCCATCTGAAGCTCAAACGCAGGAAACAATAGCATCGGGTGTCGTACAGCGAACTCTTGAAAGAGATTCGCAGAGAGACGATTATTTGCCGTATTTTCCATGATTGCATCGAGCTTCTCCACGATTTTGTGAGCGTTTGGACTGGTTTCCCAAGAGCTACCCCATACCTCTCGGACACACCTCACAACCTCATCATGCTCGATCTCACCGCTGCCATCGACGTCGTACAAGTCGAAAGCGAATCGAATGAGGCTAGCGTGGTTGAACGTACAGTAGTTCCACACCGCCAGCACAAACTCAATAAAGTCCACTTCACCGCTACCATTTCGATCCATGACAGAAAATGCCTTTTCTGAAAAGCGACTTCGCTTCAAATCTAACATAATTAAAAGAGGTTTGAATCCTTCCTTACGTCATACACGTAGTGGAAACACGGGAAACTGCACCAACCGATGTAGTCGAAGAACTCTAGCATATTGATCTCACCCGATTTGTCTGCAGCTCTCGAAAGTTAGTTGGTGTACTCCTTCACATCGGCCGTGAATATGCTAGGCTCACGTACCCTTATCCATGGCAGAAAATATTTGGTACAGAGCAAAGAGATGCTTGTGATCTAGGCCAATACCTCTAAGCATTTGCAAAAGCGAATTATTGAGATGATTCGCGCGGTTGAAGGCCTTCTCTTGCGAACGCTTGGTCCCGTAGCCGCATTTGTCGAGAAAATTTCCCATTCATGAGATAGTTTCCGTGACAATGTAAGAGGAAGTTACAGCAAAGTGAGGAAATGCCGGCGGTAGTCGTGCAGCAAGTCGCCTCACGACACATCCGCACGAATATTACAAGCGCGGGTAGATGTATTTATATTGAGTCCCGATCAGATCAACAGGAAGTGTGGACACCTGTAGCAATAGTGTACCGGTTTCTTCAATTTGGATGCCGTTTTGCAATCAAATCTGACGGGTGTCTTGACGGGTCCATGGGTCAAACCCATTTTATCTATTTATACAGGGTTCTGACCCGCTAAAATGATTGGCGAAGGGCTCAGTGACACGAGAATCTTGTTGCCATTTTCATTTTCGACAGCGGAGGCGACAAGCATCAGCGGAGACTGAATGGACCCATGATAGGTGCTTCTGAGGATGAAAAAATACACTGGCCGTCGAGATGTCTTCGGATGTCGATGTGACGCTAACTAAACTCTAATTTTTTCCTGAAGAACACAGAGATCTATGTATTTTCTAAAATGACGTTTCGCAAACGGGGTTCCTGTGAGGATAAACGTACCACCACACTGATCTATACGATGAGAAATCTTCCATAGAAATCAAACTTTACTGAGGAACCCCATCAACACCACGCATACCGTAGTAGACGTACTACAGTTGTACTACGTAGTACGTAATACTACGGTACTTCGTAGTACTACAAGTAGTTTAGTTTTTGTAGTAAGACAGTAAAAAGGTATTCCAACTACGTAGTACTACTGTAGTACAAAGTAGTACTACTTGAAAAACGCTTTTGCCGCTATTATCCCGGCTGGACGGAAAACAGTAATATATGTGACCTAAATATAGATGCGTATTTCTCGATACTCGGTCACTCGAATTAGCTCTAGGAAACTGCATTCGACAGCCTTGAGTCTAAATATGCATTTCCCAGCTTCATAGGCTCGACAGCGGAGCATTATTGAGCAAATGGTCGCCGGTAAGAAATTAACTGCAGCTGAAAAATATTTGGTGGTAAAGACGTACGAATACATCCGAGGAAAAAAGGCTGCTTCGCCACAACTGTGGAAGAAGGATGTAAGGGATCACGTTCACGAGTGTTTGGGCTTCGCGACGGGCACGATTTCAGCGATATGGAGCCATTGGGAGAAGAACCACGACTAGAGGTTTGCGTCGGTGAGTGGTGGTTTGTGGCGTTTCTGTTATTATTTATACTTAACAATTTCACTGGTCGTAATATGATTTATGACAGATGAAAGGTTCAAAACCATCTGGTAGGCCTCGAACGTTCGGTGAAAGCATACAGCCGCTCGTACGTGAACTCGTGTCTGAACTGAACTCAAGTGGCAAGCCTGTTGCAGCCCCAAAGTTAGTGAAGCGCCTAAAGGAAGAGCACAACATCAACATTTCTGTTCGTTCCCTTCGCCGTGTTTTGCGGAGGATGCGCTTTATTAAGGGCAAGTGTGCAGAAGATGACGAAGGAAGTGACTCTGAATGAGTTTTCGCTTGCCCGTTTTTTACCGATTGTATATTCCATACACAAGTTTATTCTAACACAATTATATTCTTTTTAACAATCGCCAAATTGCGGTAACTTTTCTATTCAGACTTAAATCGCCACATGTTATCTTGATTTGACCAATAGACTCGCTGATTTGGTGCACGTGGCAGTCTCAAAAATGCAAACAATTCTGCATTAAAAAGATGACTTTGTAAACGGCTAAAATGAATAGGAAGCCTTGATTATACGTAAAAACGGACATCAAAATCGGAATCTACGCCCGTTCTTACCCCTTATATCTAAATGCTGATATGGGTTTCATGTAGGGAAAGGGGTAACTTTGTGTCTCAAAGTTCGTCCAAGCTTTGGTGACCGGGATAATAGACCTCTTCTTCTACAACTACTGTAGTAGTAGTATTTTTCCTTAGTAATATCAATACTTGCTGTTCTATTACTGTATTACTACTAGTAATACTAATACTTGCTGTTCTATTACTGTATTACTACTAGTAGTATTAGCAAAATCTACAAAGTAGTAATTCTACTACAGAATTTCATTTTAGTAGTACTGTGTGAAATAAATTAGCCCACAAATTGCTAGAAGTACTACTTAAAATACAAGTAGAGCTACGAAACATACCTTTAAGTACTACTAAATGGTATCGGGTTGTTACAGTCAAAAATACATTGAAATTCCGCACTTGTGGGGACGGTTACAGCTACACTTTTAGTAGGCTACCATTGTACATGTGTGACGCCAATCCTTCCAACAGAATAGTCTAAGCCCAAACAGTACTACCCCTGTTTTTGCGGGGTGGACTAAACAGGACCATTAAAACGAGCTGTAGCTCTTGAAATGGTATAATAGTACCGATTTAAAAGTATTTATAATACTTGAGCAGAAGCGAGGCTCAGCTACTAATAAACTTTAAAATATTTAATAGTAATATAACGTTTTTTTCGAAAGCAAAGGATTTTGCAACATGAAATTACGCTTTCACACAATCGTTTCTCAGAAAAAGATCGTCGACCCCCCCCCTTTCGGTGTCCAATGCGTCGATTCCTGCTCTCGTTGGCGCTGCTGGCATGCACCGCCTCCGCCTCTTCTCTCAATGCCACCAGCTACAGCCTCACTATGAACTCGGTGGACGAGGATTTTTGTGACTCGACCAAGCAGTTGAGTGGCTACTTCAAGATAACAGGCTCCAAGTCGAAGAACTACTTTTACTGGTTCTTCGAATCACGCGGCAGTCCCTCGACCGATCCGCTGATCATCTGGCTTACTGGCGGTCCTGGATGCAGCTCCATCTTGGCTTTACTGCAGGAAAACGGCCCGTGCTCCGTGAACGACGACTTGTCACTCAAGAAGAATCCGTATTCGTGGAACGAGCGTGCCAATGTCATGTGGATCGACCAGCCCGTGGGTGTGGGCTTCAGCTACGGAGACAGGCGTGAATACGACACGTCAGAGAAGGAGGTGGGCGACGACATGTTCCACTTCCTGCAAGAATTCTTCAAGGCCTTGCCAGAGTATCAAAAACTCCCCTTCTACGTCTTCGGAGAGAGTTACGCCGGCCACTACGTGCCCGCGATCGCTCACAGAATCTTTACTGGCAACCAGCAAAAGGAGGGACCTGTGGAAATTAATTTGAAGGGCTTTGGAATTGGGAACGGCCTCACCGACCCTGAAGTGCAGTACAAGTACTACCCGGACATGGCCTACAACAATACATACGGCGTCAAGGCTGTGTCGTATCCCGTGTACGTGGCAATGAAAGCTGCGGTGTCACCCTGCGTGGGTATGATTTACAGCTGCCAAACGACAAAAGCAGCGTGTCTGGCAGCTCAGGCATTCTGCAATGCCGCTCTTGTTGCTCCCTATTCTGTGTCGGGGCTGAATGTGTACGATGTGAGGTCCAAGTGCGAACATCCTCCGATGTGCTACGACTTCAGTCATGTTGAGAAGTTCCTGAGACTGAAGAGCACGTTGAAGAAGCTGCATGTGAGCCCCAAGAGCGCCAAGTGGCAGAGCTGCAACATGGAAGTCCACGCGGGCTTTTCGTTCGACTGGATGAAGAACTTTCACCAGCTGGTGCCGCCCATGCTTGAAGCTGGAATTAGGGGCTTGGTGTATGCCGGTGACGCCGACTTCATTGTGAACTGGATGGGATGCAAGGCCTGGACTTTGGAGCTGCCATGGAGCAAGCACGAAGAGTTCCTGGCTGCAGAAGACAAGGAATGGCTCGTGGACGGCAAGAAGGCTGGCCGCATCCGTCAGGTCGGACCTTTTGCCTTCCAGCAAGTGTACGAGGCGGGCCACATGGTGCCACTCGATCAGCCCAAAAACGCGCTAGCGCTGCTCAAGGCGTTTACTTTGCCCGGGGAGCAAGAGGATAACGTTGCGGAAGGAGCTGAACAGCAGTCGTGGGACAAGGAAGCCATGATCAAGGACGAAAGCGTCATGAGCATCATGTAAGGACTGGCTTGCCCAGAATGGCAGCACCCAATGTGTATAAGTGAATTTTACTGAAGGCAAGAGATTCTGTAAGAGCTAGGTACTGCTGCTACACTGCTAAACTAAATCCAAAATATCAAAGCGGTTTACGCACGATCAGCGTGTAACCTCCCACATTTCCAGCACGGAATAGAAGTGCTACACGAGAGTAGAAGTGGTCAAGGTCATGAGCTGCCGCCTCGCCGTCACGAGCCTTGTGGGTTTCCAGTGCTGCATGGTACTGTGTGGATCGGTCGGACACATACGGCAGCCACTTGTCCGTCATATCTTGAAAATCGAGCTCCTCAAAGCCACAAGCTTTCAGTACAGCTCGAATCTCCTCTTGACGCAGTAAATCGGAGCAGTAAATATCTTGCTTGAGCGTGAGTTTGTCTTCGTGTGTCAAGTTTTCCCCACGAAGAAAAAAATCGTCGACATACAGGAACCCACCTGGTTTGAGACTATCGTAGCACCGTTGGAAGAGCTGGCGCCAATGGCCGATATGCAGGAAGCACAGCAACCCTATCACTGCGTCGTACTCTTTCTTTCGAATTGGAAGCTCCAAGAAGTCCCCGCTCAAGTGCGAGACTTGGTCGTTTAGTCCGCAACGTCGAGTGAGCTCTCGACCAGCCTCACTCAGGTCGGGTTGTAACTCCAAAGCGTCCACTTTGCACCCACTACGGTGTGCTAGCAGTCGAGCTGTGCCTCCGAAGCCCGTACCGATGTCCAGCACCTTCTTTTCATTCGGAGTTTCGTCCAGCAGCGCCACAATGTGACAAATAGGCTCGTCGCCGAAGAAATGTAGCGAGTCCAGAGTACCTAACTGCTCCGGATCCACTGGGATGTCCTTGCTGGTGTAGCCCAACTCTTTCAGGCGACGATCAATCCGATCCAAATGACGGTACAGCTGCATGGTCTTGATCTCGTCCTGCTTGGTCATGGTCATGTGAACGTATTGGTTGAAATCGGGGACTGGTCGGCACTTGCGAAGTGAATGAGCTAACGAGGCTACGTTGCGTCATGCATGTCCCGTGTTTAGGTTTCCTCTAAATGCAGGAAGCTGTAACGCAGACACGGTATGGCATGGATCACTCATGACTCAAAAATAGATCTCATGAGTCAAGAGATCTTTTTTTTAAATCAGCAAGCAAAATTAAAACATGTACACGTACCTCCTTCCAAAAGGCACTTGGGATTATAGAAGTTTTTTTTACAGTGGAAGGAGTTCGATTCCAAGTAATAAATGCAATAAATTCATTGCATTTAGCGACCACTGTGTCCTGTTGTTGTTCAGCTTACGAATCACTCTTGCACTAATAATTTCTCATCAAAAGCTAACGGCGGTTTTGTCTACACGAAAGAAGTGGTGCAAGCATTGCATTGACTACGTCACTAGTCTGCAAAAAGCTTGCAGGGGGGCAGCTTCCAGTGACGAAGAACATAAGGTAAAAATAGCGATTCCTCGTGCAAAGACACTCCATGTCTTTTCGTGTTCTTGGGGGGGGGGGGCATCCTGTAAATACAGCAAGTGAACGCGCTATATTTACGTTCGTCCAGCTCGCACTCTTAGAAGCACTAGTTCGTTTCATCGCCTGTTGGGGGACGTGCGATAGATAACCTTGCTGGCTTGGTTGCATTGAAGGGAAAGTGATCAGAAACGGCAGCTGGTAGGTGTCACCATGGGCGCTGGAGCGTCTGTGCCGAGCGACTCGAATGGATCGATGCGTCTGCAGACGCCATCCCGGATCGTCACGGCGTTCCTGAACCTGGCCAACAAGCCGCACCACGCACCGTTGGTGGCTGCCAAGACACAATGGAAAATTGCACAACCGTTTCCTGTCGGCAATGGAGAGGTGTCTACGAATGAGCAGGAACTGCTGCACGTGCTGCATGACCCCGTGGGGCAGAAACACATTGGTACTTTCGCCAAAAAGATCATGACGTCCGAGTCCTTCTTCTGCTGGGTCGAGATTAAGGAATTCAGGGAAGCTCCATCTATTGGCTACCGCAAATCGATGGCCAAACTCATCTACCGCAAGTACATCAAGAACGGGTCAACCATGGCGCTCGGCAGTATCACTTCCGATCTTATTGCTCTCTACGACGTGCGTTGTTCTGTGTGCTTTTAAAATTACACTGCACGGTATTTCGATAATACTTATTAAAACCTGCTTTGTCTTGACTCTTTGCCAATGCAGAAAAAGATTGCAGAGTTGGAAGAAAATCACGGCTCGAGCGCGACAGTCGACTTTTTCGATCCTCTCATGGCCAACATCGTGAACGATATGTGTCAAAACACGTTCTTGCGGTTTAAGTCCTCACCGGAGTACGAGGCGTATAAGAAAGACTTGAAGGATACATACAATAAGGTCACAATCGAAGACTTTGAGTACCTGGAGCTACTGGGCAGCGGTGGTTTTGGTCGTGTCGTTCATGCACGCAAGAAGTCGACCGGCAAGCACTACGGTAAGCTGCGATGCTGGTTTTCTCTAACATGTTTAGTATCTTACGTCCCAGTTACTTTAGCTATGAAGATCCAACTAAAGACTGGTCTGTTGGACGAGCACCACGATCAGCTAAGCCAAATAACTTCAGAGAAGGACATTTTGCAGATCTGCCACAACCCGTTTGTCCTAGACATGCACTACAGTTTTCAGACTCCAGCACACGCCATAATCGTGACAGAGCTTGTGCGCGGAGGAGACTTGGGCGACGCGCTCAAGTCGTCACGAGATGGCTATATCCACGAGGATCGAGTTCGACTTTATGCAGCCGAAATCGGTCTAGCACTCAACCACATGCACGAATTGGGGCTTATTTATCGAGACTTGAAGCCTGGCAACGTGCTGCTTGGGGAAGATGGACACGTAATTCTTGCTGACATGGGACTTGCAGCAGGGTTCGACCCACTGAAGCTGAAGAAAGAAGAGTCTGGGGACTATCGGTATACGCCAATGCAGCCGAAACTCACGCGCCGGAAAACAACTGTCGGTACGCGAGGCTACATGGCACCCGAGATCATATCCGGTAAGCTAGTGAAACGTGACCAGCGTCCGGGATACACATTTGCAGTGGATTTCTGGTCTCTCGGAGTCACGCTGTTCGAGTTGATGTGTGGATTCCAGCCATTTAGCATGCATTCGAGCGGTAACTTCTTCCAAGAAGTGGCAAATGAGGAGATCTTCCGACTATCTCCACGGACCCAACACAAGATAGAGCTCCAAAAAATGACACAGGGCGTGACATTCCCTTTGCATCTTACGCGAAACGCACAAGAATTCTTAAAACGCTTGCTGGAGGTGTCAACGGAGCATCGACTAGGCTGCAACCCTGAAAAGGGATTCGCTGAGTTTATGGAGCACTCATTCTTCGAAACGGTTGACTGGGAAAAACTTATGATGAAGCACATTGATCCCAAGTTCAAACCTGCCCTGCCACTATTGAGTGACAAGAAGATTTACAATTCGTACGAGCATATGATGTCACACTTTGATATGCGGGACAAGGACTTCATTCGACGTAAGTATTCGCTCTTATGGGAAGAAAATTTGTCAACTCGGACTCTAACGTGCAGGTGTATTTGCTTCTAACTCACAGACGACTGGTACGCTGACCCAGACCCTGAAATGCAAAAACATTTTGATACTTGGGACTACATTTCGCAGTACACGCTACGAGCCGAGCTGGGTATCGCCAAGGAGCTCGATGAGACAAACATCCCATACAAGGTGCTGCAGCTTACGGGCGAGGACAGCAAGGCAAAGTTCACGGCGAACAAATAGAGTGCATCCCTCGTTTAGCGTACCAGTGGACATCCCCGTCCACTCAACTGTAGCAGTATAGTCAGGAGCACGAAGATGTACACCATTTAAATTCGAGCGCTTCGTTGGACTCGTGTGTGGACCTTGAAGATAACGTTTCCAATCTTATTCCCTCACTATAGTGTCCTACTCAATGCATTGTCGAGCGTTACCGACGGTACATGCATTATAAGTTACCGTTGGATACGCGATCATCTGACCTGAAGAAGGACCATGAGCTACAACGGGGGAGGAGGTTACGGCTACAGCGACCAGCGCGGCCGCGGCTACGACGACCCCAATCGCCCGAGCAGCAGTGAAGCCGGCTACAGTGACCAGCGCGGGCAGCAAGGGTACGACCAGCACGGGCATCACGGGTACGACCAGCGCGGGCAACAAGGTTACGACCAACGCGGGCAACAAGGTTACGATCAACGCGGGCAGGCACAAGGTTACGATCAACGCGGGCAGCAAGGCTACGATCAACGCGGAGGGTACGACCAGCGTGGGGGTTACGACTCCCGCGGTGGCGACTATGGCCGATCGTCGTCTGGGCACGATGACTACAGTCGTGGCGGCGGAGGGGGTTACGGCTCCGGGTCGAGAGGGTACGAAGGCAGCCGAGGAGATTACAACTCCGGTGGTTATGATGATCGCAGCAGTCGAGGAGGCTCTTATGGCGGTGGAAGTGGCCATGGAGGCTCTGGGTACGACGACCGAGGAGGGTACGAAGGTTCCTCTACTCATGGGGGGTACGGTGGCTCGTCGGGCTACGATAATCGAGGTGGATACGACCAGAGTCGAGGAGGCGGCAGCTACGGCAGTGGAAGTGGAGGCTATGATGATCGCTCTCGCGGGTATTCGGGTGGGGGTTACGATGATCGCTCACGTGGAGGGTACGCTGGGCGGGACGACCGTGGTTACCGAGACAGTGCCAGTTCAGGCGGACAGGGAGACCGTGGATACGGCGGTCGTGATGATCGCGGCTATAATGCAGGCGGTGACCGTGGAGAAGATCGCGGATATGGCGGAAGAGGACGAGATGATCGAGGCTACGGTGGAGCGGGTCATGATCGCGGTTATGGTGGCAATGGAAGTAGCAATCAAGGACGAGATGACCGCGGTGGGAATGGAGGTGGCAATCACGGACGAGACGACCGCAACTATAGTCGACAAGGAGACCTTGGAGGCGGCGACCGACGAGGAGGAGATCGTTCCCATGGAGGTGACAGAGGTGGCTTTGGAGGAAGAGGCCGTGGTGGAGGTGGTGGCTCTCGAGGACAAGAAGGACCTGGTGCAGGTGTCATCTCCGGCGCCGGCTACGAGCAGATTGGAAACCCTATCGAAGACCCACGCATTCAAGAAGAATGGAGCGGTCGAGCCGGTGTTCGTGAAGTCCGTGCCGACGATGCCGACCTGCAACAAGAAGTACAGATTTGTCGTCGTCCAGGCATCGCTCAGAGCGGCAAGACGACGCCGTTGAACGTCAACTACTTCAGCGTTTCGCTCGACACGGCACCTCCAGAGATTTTCAAGTACCATGTGACTGTGGAGCGCTCGCCAGACCTTCAAGCCGACTCTAAGTATGGCCCTTCAGCCCCCGACCAGAAGGACGAAAGCATGGGTGACGAACCGAAGCAAGAGGGCAAGGACGTTAAGGATGTGGAGATGACGGATGCGTTGACAGATGCACCTCCCAAGCGAGAGGCACGTCCAGAGCGTCCTCTGCCTCGCTCGCTGGTGCGTAACGTGATCAATGCTGCGCTTCGTCAATATGAATCGGAGTTTGGTGGGCTCCGTGTGGTTCATGACGGTATGGCCGCGCTGTATTCGCCGGCATTGCTGCCGTGGCATGCCAAGGACTTTACAGACGTCAATCCAGACGGCCCCAGTGCGGCTCCAGCAGCTCCTCCGCAGCCGGCAGGTGGTGACGGTGCTCAGCGTCGGGGATTCAGAGGCCCACGCACTTTCCTTGTCAAGATGAAGCTGGTCGAGACTATTTCCACCTCCAGCTTGAAGGAACACTACTCCAACCCGGACGTGAACGTCATGCCTATACTCCAGGCCCTTGATGTGGTGGCACGGCATCTTGGAGCTCAACGTCTGATCGCTGTAGGACGCAACTTCTTCACGATGAAAAAGACGCACACGCTCAAAGGAGGCAAGGAGCTCTGCTGGGGTTACCATCAAGCGCTTCGTCTCGCCGACCACAAGTTGTTGATGAATGTCGACCAAGCAGCCACCGTTTTCTACTCACCTGGTCCTCTGATGCAGCTTGCAGTGGCAGCTCTGCGTGTGCGAGGCCCCGAAGACGTACGAGACCTCGCGGAACGAGATATGAAGTCCCTGGCACGTGCACTACGCAAGATTGAGGTGGTGCCCACCCACCGAAAGGACCGCAAGCGCGCGATTTACGGAGTCAGTGCCCAACCTGCCAATATGACGATGGTGAGCATTAAGGGCGAGAACATGTCGGTGGCGGCCTACTTCAGCGGTAAGTACAACATGCAGCTGCGCTATCCGAACTTGCCGTTGGTCAACGTGGGCAGCAAGCGTCCTGGTAAGGAGAATTGGCTGCCCATAGAGGTGTGCGAGGTGGCTCCGGGGCAGCGTTGCGCCAACATCAACGATCTCGATACTGCTGAGATCATTCGCCAGACGAGCCAACCTCCTCGCAGCCGCCAAGAGAATATCCTCGAGCAAATCCGCCAGGCCGGCTTCGAGAACGACCCGTTCCTCGCTGCGTTTGGGATTAAAGTGGACCAACGTCTCCAGCCTACCGAAGCTCGTGTCATGGACGCACCTGATGTCCAGTACCAGAACGTATCGGAGCGTCCTTATGGTGGACAGTGGAGTCTGAATGGCAAGAAGTTTGTGGAGGGCGTTCCGGTTCGCAACTGGGGAGTGATTGTCGCAGCTAACGTGAGTGAGCGAGACGCCCAGAACTTTGTCGGCAAACTGACGGACCTAGGTGATCAGCGTGGACTCCCATTCGACGACAAGAGGCCCGTTTTGATCCATCAGGACCAGTACAGCGGAGCTCAGGTCGAGGAACTGATGAAGATGTGCCACCAAGAACTCGAGCGACGTAACCTGGGCCCTCCGCAGTTCCTCTTAGTCATATTGCCGGCCAAGAATTCCCCAGTGTACGGAGATGTGAAGCGCATGTCTGATACGGTTCTCGGTCTGCCAAGTCAGTGTATTGCGTCTCAGAATCTTCCTCGAGCCAACCCGCAGTTCTGCGCCAACGTTTGTCTGAAGATCAACATGAAACTCAATGGCAAAAACGCAGTACTACGCGACCCGCTACCATTGATCAGCAGTGAGCCCACAATTATCATCGGTGCTGATGTGGAGCACCCGCGTTCTGGTATGGGTGGCCGACCATCGATCGCTGCAGTTGTGGCCTCAATGGATCGCTACTCTGCTCAATATGCTGCACGTGTGGCAGCCCAGAAAGCTTCGAGTGACATCCAGCAGCTACCGAACATGCTTCGTGAACTCTTTTTGGCCTACTACGAAAACACGAAGCGCAAACCAGAGCGGGTGGTCTACTACCGTGACGGTGTCAGTCAGGGCCAAATGTTTGATATCCTGCAGACAGAGATGCGTGCACTGCGGAAGGCGTTTAAGATGATCTCGGAAGACTATAACCCGCCCGTGACGTTCGTGGTAGTGAACAAGCGTCACCATCTTCGAGCGTTCGCGGTGAATTCTCGTGATGCCGATCGCAAGGGCAACGTGATGCCTGGTACGGTGATCGACACTGGTGTTGTGAACCCTCATCGCTTCGACTTCTTTTTGTACGGCCACAGTGGCATCCAAGGCACGACTGTCCCTGGACACTACACTGTGCTGCACGACGAAAATAAAATGTCTGCCGAGGATATTCAGCGCCTCACGTACCACTTGGGGTACACGTTCTCTCGATGCACGCGCTCGGTGTCTTTCGTGACACCCGTGTACTACGCGCACTTGGCTGCTGCTCGAGCTCGCTTCTACCTGAACGAGGGCTCGGACGGTGCGTCCACTGTGGGCTCGTACAACTCGAATGCGTCGAACTTTGAGTTCGCCGAGGTGCACTCGAATGTCCTTAACCGAATGTTCTACATGTAACTTCCCGTAGTTTTGACGAGGGAGACGACCGGCAGAAGAGCAGAAGAATTGCAGTGAAGAAAGTAGTGCCAGCCATCCAGAGTAGCAGCGAAGTGCTGCACAGTTTATTCTAACCCGTGCCTGCCAGCGACTCAGCTGTACTCTCGCGATGGCGGTTCGGTCTCTCAGTTTTGAAATTTGAATTGTTGCATCGTTGCTCTGTACAGTAGTCGCTTATTGCCGACAACGCGAGTGCAACGAGTGCATCTGTAACTATCAACATTCCATTCGAGCCAACTGGTCCTGGTGTTTTCGAGATGATGATTTCCGTGTATTGCAAAGTGGAGCCTAAATTGCAATTTGTGGAATACATCGGAGGTTAAAATCTTCTTGTCGGGACACCGGCGGGTGTTACTGTGACTTCTGTCAGCTCTGGAATCTCTTTATTGGTGGGTGCTCAGCAGGCTTTGGATGGAGCCTGCAAGCTGCTCCAAGGCTAGTGGCGACAGCGTCTTGTGCTCAAGAGACGGCCAAGTCAGGACTAATGGAGAACAATGCATCGTGTTGTGCCGCTGGTAACATTCGTGGCGGAGGGTCCGGTGCTTACTCGACATGCTGGTCTCCCACTCATGACCGATAGTTTCGGTCTTCGTCGCCTGCGTTATTGACTGCAGCCTTTGCGTTGGGCACCTGTGCCTTTGGCACACGATGATGAAAGTAGCAGTTTGGGTGATGAAAGCTCTCACGTATTTTTTCTTTTTACGTCGTTGGTCGTGTTCTGACGTGGTTGCACGCACTTTCGAGGAAAACATCAACACCACACACAATCGCTTCGCCTATCAGTTTCCAACTGCACTGTTTCGAGTACGAGTTTTCTTACACCGAAGGACACGAGCTCGCGAAGTCGGTTGAAAATGCGTTGGCGAGAGGAAAACTACTTTATGAAAATGGTGATGTGTGGAGTTGGAGACGATGCAGCAGACTTCCGGAAGAAGCAGCTCATCTACATGTAGACACTTGCCGAAGGCGATGGCTCGCTTTTATTATCTTGGCTGCAGTTGCTTTACATGGCCCACTGTGAAGGAAGCGCTAGCGCACCAACTTGGCGACCAAGAGCCAAGGGCTAGCATCTCTTGAACAGAGACTGAGAAAGTAGCCCTGGCAAGAGCCTCCCATCTCAATCATCAAAGTGGAGGATCGGAGATTGAAAACATTGAGTTAGATTGGCCCATTCCAACAAGTGCGCGTGGACACAAAAGAACATAAGCTGTGAGAGATGCTACGAAGTCGCGAAGGTGTGGCTGTCACCAACTACGAGGACAGCCAGACACACGGCCTGGAGTGCATCTCGTTGTGAGCTTGGCCGTATTCTGCTGCTCCATATTTTGGTAGCTGAGTACCTAGCGACGCAGAGTAATGAGAGTGCGGAAGACAGGAAAGGCCATTTCAGCGAGCGACACAGGCAGGATCGGGTACAGATATCTGCAGTGTTGCCTTCACAAAAGCTAGATCTGTTGGGTATTTCTTCACTCTACACGACTCCAACAGGTTTCCTGGAGTATACGACAGCTGCCGATCCCTTGCACTTGCTCGGTTGTCTCGCTGGCTGCAACCGAAAGACAAACGTCACGCACGCGCCCGCCGTGTCTCGATGGGGTGGTTTCCTTCGGTGAATCGGTCGTATCCGGGACAAGTCGACTGAGAGAGTGCCCAGTGGTTGTAACAAAACGCTGCAGACTCGCTCGGCTTCAAGGCGGTTGAAAGTGCAGATCCCTAGCACTTTTGCCACTCATTCGGCTTGTTGTCATTCCTGAACGACCCAAGCAAGACACAACACAATGGGATACGATCAGCGTGGCTACGATTCTCACGGCAGTAGCAATGGGAGCTACAACAGCTCTCGATCCTCTGGCTATGACGACTACACCCTTCGAGGAAGCTACAGGAGTGACTCCAGCGCCCGCGACTTTGACTCGCAACGTGGTGGACGCTATGGTCCCGACAATGGGAGCTGCAGCACTGGATACGACTACCGCAGTCAAGGTGCTTCCTACAACCGTAACTACAACGAACGCGGATGTGACGATCGTAACGGTGGAAGGTACAACGAAAATCGCCCCAGAGACTATGATGACCGAAGCTACAGTAGTGACAGTCGTGACACCAGAACTCAACGCTACGGCAACGGTGACGACGGCCGATCCCGTCAAAGCTATAACTACGACGGCCAAGCTTCGGCGCGTAGCTATAGTAATCACGACTATGGCGGATCAAGACGTGGCAGCTACGACACGTCGTCGTCTGGTAGTTCGTCTGGCCGATACGACCAAGGCCACTCCAATTCTTATGAAGGTCGCGAGTACGACAACGTTCAGTGTAACAGACATGACGATCACTCTCGCGGTGATACACGTTATGAAGACAATCCCCGAAGCACCCAAAGCCAAACTGGACGAAGCTACGGTGGAGAGGCCAACTCTCGTCCCAACGGCTATGGCGGATCGAATTTTCACGATAGTCGCTACGGCGGCTCTGGCGGCCGAGGCTATGGTAACGGTCGTGGACGTGCTGAACAAGGTCAAGACATTGGTGATGTTCGCGGATGTGGCTATGAGAAGATTGGCAACTCAATCATGGACCCACGCAAACAAGAGCTATGGAGCGGCCGTGCTCCTCCTCTGAAGATCAACCCGGAAGACCCTGAGCTGCAGATGGAGACGCGGGTCTGCCGACGCCCAGGTTTCGGCAAAGACGGCAGAACGATGAAGATGAATGTGAACTACTTCAGTATCTCGTTGGACAAAGCTCCCGTTGAGGTGTTCAAGTATCACGTCGACGTTGTGCGTACACCATATCCCGACGAGATCATTTCGCCCACGAAGGACCAAAAGCCACATCCTCCTCAGCCTGCACGACTTCTGCCTCGAGCTTTGGTACGTAACGTGATCAACGCTGCCCTGACTCAGTACAAAGCCGAGTTGGGAGGCGTTCGAGTCGTTCACGACGGTATGTCGGCACTGTTCGCACCGCAAAAGTTCGAGTGGAACGCCCGAGACTTCCCAGACGTGAACCCGGACAGACCGAGTTCGGAGCAGCAGAAAGATGGAGGCTTTCGTCGGCGAGGTCCGCCAACATTCATTGTCAAGGTGAAGCTAGCGGAGACTATCGCTCTTCAGAGTGTTGAGGAGCACTACCGAAACCCAGACGAGAATGTGATGCCCGTTCTTCAGGCACTCGACATTGTTGCACGTCACCTTGGAGCCCAGCGCCTCGTTTCAGTTGGACGCAATTTCTTCGCTATGAAAAAGACGCACGAATTGAAAGGAGGCAAAGAGCTGTGCTGGGGATACCACCAAGCCATTCGCGTGGCGGAGAAGAAGCTGCTGCTGAACATTGACCAGGCTGCCAGTGTGTTCTACCAGCCCTGTGAGCTCATGAAGCTGGCGACTTCGGCTCTTAATGTTCGCTCTCCTGCAGATGCACACGGTCTCTCAGAGCGAGATATGCGGAGCTTGGCGCGAGCTCTACGCAAAGTAGAAGTGTACCCGACACACCGCAAAGACCGCAAGCGCGCCATCTTTGGTGTCAGTCCTGATCGTGCCGACCGGACTTTGGTGGATATCAAGGGCGAGACGATGAGCGTGGCTGATTACTTTTACAAGAAGTACAACATGCGACTTCGATACCCGAATCTGCCGCTTGTGAACGTGGGCAGTAGGAAAGCTGGCAGAGAGAAGTGGCTGCCGATCGAGCTGTGCGAAGTCGCACCGGGGCAGCGCTGTCCGAATATCAACGACCTCGATACGGCCGAGATCATTCGCCAGACCAGTCAGCCGCCTCATCAGCGTCGAGAGACCATACTGGGTCAGATCCGTCAAGCAGGATTTGAGAACGATCCGTACTTGGCTGCTTTCGGGCTGGAGGTCGACCAGCAACTCGAGACGGCGGAGGCGCGTGTGCTCGATCCTCCCGACGTGCAGTACGCGAATGTTTCTGAGCGCCCGTCGGGTGGCCAGTGGAATTTGAGAGACAAGAAGTTTGTCCACGGCGCGGTACTTCGCAACTGGGGAGTGGTGGTGGACGCTAATGTGAGTCCTCGCGATGTGAATAATTTCATTGGGATACTGGTGGACACTGCGAGTAAGTGCGGACTTTCGGTGGAGTGTCGAAGTCCACCGGTGATTGATCGCTCTTCCTGTAAACGGGTAGAAGTGGAGGATCTGATGAAGTTCTGCTTCCAAGAGCTGGAAACCCGTGGCAACGGCGCTCCTCAGCTCATTTTGGTGATTAAGCAAGACAAGGGATCCGTCTCGTACGGCCGGATCAAGCGCATGTCAGACACGGTGCTGGGGATCCCAAGCCAATGCATCGTCGCGACAAACCTGCGCAAAGCCAACCCGCAGGTGTGTGCGAATGTGTGCTTGAAGATGAACATGAAGTTGAGTGGCAAGAACTCTGTGCTTCGAGAGCCTCTACCGCTCATCAGTACATGCCCTACAATCGTGATCGGGGCTGACGTCGAGCACCCACGCTCTGGAATGGGCTCTCGACCTTCCATTGCGTCTGTTGTGGCGTCGATGGACGCGTACTCGGCCAAGTACATTGGGCGTGTGGCAGCTCAAAAAGCAGCAAACGACATACAGCAATTGCCGCATATGCTGCGTGATCTCTTCTTGGCGTTCTACCAGAGCACCAACCGCCAACCCGAGCGCGTCATCTATTACCGCGATGGCGTTAGCGAAGGCCGCTTCTACGATATTCTACAAACCGAAATGCGAGCTCTACGCAAGACGTTCAAGATGCTATCGGACGACTACAACCCGCCCGTGACCTTCGTGGTGGTCAACAAGCGCCACCACATGCGAGCTTTCCGAATAAATCCTCGAGACGCCGACCGCAAGGGTAATGTGGTGCCGGGCACCGTGCTCGACACGGACGTCGTGAGTCCACACCGATTCGACTTCTTCTTGTATGGCCACAGTGCCATCCAAGGCACGAGTGTTCCGTGTCACTACACGGTGCTGCATGATGAGAACAGGATGACTGCCGACGAGCTGCAGAGACTCACGTACCACCTCGGATACACGTTTGTGCGGTGTACCCGCTCGGTGTCGTTCGCGACTCCAGCGTACTATGCGCACCTTGCTGCTGGACGTGCTCGGTTCTTCTTGTACGAAGGATCGTCGGACACTGCGTCGATGAGCACCAACTTGTCGAGCTCGTCCAACTTCGACTTCGCAGGCGTGCACAAGAACATGCTGGACTGCATGTTCTACGTGTAAGGAGGGACGACACAGATGGTACGTCTCCGCTTTCATGAATTTTGCGTTGTTGCTTTGTTGTTTGAAGCAGGACTTGCAGCTAGTGGTCAAACTCAGTGGAGAATAAGTGGAAGATGTAAAGCTGTCTGCATCAGGATCGAGGCCTTGGGGGATATAGGAAGGCTGTATGGAAAAATGAATTGACCTTATCAACGATTCGACGTCTTCAACTTGCATTTTTGTGGACCACTTGTGAGGATCTTGAAGAGTCTTGTGGCAGTCTCCGATCAAATGGAGGAAGCGTTGACGGCGTCTGCTACTTTGGACGAGTGCAGTTCTTCCGATCAAGAGGAAGTAGAAGGGCAGACGTCACAGTGGCTAGAGTGCTACAGTGACAATGGCGAGCGATACTTCGCGAACATGGCTACAGGCGAGACATCGTGGACGAAGCCAGGATCTGACTACGAGCAGCAGGACCAGATTGGCTCGTGGCCAGTAGTTGATGCAGAGTCCACTGCAGCTGCGATCTCGGTGGGTGGTGCAATTGCCGCGGCTGAGCAAGACACGGCGACTGAAGACTCCGGCGAAGTCACGCAGTGGCTGGAGCTGTACGACCCGCAGAAGCAAGCCATGTACTACTTTACGCCACAGTCCGGTGAAGTCCGTTGGGAACCGCCTCTGGAACCTACAAATCTGGTTCGACAGTGTGATAGTGATGCAGTTCTGAGCGCAGTGGTGTCGTTACAGAGTGCTGCCAGGTCGCAGCAAGCTCGTGCGAGGGTTACCGCGATGCGACAGCAGAAAATGAATGATCACTTGGACGAGAGCTACATTGACAAAGAGGTCAGCCGCTCGCTCAACCTCATACTTGCAGAGCTGAACGAAAGCGCTTATACTGGCGCAGCTCCATCAAGTATGGAAGACGCAGCCCCGGCAAACGACGACTCGCAGTGGGTGGAAGTGTTCGACCCTGCGACGCAACAGCAGTATTACTACAGCCCTCGCACCAGTGAAGCTCGCTGGGATCCTCCTGAAACATTCGTATCTTCTTTGGAAGATCGCCAGGTGGCTGCTGCAATCTCGATCCAGTCGGTATCGCGTGGGCGAATAGCTCGTAAACAAGCTCAAGAACTCCGGACACAGTCCCCGCTGCACCATACGCAGCATCCCTTTCAAGACGAGTCTGAGAGTGAAACTACACGTTGTCGTGAGATGCGTCATCAAGAACTGCTACAGATTGAAAGTGGTGACCAATTTCGGGGGCTAGACAGCTATGAATGTGAGTTGTTGCACAAGAAAACCGAGGAAGAGAAGGCGGAGGCATCGGATGACCAAGACTCCCTCTCTTCTCCGCAACTAGCAACTGAGATTTGTATCTCGCTTGATTATCTCGACTTCGAAGACGAAGAAATGGACCCCGAACGCTTGCAACAAGAGCAGCAGGAAGAAGAATGTGCTCAGGTTGCAATGTGTCGTGAAGAGACTGTGCAGTGTCAGAACGGAGACACTTTTTGGGGCATCCAAGCAGAGGAAAGCAGGCAACATGCTGCAAATTTTGCAATGGCTCAAGAGGACGCAGCTAGTCGCCGATTTGCAGAGAATGTGCTCGAACAAGCACTTAGTGCGACGTGGGAGGCAGAAGTACAACACAATGCAACACATGAATTAGCAACACGTGGCGGACACGAGCAGCGCATGCAAACGAGATATCTGCGTTGGTTCTACCAGCAGTGTGTATCCGTTGACGAATTGTTGGACTATCGGTGGCCAACCAAGAAGCAACAAGACTGCTTGCCGTCGCCAGTCAAACGGCGACATCACCCAGTTGTGCGTCCAGAACTCGAGTCCGTAGCATCGGCAACACCTTATCCTCTAGATGACTTGGTATTTCGCGATCGTTTGGAACATGGGGATCTACGTTACGGTCTTCGATCAGTCCTAACAGTTCACTACCAGGGCGCCCGTGGCACAAACAGCACTCTCTTCGAGGTCACAAAAGCACCCCCAGAATGTGCATTCATTGAAGCCACAGCAGCAGCACTTTTGAAATGCCAAGCGCTGAAATTCTCGTCCAGCACTGACTCGCTAAATGGTTTTGAGCGCCAGGACGATCATATCGGAGATAGTTACCACAAAGGAGACACGGTCCCAGAATCTTCGGTCAAGTATCGCCGTTCTCGGGTAAGTGCTTTCTGTCATGCTTTTCATACAGAGCTCTGATTTTACTCGCCCTTTATCTTTAAAACAGACACCAGACCCACATATCCCTGCACGATTCAACGGAGTTCCTTATAAGCCTAATCAGGTAAGTAAGCAACATGTCTTTCTGCATCGAGTTACAGTGCACGCTTACATGCCATGTGCTGACAGATGAGCCCTACTCGAGACATTTTGAGCGGAGATCATCGCAAGCTAAACCAACTTCCATCTCTTGCCCAGCACAAGCCAACAGAATCACCAAAACTCCGTCAACTACAGAAAGCAAAGGCCAAAGCACGAACTTATCCGAAAGTATCGAGTCCAGTTGACCAGCAATCGCCAAACAAAAATGGTGGCGCTGATTCAGCTCGTGAACGCGAAGTTGAGCAGTCAGAGGACGACGGGCCCCAAGCCCAGTTCAAGCGACAAGAGCACGACGTATTATCAAAGCTCTTTTCACTTATGGACTTGGATGGAAGTGGCACGGTGAACCAGGACGAGATGAGATGGGCGCTTCAGCGAGACGCAGAGATACACGCACTCGCCACGACTTCGCCACTGCTTCGTATCCTCCTCAAACAGCGTACTCATCCGGAAGCGCTATTCTCCAATCGAAGAACGAGTCCGCATTTGGACGAGGCCGATAGCAGTAGCAGTGAATTGTCGTGGGATGAATTTGTGGCGAGATGTGAGTCCTCGTATCTCCGTCTGATGTCAGAAGGTCTTATTCAACCTGATGTTGTTACTGAGAATCGTGGTCTTGGGGGTCACACTAGAGCAGCTTTCATTAGCAACCACCAGGACGAGACATCGGCGAGAGAAACCGAAGCTCGAACCATCAGACGCGTCTTCGCATTGCTGGACAGTGACGCTAATGGAGTGGTAGATGTCGCCGAGGTTCAGCGGACCCTGTACAACTCGACTGCCACCACGCACCAAGGTCCTCCTGGGTCCGGATCAGTTTATAGTGAGCTACGAACACTGGTGGAAAGCTCGAGAGCACTCCAGCCGATGCTGCACCAGGAGCTCTTCATGACAGCATTCACAGAATTCGAGCCATTGGACCCACGCGGTATCAGCGAGAACGAGTTTGTAGCCTTCTGTCTCGAGATCGCTCAGGTTGCTGCTGCTAACAACATGGTGGCAACTGTGGGGTAGAATGCCCCCACCCCCTTCCATGTTATACGCGTGTCTTCGTTTTTGCGTTAAGCAGAGGCTCTAGAACGTCAAACAGCGCAGTGACAGCGAGTTGTACGCGGGGTTGGCTTTCTGGGTTCCCACAAACCGGTGTGATCGGATAGAATACAACGCAGGGTCCTAACCTCCACGCCATCACGTTTGTCCCTGCGTGCGGTTTCTCTTTTGCTGACGAAGCGACAGGGATGTTTGTCCAGATAAATTGGGTGAGCTGTTGAGTTCGTTGCTGCGTCATTTTGGAAAGTGGAAAGTGAGCGCCCTCTGAAGAGAACAACGACCGGCTCGACACCTTTACAAACGGAACAAGTACGCCCGCAATACCACGAGCTTTCTCTGTTCGCTGAGGCTCCATTATTGTTGCGCTCATTTCCCGAGAATGAACCTCAAGCACGCGCTGAAATTCGTGCGGTTCCGAGTGATCTATGACTGCATTTCTCGAGCTCCATCGGCCTCTCTTCTCCGACTTTCTCTTCGTACTTGGCTTACCTTTCATTCGAGTGGCGACATCACATACCATATCGCGGATGCAGAGTTTCTTCGACATCATTGGATCATCCGCCCTGGCCGCATTACCGCCTTCTTCTTCACTAGAGGTTTTACTTCCAGATTCAATATCACAGCCACCACAAGATCTCGAATCACTCAAGCGCGGCGAGTAGTAGAAGAAGAGGAACAATTCTCCATCGCCAAATGAATCTGCACTGGGATCTTCTTCCCCTTGCTTGGAAACGAGTACGCTCTCACAAAAGCGGATGAGCTCCCGTTCAACAGCTTCGTCAATTGTTTGAGAGAACGCTTGACGAAACCGACGATGCTGAATTTGCATGGACAACACGATGAATGAGCTCCACAGCTGATTGACTGCCAGTGCAGCTTGTCTGAGTAAAAGATCCAACTCACCGCTTGGTTAAGTGTGAGTTGCATATCCACAGCATCACAGTTGTCGTAATTGAAAGCAACACGATGGACTATCCACCTGAGGTGGACAACGATAACGTATAGAGAGAACAGTCAGGGGATGGAACAAGTGAATCTACCATCAACGTTGCTTTCCAGGCTTACTTGGCTACTTCCACGTCAAAATTTGGAGCTGTAAAAAGAACCTGTACAGTTCGTTTTTGTTAGCTCGGGAATATGGCGACGACGACAGTAACAACACCACACCACAAGAAGTCCACTGCTGGGTGTGGTCGTGAGCACCATATTCTCTACAGAAGTGTTAAACATTGTAATCTCGGCGGAATTTCGTGTCCTCAACCCTTCGCCCAATCCGTCAGCATTCTCCACCGATCGAACGCTGCTGCCTGTGTAGGATAATTGGCATAAAGCGACGCACTGGGTTTAAGCGTGCATGTTTGAGTTGAAACGAGCAGCAGCGATCGTACTCTACCTGCAAAGTTTTGCAGTGCAAAAATGAGTGCAGCAAAGTTAAGACGCTCAGTCTTCGGGTGCCTCACGTCAAATCCATCGGAAAAAGACCTGGTGTAGTGCAAAGCACCTGAGGCCGTCTCCACCAGCATTATACCCTCCATAAGTCCTCAACGGAACCAAATGGAGAAGAGTTAAGGCGATCCAAAAGATCAACGTGAGTGCTGAGACCGAAATAGCGACTTGAGATGGCTGACAGGAGTGAGCTGCGTGAGACGTGGGGAGGGTGTGCTCTCGTCGTCACTGCAACGCTCTCAACCAGCAGTCAGGAATACACTGATGGTGTTTCTTGCCTGGAACATCAACACAAACTTCAAAACCTGAACAAACTTCAAAACCAGTTTCCCGATAACGAACCACATATCCAGGACAGGTGACTGCACCCGTCCATACACTCGGTATTTTTGGCGGTGATTACAAGCTTTTTGAGCTGCTTTGAGGGGTTTCGCTTCCGATGAAGCGCCGCACACCGATCGCAGCAATAGCCACTACTCGACAAGACACTCAAGGTTGAAGGTGAAGCCCAGACACAATGCCCGAATCTCAGCAGGAGAAGATCCCTGTGTCTGCCGATGACGTGACCGTCGCCACCATCAAGCCACACAAATCGCCAAGCAAGAAGAGCGACTATCGGGTGCTCTGCTGCGGCAACTCATGGCAGGATCTGCTGATTATCCCTCTGTATCTCATCGGGGTCTACGCTCTTCTCGGCGCACTCTTTGCACTATGCACGCGTTCGGTACTGCAGACTGACGACACCAACACGGCACTCTGGGTATTCTTCGTCTTCTACGCGTTCTTCGTCTTCGTGCTGGCACTGGTGCTCGGAACGGTAGCGTACAACCGCAAGATGCTCAAGGCTCACGAAGAGGACGACCCAGAAGATCTATAGAAGCAAGAGAACCCACGCCCTCGGAAGCGCCTTTAGTTGATCATTGCTGCCGCACGTCATCTCCATCTTCCAGGCATTGAAACACAATAAAATTGCCCTTTCCATGAAAAAAAAACTGCTTCCGTGATTCATTACCTTGAACGCCGGGTTACGACCGGGACGAGCGTTGTTTGTCTTGTCTAGACGTTTGCTGCGGCCGATGACCCGTTGTATTGCCAACAGCTGCACTGACAGAGACCACATTGTCACCACGAATGAAAAGCTGCTTCACATACTCACGTCGAGTTCCACCAGCACTAGCAAATACTCGACGATTGCGCCGCTGATCGGCAGCAGAGAACACTGCATCACTCACGGGGCGTTTGTCTTCCCTCACTTGTCGCAGGAGCCTTTCATGAGTACTGAGTGGGATAAAGTCTTGAGTGACATCCAGCAGAACGAGATTCATGTGCTTATCAAAGGCCTTCAAGAAGCCAGAACATGTTCCACGCACGCTGTTAACTCGACGAATGACAACGAAGACCCTCATTCGTTCAAGGAAGCAGTGACGAAGAACTCGAAAGGGGCCGTCCAAGTAAGTTTCTATCAGCAAACACACAGCAGCACTGCACTCAATAGACAGTATCAAATAGAACAGTCACCAACCCCGATTTGTACCTGCAAGTTGTTCAAACAGCGACGGCGTAGCAGGAGCAGGAACTTTCTTCACTGCCACCGCTTTGGCTTCAGCTGCGGATGGGTTCGCCTTCTTTAATCTAGCTACAAGCGTCTGTCTGTTCACATCGGACTCGGGGAGCTACGGAGTTGACAATTCAATAAGTGAGACACCCCGTAGCTCTTCCAGCTCATAGTCAGACGTACCAAGTGTCGGCACTTTTGGGTATTGTCCAGAGGATAAGCCGCGACCACTGGCAGCTTCAATTGCTGTTTAGGCGTCTGAAGAGCCTTGAGAGCATCAAATTGGGCTGAGCGGAAGTCCAGCGGACTGTCCGTGGCCTTGGGCAGCAAATACGCCTCGAAACCCCTGTCGTACATGGCATTGGGGTATGACACTGGACCTGCCGCCTTGGTGATGTCCTTTTCTTTTGCAGTATCGCCAGCCGATGTAAAGTCTGGTGCTTCTCCGTATTTCTTAAAGAGTTTTGCGCATAGTTGACGCTCGCGACCGGCAAATTTGCGCACGATCTGCGCGCTGCGGAGTGACACAGAAGCAAACTAGGTCAGAATGTGAAGTGGAAATCATGGCATCTCTGCGCATCCGGCCGTTAGTACACTCACATGTTCTGGTCATTGCCTGGGTTGTGCTTAGCGTAGAAGGCGCGCAAACGTTCCTCCACGAGTGCAGCATCCATCGGTCCGGAAAGACCTAGGGGGTTTAATGGGTCGGGAATAATCCTTTAAATCCACCCACCCCACCAGCATGCACCTGGAAATAGTATTTCCGGCTATAATTTATTAATACACGAATCGACTTAAACCAATTAACCCATTCACCGAGGACCGTCTTTAACCCCCTCGGTTTCCTGAAAACCTGGGTTTTCCTGGTTTATCTGTCGGCGCGTTTCTATTGGTCCGCTTCGATAGCGGCACTACCGGTATTAATTACTACAATTCTAACGGTACAGACTGTAGAATCTACTCGGGTCAGTCGATATCTGGCGCAGCATGGCGGAACCGCAGGTGCAGTCGGCGATGCCGCTCTCCAACGTGCAAAAGCTAAAGCTACAGCTATTTCACCGCCTGCAGCGCCGCCACCGCGACGCGTGGAAACGTTACTGGGGATCGTTCCAGCTATACCTGGCAGCCAAGCTCTCGCTGGAAGAATTCCACTCGCTGGCCGAGGAGTTATTGGGGCCTGACAAACGTGCGTAGATCGTATGTCAATTGGTGGGTTTAAGGTGCTAATATAATGGTTGTCAAATGTGCGACTGCAGACTTGCACAATAAATTTGTGGTGGCGCTATTGAGTACGGCATACCAGGAAGTAGGCGACGGAGAGCTGCAACGATATCCACAGCTACCCTCTGCACCGCAACTGCAAGACCACAGAGTCGAAGGAGGAGGGGCGGCTGAGGTGCATACGGTAGCCAATGGAAGCCCCAGCTCGACGAGTAGTAAGGATCCATTGCTGCAAATTATCAAGGAGGAGGGAGCCAGACACGGTTGGTACTTGTGCTGCTCTTGGTTGGCACTTCGTTGCAGTTGGTTAATGTGTCGGGTGAAGATTCTGAGCAGCGTTTGCAAAACTCGCACACTATACATGGACGCAAGCGACCACACAGCACTGTTGCACCTGCTGACGACAGCACAGAGGAGTCCGGTGGGTGCGCTTACTGCACTTGTTGCTGCGTATGGCTGGTTTTGATCAATGCCAACTGATGAGTGCGATCGTATTTGTGTTGATGTGTCGCAGTAAACAAGCTCATACACTTGGATCGAGGTAAAGCACGGCACGTCCATGACCACCCGGACCACCACTCCGCCGAAATACTGATGGGCCTCGGCAAATGCGCTGCAACCACAATTAGTCCGTCATCGCCATCTAGCAACAGAAATTTCGAGCCGCGCGTATCTCCAGACAGCAACCAGTAGCAATGGCTGCGGTCGATACAAACTGTTTGCATCGTCGACAGAGTCCACTTCATTGCGCTGTCGCGAAGCAGAGTCGCGGGAAGCCGCGCCAGCCAGGTTCGGACGAGGAGGCAGACATACGCCCTTTATTTTATCACTTTTATGTATTACAAGCGTTGTGGCTCTGCGTAATGCAGACCAGAGACCGCGTTCAATATTCGTCAAACGCAATGCAGTTCAACCATGTCACAGATTCCTTCTTTCGCTTAACTTGTATTTTGTAAGATCATCCTAAAGTGCGAATACGAATAAACCTAAAGGGACGCGCCAAGCTTTTCAGACCTGTTCAAGATCCCTCTCGCGATGATGCACCAGAGCCAGCAGTCGAATCCATCGGTGGCGCTGCCCACCACCGTGCGCTGGATCCCAGACGCCGAAGTGAGCGTGTGCTACGGCTGCCAGCTATTGTTCGACTGGGTGCGTCGGAAGCACCACTGCCGGTGAGTTGCATGTTTGATCGACTTCTTTGTCCATTGCTTTTCTCAACTTTTCCTGTAACCTGTAACCTGCAGCTATTGCGGTCACGTGTTTTGCGAGCTGTGCACGCCACAGCGTAGTCTCATCCGTGAAGACCAGATCCTCACCAATCCAGAGCGCAAGTATTTGGCCGTGAACGCGCACAATCCGCAACGCGTGTGTGATGACTGTCATGCTCGTCTGGAGCCGGAGCAAGAGGAGCTTCGTACGCACGCCTCAAATTATGTGGCGGCTGATGGAGTTGTGCTTATTAACTTGTGCTGTTCTAGGTCGAACAATGAGCCACGCCGTGCAGCAAATGGAGGTGAAAGAGTCCGGACCTCAGAGGTTCTTCAACAGCCCCTACTCCTTCACTCTGCGCGAGGAAATCCGCAAGGCCACGTACAGCGTCAAGAACTTTACGTTCCAAGGGGTCGTCAAGGACCAGTCTATCCCCCTACCGCTACTCACTCACGCCAAAGGCATCGCTGTATGATTCTCGTTCAAATTCTACCGCGTACCGTAGTCTTTAACCTTGTGGCTTGCTTTGTTATCCAACTTTGCAGTTCCTGACGGTGATCAAGATGGGTTTTGTGTTTACGGGACGCATGGGAACCGGTCTCGTGGTCGCTAAACTGCCTGACGGGAGGTGGTCAGCGCCGTCGGCTATTGGCACTGCTGGATTGGGCTGGGGGCCACAAATTGGAGGAGAAATTACAGACTTCGTGATCATTCTCAACACACAACGTGCTGTTGAGGCCTTCTGCGCATCTGGACAAGTTAATCTTGGAGCAGAGTTGGGGATCTCTGCAGGTCCCGTGGGTCGTGTGGCCGCTGGAGCGCTGGAGGCAAGTGCTTCTATGGATGTAGCCCCGTGCTACTCATACTCACACTCAAAAGGTCTGTACGCGGGCATCTCACTCGAGGGCTCAGTGATCCTCTCAAGGCCCGACATTAATCGTTCGTTCTACGGCAAGACGGTGACGGTCCCAGAACTGTTGGGAGGAGTGGAGCCACCACCGGTGGCTGCTGCACCGTTGTACGAAGCCATCCGTACAGCGATGGAAAGGTTCGTAGACTCAAATGGCCGCCCACTAGCTCAGTTTGAAATCCTGACGCGTTCCTGTGTATTGTGGTTTATTTTTCAGCCCAGCCAATGGTGCCAATCGGGTCGCACGTAGCTCATCAGTTCCGGCTCAGCAGTACCAACCCACCGAAGCACCAGATCAGTCTTCTGTGCATTCACCCCCGCCAGCCCCACTTCCCGTTGCGTCTTCGTTGTTCAATAATGACGTCAAGCTATGAGTGTCAAAGGGCAGGCTGCGAAATTTCAGCATTTAATTTACTCATGCACAGGCAAGAGCGACAGCTTCAGTTGAAAGACAAGGCGTTCCTGCGACGTCTTAGGATGCAGCTTCGTCGTGTTGGCCTTTCATTTCTTCGCTATTAGTTCATCGCGGCGTCTAGCGCTGCGAAAAACTTCTCCTGCATTTGCCTAGCCTCACGAGCTTTCTGTAAATCAGAAACAAAATATCGTTCTCGCATGAGTCACGTCGTCCTGGTAAGAGTCATCACCAGCTCTTTCTTACCTCTGCCTGTTCCTGTTGTGCAGGAGTGAGCGTCGCTGCACTCGCCACTGCAGACGCATTTGCTATGTCGCCTCCGTTGCCTGCAGCCCTCGACCCGTCGGCGTTTTCCATCTTGACGTCGTCATCCGTTCCGACAGGGGAGGTTCCGTCAGCAGCAGTTGCGTCGTCCGTAGACTCGTGCAGCTCTCCATGCACACGTTCTACGGCTTGCCTCGACTCGTCAATGGTGCGACGGATGTCCCTGGCAGCATCTCGTCTCTCCTGCACCTGCGTCTTAAGCATCTGAATTACCGTCTCCCGCGCCTGATGGGGTCGGAAGGCGTTGATGAGGTTGTGCATGTTGAGGAAAAGCAGCTCCATGTCGTCTAGCTTCTCACTAGGCAGCACCAATAGTCAGCACGATACTGTTAATGGCTACTACGACCAGTACTCACTTGAACATGGCTGGTTTCTTGATGAGGATGTCCACGAGCTCCACGAAGTTGGCGAGTAGTGAGCGATTGATCCTATAGCCCAAAGCATTAGCCGCCTCCACTTGGTCGCCAATTATAAAATATCGCAAAGGTTACTTCTTCATTTCTGCCTTGCAGTCGACAGGCGCGCTATCGTCGTCCTCGCCCTGGGGTGCGTACAGCTTCTTGCCAGACTGGGGCAGCAGATCGGGCACAACGTCCTGTGTACTGTATGGCGAGCCGAACATGTGATACGTGGGTTCCATGGGCTCAGGGGGCGCTGGTCCACTCTTCACGCCGTCCGCATACAAAGCGAAGAACTTGGGCGGCGCCGGGAACTCTGACACGATCTCCGGCGCGGCGTCCTCTTGCTCTTCGGCCATTATTGCACTGGACAAATTGTGTTGCATACCTGAAAATTTGTGTATTATAATACTATCTGCATCATTTGGGATTGGACCAATTCATGCCTATTTATCGCCAATCCAATCAGCCACTACGGAAGCCATCATAGATATTCTTTGTCTTTTTAATACCAGTATCTTTTCAGAGTCCTCGAAGTACAGTCTTTGTGTGGCAATGCTGTCGGTGCTTCGATCTCGCATGCAGTCGGCGGTCGCTCGTTCGGCGACGAGAATGCAACATCGCGCTAAATTCTCGTCAACTTCTTCTACGTCCGAATCTTCGGGGTTCCGCCGCATTTGGGACACATATGCTTCGTTATTAGAGACCCACCCGCTGAAAACCAAGATTGTGACGGGTGGAGCCATTGCGGGGCTGGGCGACGTGGGGTGTCAGCTTGTGCTGGAGGGTGAAGACGGCGACGCCAAGCTGGACGTCAAACGCACTGTCATCTTCACATTCTTGGGCGGGCTTTTAATCTCACCCGTTCTCCACGTGTGGTACGGATTTCTGGGCTCGAGACTGCCTGGGGTCTCCACGAGTGCAGTCGCCAAGCGACTGGCGCTGGATCAATTGGGCTTTGCACCCACTTTTCTGCCGATAATCTTGTCATCGGTATTGACGCTTGAGGGGCACGCAGAAGACATCCCCGACAAGCTGCGCGCCGACTGGTGGCCTCTCATGAAAGCCAATTGGGTCGTCTGGGTGCCGGCTCAGATTCTCAACTTTCGCTTTGTACCCGGGTCTATGCAGGTTATCTTCTCCAATGTGGTGGGACTACTTTGGAACTCGTACCTGTCCTACGTGAGCCACTCGCAGGTTCCCAAGGCTCTTCCTGCAGAGGAGAGCGGCAAGGAGAGGGATGAGCTACCGCTCTGATTCGATAGCCTCTTTCAGAGATTGGAAAGAGGGATAGTAGCTAGACATCAACTGGCCTAAGGTTTGTCTAAGCTCTAAGTTTAATCGACGGAGGAAGTTAGCGCTATTTTTCTTGAGGACTTCCGAATGCATTATGCAGGGGTGATGCCAGATGTTTCCTCGCTGATTGAACGGTCTTAGTCATGAACGATGACAAGCCGATTGGCGGTGCGATTCGGTCACGAAAGCTACGCCGTCGGTGGTCTTGGTCGCTCTGGCTGGCGTTGGACGAGGAGAGATATGAGGCCGCTGGCGACAGCCAAATGGTGGCATTCGCGCTCTTTTGCGGCTCGCCGACGGCGTTGGGCAATTCCATTAAGTTATTGAACGGGTCTGACCCGCGTCTGCCAATGGCCTCCCTAGTTGCCCTGACAGGCCGGATCGTCGTACGCTTCTTCTGACCTTTTCGCTTCGCCTTCGTGTCGCTGGTGCTGTTGTGACTCAGCGGGACGACTTCGTATTCATTATTGCACTCGGAGGTTGCTAGCTGCAGCTGGAGCTTCTCGACTTGCTTTGCCAAGGTGGCCTTGTCTACTGCAAGCGTATTTAGCTCGAAATCCATTTGCACCAGATCAGCACGTAGACTAGCAATCACTTCATCTTGTGCCTGTAGGTGTCGTGTCTCGAAACCAGCCACACCAGTGACAGTGGCGTCCAATGCAGCCTTCAGCGTGTCTCGCTCATTCTGAAGATGCAACACCTGAGCATGAGCTGACGCTAGTTCCTCTTCCAATCTGCGGCAGTGCATTTGAGCCTTATCCAACGCCTTACGCGCCTCCATTCGGGTTTGGCTCGCACTGGCAATAGCAATCTCGAGAGTCTCTTTTTGTTGTTGATGTTGTGCGAGAGTTCGAAGCACCTGTTCGTGGGCTTCACGGTCATCATTTGCCTGTCGTTCGTCCTCCAAGCGTTGTGCCACCATCCGCGCACTTTGTTTGAACAAGGCATCTCTCTCGACTCTCAGCCCTTTTATCTCGCGTTCAAGACCAGCATTTTTCTGTTGTAGCGCAAGTTGCTCATCTTCAGCCTCCTTGCGCTCTCGCTGACGCGTTTTCTCTTGATTTTCCATGTGCGCTGCCAGCACTTCGACGTCTTCCTGTAGTTGACGACAGCGCTGTACGAGAGCATCACGATCCTCATCACCCATGGCGAGTTGTGCTTCAAGCTCACACTCGCCACGTTCGTGATCGTTGTCGTTGAAATTGTCAGTTGAGCTCTCACATTCAGGGGAGAGAGCACTTGTTGCAGACCCACTGGGCTCGATGAACTGTTTCTTTGCTGCAACGAGAGTGTCGAGATCGAGAGAATGGCCATTTCGCTGGTTTGAGGGCGACTGGGTTGCGTGGCGGTGCTGAGCCCGTGTCTGTGATGAAGAGAAATCCATCCTGGCTCTGAATGCAGTATGGTCAAAATGCGCAATTCACTTCAAAAAAGAAAATAGAACCCAAAAATAGAATCTGTACCCATTTTGATGGTCGCAGAATTTTGCATAACTGATCTTGATGCATTCTAACCACTTCACTAGCCACGACTTGGATGTACGCCGCATTCTCTTTTGCTTAGACCCACTGATCTCACCTCTTTTTGTTCACCTTTTGAAGCTACTCGAGTCTTACATTCATGACTGCATCGACCAGTTGCCCAAACTTCCGGCCGCCACGGATGCCGCTGTGACGGGTGCCAGCGCTCAAATTCCCACCCGCTGCTCGTCCTATCACACAGTGTGCACCAATATGCTCAAGGAAGTGATATCACTCTTGTCACTCTTCTCTCCGCGACTGTGCCGTCTTATCGGACAGGTCTGGGACCTCGCATCGCTCAACGTGTTTGTACTGCTACAAGTGGCGACTACAGCGTTGCAGGAGGCCCAGCAGCTCCGCGACCAGCTCGCGTTTGCTGAGCGTTTCCACACAGAAGGTCTACAGCGACAGTCATCTATCGTCCAGCGATATGAGGACGACCTTGCCCGCCAGCGAGTGAGCGAACAAGGTCTGAGAGCTGAGCTACAGAAGGTTCGCCAACGTGCCAACCGTCTCGCTGTGGAGAACGGACAACTACATCTCGTCGTAAATCGAGTTCTGAATGCCCACGACACTATGGAAGCAACTCGTTACGACAGCTCCAACTCTGTTGAACACGTGGTCGCACAAGAGTCCAACTTCTGTGAAGACATCGCTGCAGTTGGAGACGTGGAGGAGCGTGAACTGTACGGAGTTGATGAAGACTCCTTGACACGCATAGAAATCGTGCATCCCATTGAAAGCTATTCAACTGACTTTGAGCAGCTTTTCCAGGCACTTTTCGAGGGAGAGGACCGCAATACCCGAGTGCTAAATGAAATGGACCGCTTCATCAACTCGACTGCCGTGGCCTTGCTTTGGCGTTATGGCTCAACGGAGGAAGAGCATCAGCTGATGCATCGAATGCTGAGTGCAAGTACCGTTGGTACACAAACCGAGGGGGTATTCCGTCAGAAGCCATCACATTGGAAATCGGAGAGTGAAGACTATGAGTCCGATAACGAAGGCATACATTCTCATGCCCCCATCCAAACCCATTCGTCGATCCAGGAAGAGTACGAGGACGAAGATAGTCAACAGCTACAACAGTCAGTGAACCTCGAAGTTTTGGCAGTCACTAAACATCAGGTGATTCCAGCCACTCTGCGAGCCCAACTAGACTCACGACCTCGAGTACAGCGCGTTCTGGAAAAGTCTCAGCTCAACCGCATTTTGTTACGACTATATCTCGAGAAGCTCGAGTGTGATGCACGGACTTTACGACGGCGACGAGTATTGAGTGCCAATATTGCTCGTTCCGGAGCTGATACACCCTCTTCCGATGACCACACAGTGTCTGTAGCCGTTGTCCGAACACCACTTCACCGGTTCATGAAAGAGTTTTTCCTCGTACGCTACGAAGTGCCAGCACTGGCTGATTTCCACATGATGGAGATCGTCAAGAGCTGTTTCTACTACCACGAACAGCTGAAGATCGCTCATCGTCGAGGAGCAGCAGTCGATGGCTCCACTTCTCTAGTTCACTGTCTCCCAGCAATGCCTGAAAAACTAATCCAGCGCATTCAGCACAGTACACACCAGCGCCAACACCACGATCAGACAGCGATGCATGATCATCTCCAAGATCTCCAACAACAACAGCAGTTTGATGCCTCTGACATCCGACTAGCACTTTTCAGCCGACTCTGCGAGCTCGTCCCCTTCGACGTCGGCGGATCTCCTGTTGATTCCACGCCAATTGGTGGAAATGTGTCGGCTTGTCTACTGAATGCAGTTGTAGATGTACTGGGTGACATCTTGGAGCTGGACCCTTCGGTGCCATCCCTCGCTGCGGTGGAAGAAGTCCCGACCGAAGCAAATTGGGGACTCCCTCGTGGTTTAGCAAGCGAGTTATTAGCGCAGCATTTCCCGTTTATTGACCAGGACATTCTGGAAGATACCAACGCTTGGCTTACACGACTTGCCCCTGTGCAGCGATTAGACTCGATTGAAGACACCGGTTCAGCCGATTGTATCGCAGTAGACGTCTTCCTCGCACTGTTTGCAACCACATGGATGAAATACGACCAGCGACTTGAAAGCAAACTGCGCGAGAGCTTCCGCCATCAGCTGTTGCTGTCATCACCGTTTGCTAGGACGCAGTTGGCAGACGCACAGGCTGCACTCAATACCACGAGACTTGAAATTCGAGAGGCTTCGGAACCCGACAATGAGGTCATAAGGGAAAGGCCAGTTAGCCGGATGAGCACTCGACGCTGCAGCACAAATCTACCGACCTTGGCACTTGGAGCAACAGCCATTACGATGCATTCGTCGCCACTTGAACTGCTCACTCAGGCTTGGACAACGCTTGTGAACGAGACACTGTCATCATTGGATATGGAAGAGCTTGAAAACACATTTCGAGGCTTGCTCGAAGCCAAACACCTCGATTCCAAGCACCGTCATGTTAAGAAAGAGATTCCAGAGCCGACGGGGTCGCTAGGCGGTGTGACCGAGAAGGAGTTCGTTTTCCACACATTACAGGTTCTTCGGCGACGGCGCAACAGCTACGGACTGCGCACCAACAGCAGACGACCACCCCGTTATGCAGCGTACGGAAGTCATCTTCTTGCAGCAATCGGTTCGGACGAGATGCCGGTTCTTCTCAGCTCGCTTAAGCCAGGACTAAACAGCGACAGCCTTGCGTACGTTAGCAAATAGCTGGCTGCCAACAAGAAAACAAAAAGCTGGGTCAAAATAGTTCATGGCGTCACCAATTATAAAGCAAATCGTTGTACTTGCGATACTGCCAGGCCCTGCTTATCTGTTTGACTTGTCACTTCATCTCAGTAGAATTTACGCTTTAACGAACACCATCGTCTCAGGACGCGTAGTCCACAGTAAGCCACGTTCTGGCACGAAACACCACAACGGGCCAGCGAAAGGAGGACACAAACACTTTTCCTTTAAATATAAGGGAAGACGGAGTGGCTCCCGCAACCTTAACGTATCAATGAGATGTCAGTTCCTGTCAATATCCCAAGTAAACCAATGCAGCAATAGCAATATGAGAGCGCCTACTTTTGTAGGTTCGATCATGAAGAAATGTTTTATTGACGACGTACTTTCAGTCTCCTTTTCCTTCTTCGCCATGTATCTTACCCCCCTAGTGGAGTCTGGTGTGCGTCTGTCAGTCCGTCCGAGGGTAGGGTTCTAAAATGTAACGCAAATACGCGCGTTCTAAGCGCAGCGAAGGCGGCGTCTATTCGCTAAAATGCTGCCGAGCGCAGCGAAGGCGGCCCCCATTGGCTAAAATCGGAATTGTGTATTTTACACACTATATGTGGACTACACATCGTACTTAAAAGCGCCGCCTAAATTATATTTTGCTCTCATTTCCAGCTGCGGTATGCAAGGCCACGCAAAGGGCGCTGTCTGTGTACGCGTTAGTTAGCATAATTAAAAGGCGCCGATAAGCACACACGTAATATATCGTCGTAGGAGCTGTTGAAAAAAAGTGTAGGCTTTAGTGACTTATATTACGGCCTCAATCGAAACTTTAGTACTTATTGGATATAGAATGATGTTTTAGGCTTCGTAGTACTGTTGTACTAATTTAACTTACAGTATTATTTTTATATTTCTATTATTGAGTCATTTCATATTTTTGCTTGCAGTCATTTGTAGTAGTAGTACACATAATAATTATATCAGCGTTCGATAATAAATCACAGTTTTATTACTATTTGTGAATACTTTAAGATAAGATTATTGTGGCTTACACCCCTGCACCCCACACTGCCCCCGGGAAAAAGTATCATCTTCCTTTGTATTTGCGCGCGTAGTGTGCGACCTTAAGTTATTATGTGAGCTTTCCAACAATATATGCTGCGTACATCAAACAAAACGGGAACGGCGTTTGTGATTAAGTTAGCGCGGAGGCACGTGACTCAGCAAGAACACGAAACACGAAGAAACACCGACCCACGCTATGTAGATGATGGGATAGAAGAGCAACACGAAGCACGGAAGGCCATGGACGATGGTAGAAGGCTTAGCCGATGCAAACCACGAAGTTTTTTACGTAGCGTGAAATATGGAAAGTGCACGCAGCCATGAAAAGGACATAACGACAGAATATGACGGGAGCATACGGGCCTCAGAAGGAAACTAAATCCATAGACACCCCAGCATGCTGAAAAGCACGGGCTACGAAAGAGCACGCACGCTCGAAGCCACGGTAGAACGTAGCGGTAACAGTGCACTAACAGCAATTCTCCGATAGCACCACGGTAAGGCACGGAGTACTGTCGACGGACCAGGCATAAAGCCGCGGGAGACCATAAACGGGAAATTACCGAGTATTGGAGCACGATACCAGGGTGGAACCGGATCTCACTGGGGAGCGCGATACTACTGTAGATAGCGAAAGCTTGGACGACAGACCAACCGCGACACCAAGAGATAGCACGATAGCATGGACGATGGGACAGCCACTAATACATGGGAGAATAAATAGTCACGGGAAATCCCTGAGCACGATAGCACTGTAGAACTTGAGATCGCTGGGCCACTGAGGACGATACTTCATTAAAACACGTTTACCCGAACGGCCGACAAATCGCGAGGAAACGCTTCTGGAGACCTCGATTGCACACCGCGGAACACGGAACCATCGTAGAACGCAATAACATTGGCAAAAAATATATATAATGCGATCACGATAGTATAGACAGCATAACCACATTGCGATTGCACGATGGCGCGATAACGCGGTAGGTGGAGCCACCACAGGGCTGCGCGGCACACAGGTGACAGAAAACTTCGGAAGATCACCCATTGGCGAGGGTACCGGAAATGGAACGCTATCGACCATGAATGATTATGGACACGAAGCCTGTGGAATCCACGTAAACCCTTGAGAACACGGAATATCTAGCAGCCACGAAAGAGGGTCGTACTACGGGAGCGCATGAGACCAAAGGAGCTAGCACACAACCACTAAGCACTGTGAGAGAATGAGTCCACAAATCCAGGACAATCACTAAGCAGCGTGGGCCACGGGTGAGCGGGGAACTACGAAGCCAGGAAGATCACGGAAGAGCGACGGCCACTGTAGAACATGACATCCAACCTGTCGTACGGGGGAACGGAAGCGTACCAAACCACGATTTTATACGGGTCCATATGAGACTTCGGAATGGTAAGTGGCTAAGAACACGAAGCCAAGACCTACTTGGGTGAACGACGCACAAAGTACGCGACATCAAGAAGCATTTAAATTTGCGGCCACCTCATCTACAACAAACCATGCCACTCCGCCGCGTAGCGGCGGCGAACGGCTAGTCTTACCCCTCTAGTGGAGTCTGACGTGTGTCTGTCCGTACGTCCGTCCGAGGGTAGGGTTCTAAAATGTAACGCAAATGCGGGCGTTCTACTGGCTGCCGAGCGCAGCGAAGGCGGCGTCGATTCGCTAAAAAGCTGCCGAGCGCAGCGAAGGCCGCCCCCCATTGCTTAAATCAACATTTGTGTTTTGTACACACTGTATGTGGACTACACTTCGTACCTAAAAGCACCGCTTAAATTTCATTTTGCTCTCATTTTCAGCTGCGGTCTGCAAGGCCACGCAAAGGGCGCTGCCTGTGTACGCGTTAGTTAGAATAATTAAAAGGCGCCGATAAGCACACACGTAATATATCGTCGTAGGAGCTGTTGAAAAAAAGTGTAGGCGTTGGTGACTTATATTACGGCCTCAATCGAAACTTTAGTACTTATTACATTTAGAATGATGTTTTTGGCTTCGTAGTACTGTTGTACTAATTTAACTTACAATATTATTTTAATATTTCTATTTTTGAGTCATTTCATATTTTTGCTTGCAGTCATTTGTAGTAGTAGTACACATAATAATGATATCAGCGTTCGATAATAAATCACAGTTTTATTACTATTTGTGAATACTTTAAGATAAGATTATTGTGGCTTACACCCCTGCACCCCACACTGCCCCCGGGAAAAAGTATCATCTTCCTTTGTATTTGCGCGCGTAGTGTGCGACCTTAAGTTATTATGTGAGCTTTCCAACAATATATGCTGCGTACATCAAACAAAACGGGAACGGCGTTTGTGATTAAGTTAGCGCGGAGGCACGTGACTAGGCAAGAACACGAAAACGAAGTAACCCCGACCCACACTATGTAGACGATGGGATAGACGAGCAACACGAGACACGGAAGGTCATGGACGATGATAGAAGACTTAGCCGATGCAAACCACAAAGTTGTATGCGTAGCGTGGAAGACGGAAGAGCACACAGCCATGAAAAGGACAGAAGGACAAGAATATGACGGGAGCGTTCGGGCCACGGAAAGGAACTAATTATATAGACACCCCAGCATGCTGAAAAGCACGACTACGGAAGAGCACGCACGCTCGAAGCCACGGTAGAACACGTAACGATAAGCGTGCACGGCCAGATATTCTCCCATAGCACCACCGTTGAACACGGAGCACAGTCGACCGACCAAACATGAAGCCGCGGAAGACCATTACCGGAGGCCGTCGAGTATTGAAACACGATACCAGGGTAGAACCGGAGCTCACTGAGAAGCGCGATACTACTGTAGCTAACGAAAGCTTGGACGACAGACCAACCGCGACTCCAATAGATAGCACGATAGCTTGGACAATGGGACAGCCACTAAACCATGGGAGAACAAGCAGCCACGGGAAATCACCGAGCCACTGAGCACGATAGCACTGTAGAACCTGAGATCGCCGGGCCACTGAGGACGATACTTCATTAAAACACGTTTACTCGGACGGCCGACCAGCCACAAAATCACGGGGAAACGCTTTTGGAGACCACGATTGCACACCGCGGAACACGGAACCATCGTAGAACGCAATAACATTGGCAAAAAATATATATAATGCGATCACGATAGTATAGACAGCATAACCACATTGCGATTGCACGATAACGCGATAGCGCGGTAGATGGAGCCACCACAGGGCTGCGCGGCACACAGGTGACAGAAAACTTCGGAAGATCACCCATTGGCGAGGGTACCGGAAATGGAACGCTATCGACCATGAATGATTATGGACACGAAGCCTGTGGAATCCACGTAAACCCTTGAGAACACGGAATATCTAGCAGCCACGAAAGAGGGTCGTACTACGGGAGCGCATGAGACCAAAGGAGCTAGCACACAACCACTAAGCACTGTGAGAGAATGAGTCCACAAATCCAGGACAATCACTAAGCAGCGTGGGCCACGGGTGAGCGGGGAACTACGAAGCCAGGAAGATCACGGAAGAGCGACGGCCACTGTAGAACATGACATCCAACCTGTAGTACGGGGTAACGGAAACGTTCCAAACCACGATATTATACGGGGCCGAATGAGACTACGGAAAGGCAAGTGGTTAAATACACGATGCCAAGATCTACAGGGTGAACCACGCTCTCAAAACACGCGTCACCAAGAAGCACTAAAGTTGCGGCCACCACATCTACAACAAACCATGCCACTCCGCCGCGTAGCGGCGGCGAACGGCTAGTCTTACCCCTCTAGTGGAGTGTGTTGTCCGTCCGTCTGTCAGTCCGTCCGAGGGTAGGGTTCTAAAATGTAACGCAAATGCGGGCGTTCTACTGGCTGCCGAGCGCAGCGAAGGCGGCGTCGATTCGCTAAAAAGCTGCCGAGCGCAGCGAAGGC